GGTACACATAATTAATTATTCATCACAAAACCTAAATCACATTCATAATCTTCTTATGAACATTAACATGGTGTTACACTAATGATTTTCTCTAATGTATCAGGATTATAACAAGCTGCTTCTCTTCTTTTTCTCATGTAAGTTACTTTTTTACCAAATAAACATTCTGGATTCACCAAACCAGATGGAGTCCATAATTCATAATCACTACCAATTTCTCCAGGTTTATCTTAACCTATACAATTCCTTTAATGTAATTCATCTAAATCTAAAGTGGCAAGTAATCCCTATTCAGTTTTAATACCATTAGATTCTAATTAAATAGAACCATAAGCTATAAATCTAGTTCCTTTATTTTAAGGTTCAGTAATTATATTTTAGATTTCTGCCTTCTAATCTAAAAAATTAAATGGAGTCCATTCCATTCCACCATTCCAAGAAAAAACAATCTAATTAGTTGTTTCTTAATCTTTAGACATAACAACCAATCCTCCATGATTACTCATTTCATAAATATATGAACCTTTTTTTATTTCAATCCATGTTAAACCACCATCTCTACTTAAATAAGTGTTAACTTGATCTTATCTATAACTTAAATATTTTCCAATAGATCCTGTAGCTATTATTATACCAATTGAATTTGCTTGAGTATAAATAGGTGCAAATTAATAAAATGATTAACTAAGATGAATATGTAACTAACATTTATTACAATTAATTGGTTTCCCATCTGCATCAACTGTAGGTGGCTAATTATAAATTTAATAATTATACTTTTAATGGAACCCATTAACCACCTTTGTCAAATGTAATCCTTGTTTATTTGTATTTTTTCAAATCTTCATCTTTAAATCCATTTTATTAAGCATAAAATCCTTCTTCCATTGCTTCTTAGACTTGATGAGAATATATTTTAGCTTAATCTTCTGAATATACATTTGCTAAATATATTCCTTCTAAACCTTAAACCCTATAAAATTCTGCACTATTTTCTAATCTAGCCACATTCTCTAAGGATCTTGAATACCTTGTACCAGTTGAATCACTAATATAAATTACTCCCAATGGAGAGGATGGCTTTAAGTGATTAACAATCATAAAAACTTAGTTTTCTGAAGTATCTAAAATACTGTAAGAGTGTTCTAATAATTTTGAATCAGCATCAATAATTGCATATTTATATTATCCTAATTCAGTACCACTCACATATAAACTAACCTCTTAGGTGTATTATGATGTAACTTTAGCTACAAAAAGGAAGGATTCAGTCAATAAAAATCTTGAACCTGCTGGCACACTTAAAGTACGAGTTTAAAAGAAATCATCACTATAATATAAATTGGCATCCATATTCCAACTACTTATTGATTAATGTCCTTTTCCTTGAGGTTCAAAAGATGCTAGAATACGTTCTTTTGGAGTATATTTAGCCATTTCTTTGTTTTTGACACCCCAAGTAAACTAATTAACATAAGTAGCTATGGAATGCCAAGTGATTCCTGTATCTTAACTTAATAGAAGTTCCTTGTAAGAAACACAAGGTTTACCAGCAAGAAGTTCATCAGAGCCACATTATTTCCATGCAGAGGCAAGTATCCAATCTTTTTCAATTGGATGAAATTAATATTCACGTAATTACTTGCCTGCATTAACTGCTGTTATAGTTTTACCACAATCAAGTGATATCCATGCAATTTAATCTGTGCCTGTAAAAAGAATGAGTTATTTATCAACAGGACTTGCAACTAAATTATTTACTATTCCAACTCTATCATCAGAATCCTCAAGTTGAATTAATGCTTTACGATGGAAAATTTCAGACATTTTGGTCCATTGACGACCACGATCATCACTTCTATATACAGATCCTTTTGAAGTGAGTGCCAAAACTGTATCACTACACCAATGAATGTTTATTAAAGAAGCATCGATATATGAAATTTAAACATCAATATTAGATGTAAACGTCTGCATGATCATCAAGAGTATTATAAACATCATAAACACGTTTTATTATTTTAATTAATCAATTTATTTAATAATTTCATACTCACAATTATGCTTAACATTATCCTGAACGTTTACAATGACATGAAGTTCCTTTACTTAAAACTACCTTTTTAATTTCATCTAATGTGGTCTTATTTTCTTTCAATTCTTAAGCACTTGGCATAACATTTAATCTTAAAGCCTCAGAAATAATCATTTAAGCCTTAAATTATAAAATGTTTATAAACATTTGGAGTGTTCATGCTAGCTGAAGCAACGATTCTTCCTTTTTTAGCATAATATGCAATGAATTTCTATTGATTTAAATCTCCATCTATTATCACTTCATCAAATCCTTATCCTACTCCACTATATGCTAATGTTCTATCCCATTATCTAGTCCAAAAGAATGGTACATCTGTTAATGGAGTTGGTCTGCCTAAAATATTCAACGCAGCTATAAATCTTAAATAGGATTAAATATATACCCTTATCTAATAGCTTCATTCTAATGCTCAATTCTTACATATTCTCCAGTAACCCAATAAGGATAACTAGCAATATCACCTGAAGCATAGACATTTTTAGCAGCCTTCAAAAACACATCTGTTTCAATACCTCCATTTGGAGATAGTTTCAATTGATCTTTGGCCAATTAGTTGTTTGGTTAGATTCCTGTACCTAATATAACTAAATCTGCCAAAAGAGATTTTCCATTTAGTAAATCAACTCTAGATACTGAACCTTCTCCTGAAATTCTTTTAACTCCAACAGACAATTCAAATTCAACTCCATTAGCTTAATGCAATTTTTATAATGATGCTCCTACTTCACTACCAAGAACTCTTTCAAATGGAACAGATGTATTATCTACAACAGTAATATTAACCTAATCTTTTAATTCCTTTTTGATAGCTGAAGCAGTTTCCATACCAATGAAAGAAGCTCCAACAATAACAATATTTTTAGATGTTTTAGCCTTTTCTCTAATTTATAATAAATCATTAAATTATCTAAGAGTATGAACATTATTTAAGTTTACTCCATCCAAAGTAGGTTTACGAGCTGTACCTCCAGTGGCTAATAATAATTTATCATAACGAATTTTCTCTTTTCCAATCACTACCTCTTGATTATTAACATCAATTGAATCAACACTTTTATTGGTCACTACATCAATACCATATTATTCATAAAATGATGGCTACCTTATTTACAATCCTTATAGTTTAACTAAAAATGACATCTTGCTCATTGGAGTTCTATCATAAGGCAATGAATCTTCAGCTGTAATAATTGTAATTTTTCCTTTGAATCCAGCCTAACGAAGTGTCTCAGCAGCACTCTAACCTGATACTCTAATATAATTATTTAATAATAATACCCTCCACCAACAATGACTACATGTGTAGGATCATCTCCCTTAGTTGCCATATTAAGTGTTCTGGGTGCATTTAATAATTCTTTCTCCACTCTTATTATTAATTAACCATTTTCTTATTTAATTGGAAATGTTTGTAATCCTCTAAACATTGGTCCTTCTTCATGAGCACCATCTTTAACAGAAAAACTTGCATTATGGAATGGGCATTTAACTTTATCACCTACTAAAAAGCCAGCTGAAAGTGGAGCTCCAACATGTGGACAAGAATTTGAAACACAGTAGATCTATCCATCAACTTTACAAACTAAGACAGCATCCTCTTTTTTTGGACCCACCTACACTTCTCTCATTTCACCTTCTTTTAGATCATCTTCAATTGATATTTCATATACATCATTCATATTAAGAGTCTAATATGTTAATTAAAAGCAATACTTAAAAGCTATAGCGAATAATTGGCAGTGAGATTAAAGTGATTGCTAGACGTTAAGTAAGTCTTGGAGTCATTATAGGAGTTCTTCTTAGACTTACTGCTAATGCTGAAGATAATATCTTTCTCATTAAAATAATTAATTATAACAGTGTTTAAGTTCTATTTATATAAAATTACTCATCATTATTTAAATATATATAATAGCAAATCTTAATATTCTTATTTCCACTTCTTTTTATTTTGGTTAAGTTTCATGAATCCTACTTTATCAGTTTTATTTTATTAATAAATCTGATTTATTCATGATATTAATAACATAACAAAGAGAAAGAGTAAGGTTACAATTTTTAAAGAATATATTCTATATTGAAATAATTAAATAGATAATCAATAAATTTTATCATCCTTAAAATTATTTCTAAAAAACATAAGCAATTAAAAAATATATATAATTTTAACTCGTTAAATAAATATTTAATGAGATTGAATAAGATTAAGTATAATATAATAGAAAAATGGTTGCAAGATATCTTCCAGTTTATTGGGTATATATTTATAAAACCCATTTAAACTTGTCGATTTTTTTCCAATAAAAAATCAAATAACAAACGTATTATAGAATATAAAAAGAGAGATTGAAAACTTATAAACGAATTTTTATTCTCAAGTTTTCCTCCTTTTAAATCTTTCTAAGTATTTCTAATTTTTCACCTTCTTTAATAAATCTACCTTAGTTGTTACCCTTTTTTTACTCCAAGATCTCCTAGCATGATAAGGTATTATTAATTTGAGTTAAGCGTCATCTATCAATTCTATAGATAAATCAGATTATGAATTATAATCATCTTTTTTGAGCAAATTTAGACTGTTTCTGTTTAAGCTGCTATTTACTCTTCTAGTAAAAAATTAATTATCTCTTCTTTTCATATATATACAACTGGAAGTATTGATATGGCCAATAGTTTTAGAAAATTATGATGAATTTCTTTCTGAACATATTGAATAAGAACTGTCAAAATCTAGAATTTGTTTAGGATGTTGAAAATCTGCTCTTTTTAGTTTTTTGAATGTTTTATTGTTCTTGCAATTCATCTAAATTTATTTAAGATCCTGTGTATTTTTCATATTTTTACATACACTTCCCATTAAATTAAATATATAAATATATCATATTTTGACTTGATATTAACATATTAAGAATGTTTTCAGTATAAGTGATTTTTTTAATAAATATTGTATCTGATATATATCTTTAAATAAATTGTATTCAAAATAATATTAATATCAATCAATTAGAAAATGAATTAATTTAAATTCTTGCTATTCTTTAAAATGTTATTCTTATAATCTTTATATTCTTTATTAAGCCTTTTATCTTTCTAAACTATATATTTTTTCCATTTTTGCTCTAACTTCAGGTTTGCAAATCTTTATCTTTTAATCTCTTCGATTTTCATTTGCCTATTCTTCCATAAAGACTCTCATAATTTCTTAATTCTATCTTTAAATAATTTAATTAAGTTCAAAAAGCACTTATGGATTGGGAGGCTATAAATTTTATGATTTGCTTAGATCTATTTTTTTAGTTTTTTTAATCGGTTTTTTTTCATCTACAATAGTAAAATTTTGATTTACTTTAAGATTTTGTTGGGGAAGATTGAATCTATTCAATTTTCTTTAATGTATTAGAGTTTGAAGATGGCTCAAAATTTTATTGTGAAGATTGATTAATTTCAGGTAATTTATCTGAAAGTCTAGAAATTCTAATAGTTTTATTAGGTTTTTCAATTTTTGTTTAATTTAAATTATCTTAACTAAGTGATTAAGATTGTGTTCTTCTTGGAATTAAATGTTACTTTTCTAAGAGAACTGATGATTATATTCCAAATTATTTCTATATATCATTAGCAGGAACTTTTCCTTCCTTAATTTTTTCTAATTTAAGAAGAAGATCTCTTTTTTATTTATCTATTTCTTTTCTCATATTTTATCTTTATTATAATAATTAATTTAAGTCCTCTTAGATTTTATCTGCTCTTTCCATTTTCTCATTTAATTTCTCCTATAATTTCATTCTATCATATTCTTATTTCTTCATTATTCTTTCAACATTATCTTTTTTATCAATCCTTTTTAATGTTTCATGATTTCTTTTATCAGTTAATGATATAGACCTTTCAAGTTATATTTTAGATAAATTTTCATCTTTTTCTTAAAATTTTCTTAAAAATTCTTCAATTTTTTCTTTTTATCTTTATTCATTTTGTAATAATACTTAATGTCTTTATTATTCTCTTTCATGTTCTTCTTATCTTCTTTTTTCTTTCTCTTTCTCTAATTCTTTTTCTAATAATTTTCTTCTTTCTTCAGCCTCATCAATTTTTTTTAAATATTATTTTTTTCTTTCTAATTCTAATTGTTCATTTTATTCAATTACTTTTTTTATCATTTCTGAATGTAATTCTGCTTCTAATTTTTATTATTCTAATTTTTTCTTTTTTTCTTCTTCAAATTATAATCTCTTTTATTCACTTATTTATAATTTTTTTTCTACATCTTATTTAACTCTTAAAATTTCTATATCATTTCTTTCTTTAGCTAATCTTATTCTAGTTTCATTTTGAATTCTAGCTTATTCTGCTTCTTATTTTTTCTTCTCTTTTTAATCCTCCATCATTTTCTTTCTTTATTCTGCTTTATCATTCATATCTTTTTTTCTTTTTTCTAATGCTTCCAATTATAATCTTATATTTTCTTCATTTAACATTCTTAATTTTTCTTATTATGCCTTTTTTTCTTGTTCTTTCTTTTGGTTCTCTTCTTCTTTTAATTTAAGTTTTAATTCTTCTTATTTTAATCTTTCTTATTCTTTTAATTCTAATAATTTCATTCTTTCTTTTAATGCTTATTCCTCTTATTCTCTTTTTTATTATTTTTAAATTTCTTTTTGTTTTTTTATTTCTTCTTATTATTCTTTTTTTCTTTCTAATTCTAATTCTCTTTATTTTTATTTTATTTTTTCATCTTATAATTTTTTCTCATTTTATTCTCTTATTTCTTACATCTTCAATTCATATTCTAACATTGATTCAATTTCTTTTTACTATTTTTTCTTAATTTTTTCAATTTATTATTTTTCTTTTTCAATCAAAGATGATACATCTTATTAAGAATATTTAGAAACCATCTTGCTTTTTGCTAATCCATCAGGATTCCATAGTCCTAGTCAAATTGTAATATAAAACAACCTTGCTTCTCATCTTCTATTACTATATGTCTTTATTTAATAACATCTTTAAATTTTTATTCTCTTTTATCTTCAAAATGTTTATAATAAGTTTCAATTCCTTTAGCATCTAAATTTGATAATTTATATTTTTTTTGAAAATCTTAAAATGATGTCTTAACCAATTCAATAGGAAGAATTCCTTCTCTTCTACATGCTTCTAATGATCTTGGTGTATTCACTTCAGGAGCATTAGGTTGATGAAATCCAAAATCTTAAAGAGAAATTTTCATTAAAAAATAATTTAATAACATTTAATCATAACTCTAATTCATCATCTCTTTTTGTCAATACTTCATATCCATTTTCAGTTATTAATATCATATGTTCCCATTATGCTAAATACATTTAATAAGATTTAATTACCACTTGGATTATCAGTTGAAATAACTGTAAAATTATCATTCCAAATCTTATAATCTTATTCATCCTTCATTAAGAGTATGGGCTCTATAGTAAAGACATTCCCAGGTACCATTACACCTGGATAATGATTTACTAAAACTTTATTATTAAGATTTTACATGTATGAAATATTGTAGGAGGCATATGCATCAATTCTCCAATCCCATGACCTGTGAAAACTTCACTTACATAATATCCATCATTATTAGCTATTTCTTATATCACTTTTCCAATTTGATTAAATTTTTGTCCAGGCTTACATATTTTTATTGCCTCATAAAGAGCCTAATATTAATTGAGTATTAACTTTTTAAGTAGTTTCTATCAATTTTGATATTTCTTAATTCATTTTTGGAACTTATGCCATAACACTAGTGTCACCATGAACACCATCATAAAATATAGTGACGTCTATATTAAGACTATCTCCTTCTTGTAAGGGTCTTAGATTTGGTATTCCATGACAGCAAACTTCATTAACTGAAGTGCAAACACTTTTTGGAAATCCCATAAATCCTATTGGTGATGGATAAGCATTTTGTGAAATAATATAATCATGAACTATTTTATCTAATTCATCTGTAGTCATCCCTTTTTTAACTGATCTTTAAGCCACCTAAGCAGTTTTTGCTGCAATACTAGCTGCTTTCCTCAATTCTGAATTAAATATTAAAATTACTTTCAATCATATTCTTCCCATGTGTTACAGCAGGGCCTTCATAAATACCAAAAATAGGCTTTTTGTCGACTAAAAACATCATAGATTATTATACTCATATAGCTTGGTCTTATGATATTTGAAGGAACCTTTCTTGCAGGAGTAACTGAATACTGCCCCTATCAAATAGGTTAATACAGATTTACTTCAACTAAAGGATTATGAAAATATTTAGGATTCTTTTGTCTACTCTAGTAACCATATTTCAACTTAAAGAAGTTATATTAGTTTAATTTCTTAAGCAACATTGAAATTATTAATTTATATTGTAAAGTAGAAATTCAAAATAAATTATTTAGAATAACTTATATACTTATATTAATTTTATTCAAATAATTTATGTACATGTTTTCAATTATAATAAAAAGTTAAGAAATTGTAATTACTTAATAGGAAGAATATCTTCATATATTTATTAAAAATGATTTTTATAATCCTTGATTATAATGAAAAACAATAATTATGACTCCACTCAAAATGAGAACTTTAATAATAGATAACAATTGGCTTAATCTAACGTTTAATTAATGCAGTTTAAGTAAAATCAATTTTTAATATAAATTGAGTAAATAATTAATTAATTCTAAAAATTTTAATATTATTCTTATAATTATAAAAAATGAGTGAAGAAGAAGCTGATGATACACCTATATTAGATATCAAACCTGCTTAGACAAAAGAAGAAAATTATCCAGCTTGGATGAGGGAACTATTAACAAAAGAAAAGAAGTTTAATGATATGTTAGAAAGTGTAAAAACAGAAATTCAATAAGTTGATAAAGGATTAAGAGAATTAGATGAAAAAAAGAAAACCTTTAAATAAGTGTAACGTGATTATAGACCATAAAAGATATAAAAATAACCAGAGATTTAAGGAGACTATCATTAATATTATTCACAATTAAAATATGAGAGGAATAATAAGCTTAGTTTTTCTCTAATTAATTCACCTGTTGCTTCATAAATTCTACGCTTTCTATAAGATCCTATTAAAATATGCTTAGTACTATAAAGAGTATGCCAGAAATGGAATTAAGTATTTAATTCAACTTTAGTATGGATGACTTTAATTAATCATACATTTGGAGAGAATATTTAAAAATAAATAATGTAAGAAAATTATAAAATTTTTGGAGTTTCCATCTATAAATTATTGTTAACCTCTATTAAGTTTATAAAGTAAAATTCTCAAACATTTACTCTAACTAAAGATTAAGTAAAATTATGTTAAAATGGTCTCTAATTAATCTAAAGATTATTATGTATTCCAGAAGATTGCTATATTAAAAATAAACTTATAACAGATTTATAAAGTTCTGAATTTAAATCTTCATTAGATTCACTTTTAGATACACACAATCATATTGTAAAATAGGAAGCAATTAATTTAAAAATTACACTTTAAGGAATTAACAATTATGCATATAAAACTTTGAATGGGATTAGTGATTTAATGAAACTTAAATATCGTTTGAATGACTAAGAAAATAATATAATTTTACCTTCAAAATATTTTTATGAACTTGTATCTGATGATGCCAAAATTTCAATTAATTTAAGTAATCCTGAAGATGATTACAGAAAAGTAAATATCTATTATTAATATTAAAATAGTTAAAGAATTTGAAAGAGTTTAATAAATTTATAGTTGCAAAAATGAATGGCTAACCATTGTATATGAATCTATAATTTAAGAAGAATGAAATTTTTGGTAATGGTGAAGATGAATAAAGAAATTTAATAGTTTTTCATGCACAAATAAGATTTGATGTCTAAAATATCAATAAACAATTAATAAATGGAGTTGAATATTATGGAGAAGGCGAATTAATTATTGAAACTAGGTAAGAAAAAAATCATTATGATATCTTTATCATACAAGACTTGAAACAGAAATTTTATGTTATAGGATCATCAGCTTCAGATACAATCCTATTTGAGTTTTTATGAATAACATTTATTACTCTTTATATTGAGTATTTAACTTATTAATAGAATTATTAAATGCAATATGATTATCTGATTGAATTACTTTTCTACTTAGATTTATTTTACTAATACGATAATCATTTTGATTTATTAATCTTTTTATTTTTTTAATCCTAATTTTCACCTGTGAATATTAACAATCCAAAAATAGACATTCCAAAAACAATTATTCCTATACCAATAGGTGATAATAAGAATGAAAATAACCCTTCACCTTCCTGAGATGAAATAAGAAGAAATAACATACTTCTGGTTCAACTTAATCAGGTACAATCATATTTTATGCCTCTAATTCTGCTCTTTCTAATTCTGCCTCTTTTTTTCTATTTTCTTCTAAAATTTATTCCCAATTATCTATTAAATGATTTCTTTCTTCCTCTCCAGCATTATGACCTTTAACAATCACTATACCATCAACTTTAGGTAAATCAGCAGCCCCTTTTCTAAATCCGATTTTTAATTTTCCATTAATAAATCTAAAATTTATATTTATATACATACCCTTTGCTGCATTCTTCATTTTCATGTAAAACTTTGTCATCTTAAATTTCAATATAAATGAACACTTCTTTTGCAGAACCTTTTTAATGCTTTTTATCAATAATTGAGAAATTATTTAATATTTTTTTTGTTCCAATATAGATATCAAATTATCTATCTCCCTCATTTTCAAAATATAACTTTTTATGGATTAAATTACTTACTTCTACAAATTACAAAATAATTGTATATTGTCCATTTTTATTTATAGGAATGCTATAATCAAATGAATTACCATGTCTTTCAGTAAAATAAACTCTTGGAGTAAAAGTGTATGCAATTCCAGCATAAACAACATCATTATATGTGTAATCAGATACTCTTGATTCCCCACTAAAATATTAATCCTCATATAGAAATTAATTAATACATCTTGATAAAGATATCCTTCTTTAGAATTAAATGATTCTTATCCTCCACAATCTATTGCTAATAAAACTTATTTCAATGATAAGGAGTTCACAAAAGTATTTAGAGAAATAAAGAATAAAATAATCATAATAATTATATTTATTATTTTGAAATAGAAAATTATGTGATCATTGTATAAGCTATTAAATCAATTTAGATTTTATTAATAAAATTAGAAATGTAATTTATATATTCATTTCAAAGGTTTTAATTTGGTTTACATACTCAATTTTTTAGTTCTTGTATATCTTGACATTTATTATGACTTTTCCCATTCATAGTTGCTATGGAATACAATTTTCAAGTGACTTTCAACATCCATATCAAAGACAATATCCTTATTTCCAAAAGGTCTATTATAGATACCAGAAATCGATTTTGTTGATGAAAGATGATGCAAATTACGTGCCAAAGATTCAAATTCTGTTTTTGCTAATTATTCTTATCTAATCTTTAATTATTATGCCTCTTCTTATTCTACTCTCTTAAGTTCTTCCAAAAACGTTTCATTTTTTCTTTTTAAGAATGTCAAATATTCTTTTCTTGTTGCCCAATTTAGATAATATTTTCTATAATGATAACCACGAAAATATCTTTGAATTTATGTTGCCTAATAGCTGAAGTATTTGAGATTTCTTTCATTATATCTATTATCACTATTTCTTTTCATTAACATTCTTGCCAGATAACCTTTAGCAAACTTTTCAACAATAATTGTATTCTAATAACATTGAATTCAAATTTACATATCTAATTTTGAGATATTTAATTCTCTTTACATGCATTCTATACCATTACTAAATTTTTGTTGCTGCTTAATTTTCTCTTGTTTTATTTTCATTGCTTAGTTCTGCTTCATTATAATACAATTCAATTATAGAGTGAAATTGATTTACAACATCTTATTAATATTGCATTTAGTGAGAAATAAGCAATAATTATATTATTATTATTATGAAAACTCAAAATAACTTTGCTCATTTCTCAAGAGGTGGCAAATTATCAAATCCATATTTAAAATTTACTAAAGTAGATGCAGAAACTGCAAAAAAGGCATTTACTCCTTAAGAACTTAAATAAATAATGGATATGTTTGTTTATTTTGATAAAACTGGAAATAGTACTATTAAACGTGATGATTTGGGTTTTGCATTAAGGGCCATAGGATATTTAGTTACAACAATTGAAATTAGAGAATTAGGAATGTATTTGGATCCCAAAAAAACACAAATTTTAAATTTTGAATAGTTTATAACAGCTTGTTATAATGTAAGAAATCGTAAACCAAATAAATAAGAGATTATAAATGCCTTAAAAATATTTGAAAAAAATAAATCCGGTTACATAGATGTTAAAGAAATAAAATCAATCATTACTAAAATTGGAGATGTTCTTAATTTAACAGAATTTGATATTGTTATATCTGAAATAACCTAATCATAAAATGGATATATTAAAACTGATGATTTAGTTAATTTGCTTATAATGTAATGATATTAAAATCATTATTGAAATTTAAGAGCTCTATCTTTATAAAATATGAATTTGAAAATCTAATATGTAGTTATACTCTTTTTATTAAAATCTTATGCTTTGTTATTAAGAATTATAAAATCAAAGTATGTAATTATGTAAATGTTTAAATCTAATATACATACATAAATTTTCATAAAATCTAATTAAAGAACTTTTTATTATTAAATCTAAAAGGTTTTCTATAATTATTGTTACTTGGACCTAATAAAGATTTTAAAGTATCTTAAATTTAATCTGGCTAAAGGGACTCTCTATATGTCTTATATAAATCTTGTTCATTTTCTAATTATTTAATAAAGGTTAATTAATCAATTTCTTTTTGTTAGATTAAATCTATTTAAGATACTAAATTAGTAATTTTATCATTAATAAGGCTGATCTTTCTACTATGAAATCTAGGAGGAGAATCATCAGTTCTAGAATCTTATTTTAAAATAATGTGGCTTAATTAGACTCTACTTTGAATTGGTTTAATTTCACTCAATTTCTTAGGTTAAAAAAATTTGTTTTCACTCATTATTTTATTAGTTATCATTTTTTGATTTTAGGATTACTGAAAAATCTCCTCATTTTGAGCTTATAGATTTATTATAATATATTACAATTTCTAAATATGCTATCTATTGATTTTATACTCTCTTTTTTTTTCTCTTTATTCATTTGTTTATAAACTTAATGCATAATTAATTCCTTTTAAATTTATTCATCTTTCTTATTGAATATTTTTTTTGTGGCTTACTAAACTATATTAATAACCTATTTTGTTTTCATTTTCTTAAGAGTTCTTCTGGCTTATTGTTCTCTGCACTATATTAAAATATTAATTTACTTCAGTTTCATTAATATCTTAATCCTACATCAAAATTAATCTAGAATTAGTTAAAGATTGAAAATTTGAATTTCTTTATACTGATTAAGAGTTTTTACCAAAATAAATTCTTTCATCAGATTTTAATTACTTTTCCTTTTAAACCTAACTTTTATGTACTATAGTCAGTGCTTTATTAACATTATATGTATCTTTTATTTCTTTATCTGATAAATCTTCTTCTTGTTGCCATAATTAATCATAGTTTTCTTTTAAGTTTTATTTCTTTATGGCCTATCTCCTCATTTACTCTTATTACTTTTCTATCATATATTAATTAAAGATTACACTTTTTCATCATCAAATAATCTACATAGTCTTTTTCTGGATCTGTTTAATTTGATGTTATTTTAGGGATTGATGCATTTTGAAGATGATTTATATTAAGCACAAACTTATGATTTAATGGTTATAAAAATTAATGTGGATTGTTAGTTTTACCTATAAGATCTGATACTTTTGATAATATTCTTCTTTTATTAAGTTCTTCATCAGTCAATTACTAAAATGGTTTATTGATTAAAGATTATAACTTTTGGATTTTTCTTAATTATCTTTCCTTATTTTTCTATTGAACTGTTATACTCACTTGACTTTTATCAGACTAATTAAGTTATAATTGATTACATCATCATTTTCACTCTCTTTTTAGTTATTCATTTATAAACTCAAAAATTAATTATATATATTGATAAATAATGCCTTTATCATTTCTTTCCATCTGAACCATCATCCTTTTTCTTTTATTTTTTAACCTATTTTGCTTCATCCCTTAGATAATTAAAATGGTTCTTCTCACTATTTTCATCTATAGTATTTCCTTCAGATTCTGATTCATAATATGATTATTCAGCACTTGAATCACTAGATTATCCAAATTAACTAAAACTTCTATTGCTTAAATCAGCTTTAGAGTCCATAGATTTAGTTCTTTTAAGAGCTTCTCTTTAAGTCAATTTTTTATATTTAATTCTAACATTTTTTTTGAGATATTCCTCATTTAATGTATCATTTCTAATATTGGATCTATTAACTTCTCCAATTATTTACAAAATTTCCTAATGATATAATAATTTAAATTACTTCAGGTCTAGCTTGTTCAATATCTTCAAAAATTAACTTTTATAGTTATTCAAATAATTCAACTTCTTTGCCTCTTGGATAAATATGATAATAATTTGTTCTTTCATCTAAAAATTACATAGATGCTTTCTCTATTTTGCCTAGCATTTTAATACTCCAAGCATATAATTTTTATTTCATAATTTCTGCTTTTTTTGCTCTATCATCAATACTGTAAAATTATTTATATATTTCTGAATCTACTCCCTTTTTTGAAGGTTTTGCACTCATTTCCATAATTTAAACTTCATCTTTTAATTATTAAAATTTATTTCTAAAATTAATAAAAATTTTACTTCAAATTTTCTTTTTTCCTTTTCAAATGTTCAATTTTCTTTTCATTTTCTGCTATAGTACCTAAAAGTTAACCATATGTAGCTTCTTTTGTTAAAAATTTTTAAACTATTTCTTATGCTTCTGAAATTCCTGTAGCTGTCTTAATTTCTTAAAATGCAGTTTCTACAACTTAAAATTTTTCCATTTCTTTTTCCATTTTATTTTTCAATAAAGAATGAACTACTTTATGTGCTAATAATAGTTTTCTCCATTTTTTCTATAAAAAATATTAAATAATTAAATTACTTCACTTGCATCCTTATCATTACTGGCATGTTCTGCTATTTCTCTTTATTTTATCATTCTTTCATCTCTTTTCTCTTTTGCTATTAATTATGCCTTAATTTGTTTATTATATTATGCAATTTGTCTTTGTCTATTATTCTTCTCTATTTCAATATTCTATATAATTAAATCTCAATAGACAAATACATTCATCATTTCATCACATAACTTTCTTGTCATTTGATTTAATTATATTGATTCCCATTATTTTGCATCTGCTTAATTAGCTTCTGCTTTCTTCTTTTCATAAATATCTCCCATTTCATTTAATTTCTTTCTAAAACATAGTACATCATGCTTTAATCTATTTATAACATGTGTATAAGATTTTTCACTCATCTAACTTTCCTCAAATCTTTATTTAGCCTACATATATTCTGTTTTTGAGCATTCCAATTCTTTTGTTAATTCTGTTGTATTATTTATTAACTCTGCTTCTTCCAAATTTAACTTTAGAAGTTGATCCTTAAGAATAATAATAATTATTTTCTACTTTAAATTAAGATATCTCCTTTTCCTTATATAGAGATGATGTGTGGTAAGTATCAAACTCTTTTCTAAGTTCTCCTAATTTTAAATGAACTTCTTTTTCTTCCATTTAAAACAGTTATAACTAAAAATCTAAAAGTTTCTTACACTTTCATTTTATTGTTAGGATGCCCCTTAATAATTATTTAAGGAACCAAGAATAAAAGACAAATCTTATTTTCTAAAATGAATCTCAAAATTACTTTATTGCTTTTTGAATAGATCTCATTGCTACAGCTTATGTGCTTACAAATCGATCTGTTTTCATTCTAGGAGATGAGTTCAATACTTAAGTTTCCTATATTAATAATATCAAATATACTTCTGTTGGTTACATAAGTAATGGTGTTCAAAAATATCAAATAAAATAATATATATATATATTAAACTAAAATCAGAAAAAATATCTCTAAATTCATAATTCAAAAACAATTTATTTTCCAAATTTCTGATGAATAATAAAATTAAGTTTTAATTAATGATGAAATTTTACACGTCAGTATGAAACACATGAATTTATAACGATACCTGAACTAATATCAAAAATATATTTATATAAATCATATTCAATGTGATATATTTCTTTTGATTCTAAAAAGAAAGTATAATAAATTGAATACTCTTTCTTGATAAATTAATAATGATTCAAAATAAAACTTATAGAAATAATATATTGATATAATTAAATTATGTTCAGAAAAGTGTCTCTATATTGTTTTGGAAAGTACAAATTTAATGCCAATATCATAAATAAAGTTTCTACTTTACTTAAGATTAAACCTAGTTTAGCAAATGAAGACATTAATTTCTTTGGTGATGTTAGATTGTTGGATTCATAAAATAAATTGATTGGTGTTTTTGCATGTGAAGAAGCAAGAAAAAAAGCTGATAAATTGGGATAAGACTTAATTATGATAAATTAAGAAATTAAACCTGCTTTATGTAAAGTTTGTGATTACTCTGATGAACTTGCATCAAAATTCATGAATGATATTGTAAAGATTAAAGAATAATAAAAATTAAATGATCAACATTTTAAATTAAGTCATAGTATTACAATGCAAGATTTGAAATTGAAGGTTAATTAAGCTAAAGATTTAATGAAAAAATAAAATACTTTAAGAGTTACTATAATATGTCCAATTGAAACAGCTATTTAGGCTAAGAGCATTTTGTATACTGTAATATTAATTATTATTAGTTTAGTTAAAAGATTTGTCTTAATCCTTTATGATTCCAATAGGAGATATAAAAACTAAGGATTTTAAAGAAAAGGAATAATTTGATAAAAAGAAAGAATTATAAGAATAAGTCTAATTGGATATAGAATTTGAATCAATAGAAAAGACTGAATAACATTTAGATTTACCTTAAATAAAAATTGAAAGATTAATCAATTAATATTATTCTCGTAGTCTTTAGTATTTTATATTCTAATATTTAGAGAGAAAACAGAGGATGAATAAGACCTTGCAGATCTCTTTAAAGTACAATAGTCTGAAAAAGATAAGAAACTTGAGACATAAGATAGTAAGAAATCTAAGTTAGAGGAGATGATGGAAGATGATGAATTAGATTTCTAACTTTAAGATATTTCAACTAATACCTCATGTAAATTAATTTAATAAAATTATTAGCATGTTATTTAAAAGATGGTAATTTGTCAAAATATGTGAAGTTATATAAAATGATAGAGTGGTCATAGGGAAGAAAATGATGTTACATTAATGTTATTATTATTTTGAATTACAATGTATTTTATAACATAAATTAATGATAAATTTAACTGAATATATTAATGCAATATTAAGACTCAAGAAGAGTGATTAATCCTATTTATTAAGATTAACCTAAGTAAGTGAGACCAAGATCTATTTCAAATACAACCAAGTTATTGGTTTGGGATCCTCAATAAATCATCTCTAAAACAGAAAATATAAAAAATTAATAACCTACTAGCAATGATGTAAGGAATACTCGATAAAATTAAAGGAATTTTTCTTCTATTTTAGGTGGGAATAACTTCATCAAAAATATTAATTAACAACCTTATAATGATTTAAATGATATCATAAAGCATTAACATGTAGTACAATCTACAAAAGAAAAAATAATAAATCCTATAAAATTATCACTCCAAGATGAATATCAAATATATCCATAATAAGACTCAAAGTCTTAAGAAAGGTACTCAATAAAATTAAATAAATAATCAAGATGTGATAAGGAAAACTAGTTTAATAATTAATAAGAATTAATAAGATTAAATAAAACAGAGAATGTTAAATCTAAAATGAAAGGCTAGAAAGAGGAAAGTAAATCATTAGTATCAGAATTGAAAAAAAGAATGATGAATACTCCTTAAAAATCATAGATTAATAATCATAAACCAACACTTTAAATGGAAGACAATAATATAACTATTATTACTATGTAATTAAAAGATATAAAGGAAAATGTATAAACTGAAGAAATGAAATAGTTATGTTAAAATATGGGTTATCATATGATAAAGTTTGATAAAGAATATGATAAAATAAATCATAGATAAAATGGATAAGGTTCAATATAAATTAGAGGTATTAACACTGATTAAAAGCTTACTACTTTTTAAAGATCATTAAGTAAAAAGGGAATTAATATAGGTGAATAAAATTTAAAACTAAAGGATTTTATATCCAATAAATATTTACTTAAAAGTCAAGAGCATTCTTAGGCGGATAATCAAAATTCTCAAAATTAAGAAAACAAACTCTTAAATAATTTTAAGAAATTCTAAAGTAGATAAAAAGGATAATTTTAATGAATAATATTTGATATTCTATATTAATATATCTTTCATAAATTTTGACATTCTTTCAACTAATTTATTAACGCTTATACTTTTCCTTTATTAATAATACATATATTTTGTATTAAAGATTTTCGAATTTAATGAACCTCAATAATTTAAAGTAATTTCCATAGAATAATAAAATTATCAAATATGTAATTATCATTCATATAGAAGAAAGGGAAATTTAAAGATTTGATCTAATAATAGAAAGCTTAAGTTTTAGATAAATAAAAGTCTCTACAATAAAAGCTTCAATTAATAGCACAATAAAAGACAACAAAAGTTTAAGACTCAAAGCAAATGTACTTATTGACTATAATATATAGATAAGGGGATATTAAGTAACTAAATTTACCTAAGTTAATGAAAAGAATCTATTCTGATAAGAAACTTAATGATAATTGTAAGTAATAACAAAAAAATGAAGATAAAATACAACAGAACATAAGTAAGGATTTAATGAGTCCAATTAAATTCATAAATATTCACAATACATATGATTACAAGCCAAGATTAGCTATTATAGCATCAACAGATCGATTTTAGACAGAAGGTAATGAAAGGAAGGACTTCATGAATTATACATTTGGAGCATAGTTTAGAATAAGAGGAACAAATATATCTCATATAAATAAAACACCTGTTGTAAATTAAAAAAGATCTACATCTTAAACTAGTAGGATTATGACAACATCTTAACAAAGAGTTGTTAACAAAATTTTTTCATGAAATTATTTTTTTTAATTTTTATTAATAAATATGAATTAGCAAAGTTTTGTATAAGTTACTTAGGAATATGATTAAGTAAATAAAAGAGTCAATTCATTGAAATTTTAATTAAGAGATATCGATTAAAAGAATTTTCTATTGTAGACAAAATTAAAGGATCTAAGATAGATATCTCCTAAAATATAAAAATCTCCGATTACTTAATTATAAGAATAATTGAGATTAGATAGGAAATAGATAATTGAATAATTTAAACCGATTGTAGAAAAAGAAGGAATTTATTTAAGAAATGAAAGACTTAAAACAGAATCCTAATTGCAATAATCAAAAATATGGGATATTTAACAGAAAAAAATGAAAGTAAAAATGATTGATGAATTTGATTCAGAAGTAACCAAAAGAAGAGCAGAATATTAAGAAAAAAAAATATAAGAAGTTAGGTAAAAATAATTATAAGAAATGCAAATGAATCGATTAATTGTAAATAAAAAGCTTTTGGAAATAACTAAACTAAAAAAACAAGAGAAAGAATTGATAGAAGAAATATAAAGGTAAATATATATTTATTACTTTAGTGCTAAAACCAAAGAATAATAATTATGCAATAAATTCTGTAATGTTTTGGCTTCAAATGATAATAGCGTCATTCTACCATCAATCTAAAAATCAAATAGTAGAATGAGTTAAAATTCAAATTCAAAATATTAAAATAAAGGTTGTTCTCCTTTCTAGAAATCTGATAAGGTTTTTGATAGATTATAAAGAAGTGAAACAAGAAATGATAATTCAATTATAGAATTTGAAGAAAATAGAAGATTATAATTAGAAACAAGAAAAAAGTCACAATCAATTGATTAACTAAATATTGGTTGTTAAACTAGTTTTCTAAATAAAGATCAAAATTTTGAAAGCGTTTAATATTCTTAGAATAATGATTCTTATTTAAATAGATAAAAAGATAAAACTTTGGAAAAATCTCAAGCAAATTAAACATCAGAGGAAAGAAAGGATTAAAAGGAGAAAAATAAATTAACAAGTAATAAAAAGTAATGACTACATGAACTATTGCTATTTAACTCTTCGTTATCAAAATTAATATTAATTAAAATTTCCTTTTTATCATCTTTTAGTAAGTTGTTTTACTATTTAAATTTATTTCATTCCCTTCAAAAGATAAGGTTTTGATTAAATTTCTCTTCTAAGAGTACATCTAATCAATATTTTTAAATAAAATTATTTGCCATATTATCCATTTAATATTGAATTTGAAAAAACAAATTTAATTAATTAAATAAGGATTCAATGGGCAAATAATATGCTAGAGAGCCAGCAGTTGCTAAAAAATCCGCTAAGGCTAAGGCAAGTGATTTGAGAACTCACTTTAAGAATACCTATGAAGTAGCTAGAGCACTTAAAGGATAAACCCTTGCTTAAGCACTTAAATATTTACAAGATGTCTTATAGCATAAGAGATGTGTTCCATTCACCAGATTTAATGGAGGTGTAGGCAGAACAAGTTAAGCCAAAGAATTCGGCAGATCATAAGGTATAGATTTTTACTAAATTTATTTAAGGTAGATGGCCTGAAAAGAGTGTAAGAATGGTTCTATCACTCTTGTAAAATTTGGCTGCTAATGCCTAAGTTAAGAATTTGAGTAATGAAAAACTGATTATCAATCATGTATAAGTCAATAGAGCTTAAAAAGGTAGACGTCGAACATATAGAGCTCATGGAAGAATCAATCGTAAGATATATGATTTATTTTAATAGCATTCTTATCATCTAATGCACACATTGAAATATGGGCTGCTGAAAGAGATGAAAATGTTAAGAAAGAAGCAAATAATAAAGTTGTTGCTCGTTAATCAAGAAAATAGGCTGCTAGATCCAAATTAGCTATTGGTGCATGAGGCTATATTAATAGTAGTATAATATTCTAATATTCCAATGTTTAAAGTCTTTTTTATTTATATTTTATTTTAAAGCTGAAATAATATATTAATGTTTTAAGTAGTATCAATTTTTGAATAAACTAAAATATTCATTAAAAGAAAAGGGTATTGACATATTGACTGGAATTTCAGGTTCTTTATTTGACTTTTTCATAAACTTTTCTTATTCAATTAAACTAATTGTTACTTATTATGGAAGAATATTAGTTTTATTTTATTTTTAACTGGTTTGATCTGTTCTAATGATTTATTTGGGTGATAATTTTAATATTGGATTTTCTTATTTTTTCTTATAAGTAAGGATTGAGTATTATTATTATATTTTTTAATTAATTAACATTTATAACTAAGGAGATTAAGTTTACAATTTTTTAAATTATAAATCTAAATGATGTTCTTAATCATGGAAGGACTTTAATTGTTAATTCAAATCTTTGATTTCATTATCTAGTTTTTTTAATTTTAAATCTTGTTGCAAGAGTTAGTTTTATTCTCTACTCATTTCTTCATATATTTGAGCTATTTAATCAATATTTCTTTTAATTTCTTCATGTGAATATTTTTAAATTTAATTGTTTAACTTTGAATTTTATTGTTATGATTAATCACTAAATGCTATGGTAAATAAATTTGAACCAAAATCTCTATTTAATTTATTGAATTACTTAATGATTATTCTCTTGAGTTTTAAATGCTAGTATTTGGAGTGCTCTTTTTAGATGTTTCATCTATCTTAAAGCATAGGAATCCAATCAATTGTTTCTAATTTTTCTTATCATAAATTGGAACTTTTTCTAATGAAAATGCTTAGTAAGTATTTAGATCTAAATGAGAGATTCCTAAATTTTAGATTTCTATTTTGATCTTATGATTAAAAACTTCAATAGCTTATGTCTTATAATTTGTTATCTTGTACTTGATTAACAATTGCATATCTTTGATCTTAAGGTTTAGCAATGAAAGTATGTTTTTCACACACTATTACTTTTAATGATTCACTAACTAATGGATAAAGGAACTCCAATCTTAAACAAGTAAATTAAATAACTCTCACTTTTTCACTAAACGGTGATAAGCTCTTTTTATGATGCATAATATTAAATTATTAAAAATGAGATGTTAAAAAGAAAAATTACGTTGAATAATAAAATAATTTTATAGAGTTATTACTCATATAACTCAGCTCTTTTATTCAGAATCTAGAGCAGGGAAATCATTTGCATTCAAAGCATTTGGTTTTATAATTTATTTTGGTGTTTTTTATAATACTGCTTTAGGTATTAATTAATATTATTGTTATTATTATTATTATTATTACTATTATTATTACTATTAATGATGTACATCACTTTTTTATACATATTACTAAGATTAATTAAAATGATATACATTATTTCCTCTATCTCTTTAACCTCCTCTTCTATCTTTATCTTTTCCTCCTCTCTCATTTCTTTCGTTTCCTCTTTCATTCCTATCTCCCTTATCTCTATTATGATATTTCTCTTCATGTCTATCATCATCTTTTTCATTTCTATAATATCCATAGTTTCCTCTTGGTCTATTACCTCTTGCTCTAGACTTTTGATAAGATCTATCAATTTCTTTATCTTATTCTTCATATTAATCATTTCTTTTGTATCCTTATTAATCATTTTCCTATTATTCGATCTTCTTTGTCATCATTGAGCATTTTTTAGCATTTATTTATTTATGAAATTCATCCAAATAATCAACATTTTACATAATAACTGAATCAATATGAAGTTCTGCCTTTTTTGACATCAAAAAATCAAAAATTCCTATTGCATAATTTTCAGTTTAAGATGTTACTATTAATTTTACATATGTTTTATCAGCTTAATAAATTTCTTCTTCATAAATTAATTCCTCTTTTGTAAAGCCAGATTTCTAAAGTGTTTCTTTAATGAGAGCTACATTCAAAACTGGTATTTTTATTTATATCCTCTTTCTCTCTGTTGGAAAATAAGGACGAATGATTAACATTTGATGATCAAAATTCCATAATTATTTGTTATATTTATTTAAAATCTTAAATATTAATATCTCTTTAATACATCTGTTAAAATTAAATGATATTTCTTGCGAGTATTCAATTCATTTTACACATATTGACTTTTAATTGAATTCTCTCTTTACACAACAACATATTATAGCAAATACCAATCAGGTTTTAAAATATCAGTCTCAAATTTTCTAACCAGGTATTCATTATTAAGTAAATTATCATATTTAAACAATTCAATCATCTAAATAAATTATACATGAATTAATTTACAGCTTTCTCTAGTCTTTAATATTGGTCTTCTGGCTAACATGATATTATCATATTTAATACCTTATCGGATAAAATTTCAGCAGCAATCATCAGTTCACAACTATTGATGCAAATTATTTATCTAATTAATTTTCATCACAAAATAAGAAACTCAAACTAATTAACCTATATAAATTAGAAGAAAAATATTATACTATTTTGAATCAATCCCTTATAATAACAAGTTGGCTTCTCAAAAATTGATCAAATGTAGAATAACTATACAAATTAACCTCTTTTTTGTTTGTTTAGTAAAATTTGTTAAAATGATATATATTTATATAAAACATTATAATTTTTTATAAAATTATTGAAAAAAAACTTTCACTAATTCATTTTTTATAAACAGTAATTTTGATTAATCTTTTATTCTTCTATTAGGTTTATTCAAAAAATAAATAAGTAAATATATTTATAATGTTTTTACATAATATTATAGTTAATAATCAATAGGATTAGAAAGGATAAAATAAGAAATAATCTGTATATGAGTTATATGTCTAGAGTGAGAAATATAATTTCATATAAAATTTTTTACAATTTATCATAAATTTTACTGATTTGTGAATAGTAATTGTTATTAAATTAATTTTAACTTCTAGAATTGTTATAAAATTCTTTAAATATCTCAAAATTATGAAAATTACACACTAATTCAGTTTTAAAAGGAAGATTATTAATATTAGGCTAATTATAGAGTAAACTCAAATACTAATTTTTTAAATTGAATTTAGGTTATTAAGAATTCAACCTTCTTTGATATAACAATAAAAAAGGTTCTTATTTCTTCATAAATTAATTTAGAGTTTATTTCAAAGATATTTATTTACGATGTTTTATTTTATCAACCTTCAATAAAAACATTTAAATTATTATTGTTATTTTTATAAATTATATGTATTAAACACAAACCTAATCATAAAAACAAATTGAAGAAATGATTGCTTATAGTTAATCAAATTTATCAATAATTTTAAACATGGAACAATTTATGAAATATTTTAGAGCTAATGATCCATTTGCAATTGATTTTCTATAAAGGAATGTAAAGTAAATGATTGACATTTTATTTATTGACTATGATAAAGTTTAAACTGACTAATTAGCTATTTTTAGTGACTTAATTAATAAAATCTTTGAGATTATAGATCTCAAATTAGAACCTATAATGAAATAAATAGAAGTGATATTCAGATTTTATTTTAGATTTATTGGGAAGTGATATTTGATTTAAGATGGAGAGCATTGACACCAGATACATAATGGGGAATTGCTCATAAATTGTTTTAGTTGATAAAGGATCGAGATAAGAGATTTGTTCTTGATTAATTTTAAAGACCTAACTTTTTGGTTTCTTTTTTACCTTTAATTCACATAAATAGCGTAGCTTAGATTTTAATTATCTTTTATGAGTTTGGGTTTCATTAATAATAACTTGATTTTTTAAAAGTTGGTTTTGATCGATTTTAAGACTTTGATCCTTGTAGTGCAATCAATTTCACTTTTATTATTCATGAGATTATGATTAGAATTTTAAATGATAATTAAATTGAATATGTGATAAAAGGAGAAATTCAAAGGAAAATGTTTGCTATTATTTCAAGAGATGATATTAATGCAATGTATTTGTAATAAGTAATTAAATAGTACTTTAAAGAATGCTGCTCATATTTTATCATTAGTATCAAATTATTATTCAATGGATATGCAAAATATTTAATTAGATGAACCAGAGACATAAGAAATTACTTAAAATTTTAGACATACAGAATTCTTTGAATATTTTGATGTTAAAATAATTGCATAAATATTGTAATAATCATTTTAAAATAAAACTAAGGTTGGTTTATTGATTATTAAACTTGTAGAAGTATTAAAATTTAATAATTATTTAGGTAATTGATAATTTAGTTAGAATAACAGATATCTAATTATGGGAAAAGGTTGATAAAGCTAATATAATGGAATTAATATTTAACTTAGTTCATAAATTTAATAAATAAGATATTTTTATATCTTATGTAGATAATATGATTTCTTTCATTTTTGAAAGAGCATTAAATGATTATCACCCATATTGGGCATCTAAATTAATATTAAAGAATAAAATTCACGAAAAACATCATAGGTTAATTGACAAATAAATTTATTAATTTGAATCAAAATTATCTCTTAAATTAATTCAAGATGGAGAGTTTTTACCATATTATGATTATTTAAAATAAATAGAAGAAGAGTTAATGATTTCCCATAATTGGAGAACTTTAAAGTTACATTAAATGAAATAAGAAGAAATACATAAGAATAAATTAGGTGAAGATCCTAGTAGTCCTTAAATTGAAGAAAAACTAATTGTATCTGCTTTAGATGTTGAGGATACAAAATATTAAGAATAAGATGGAATTGATGAATCAGCAAATAATATTTTTATTAATTGTCAATCAAATTCACCTTCAAAATAAAATTATTAAGAAATTACTAAAAATATATTTGAAACAATTCCTATTACAAGGGCAGATTCAGAATCAAATTCAGAATCCTCATATAATGAAAGTGAGTAATCAGTTGAAAAAAAGTTTGTTTAGGATAAGGATTTTGATAGACCAATAGATCCTTTGAGTTAATTAAAAGAGGTATTATCAGAATTGGGTTTGAAATCTAATTAATAAAATAAATTATCTCATTCTGATTAATTAGATAGAGAAAAAGTATATAAAAATAGAAATTTATCCAACTCATTAAATCATGAAGAATAAAAAAATAAACTTATGACTGCTTCTCTTAAAGATGATTATGATGTTCCATCTCCTATACTTTAAAGAAGAAGTTCACTTTAACCAGTCTCTAATGTTAAGAAATTGAATAAGAATTTTGAAGAATTTCATATTGATTTTTTAAATAATCGAAAAATCCTAAAAAAAGATGATAATAGTATTTTAAAGGTTGATGAAATTGATTTTGAAAAAGTGCCATCTAAATAAATAATTTAAGTTGTTTTTTAAAAATAAAATTAAGAAATACTACTCAAAACAAAATTAGTAGTGGAACCAAAAGAGGAGGAAACTAATTTGTTTCCAAAATTTGAGAAAGTTGAAGATATCAAGTTTAGATAACTATAACAAAAGGATCTCCATTTTCTAGAATTTCTAAAAAATTAGGAATGATCATTATAAACTAATTTTATTAAAATTAGGAAATTTCATCTTGAAGCATAAGAGCATTTTTCAATTATAATATCTTATATATTTATATTGATGATATATATATATTTTTAGAATGAATTATGAAATTTAGTTAATTAAAAATGGAATAAGTAATTTAGAATGACAATTTAGATATGTTACAATAAAAATTAGTAAGTTATCCAAAAACTTATGAGGATTTGAAAGTACTAATATATTCTTAAATAAAAGATAATTGCATCTATAATAAGGGGAACCCAAATTTTTAATAAATTGAATGAGTTATATCATTAACTACTTTCAAGTGATGGTTAAATAAAAGTATTAAAAAAATTAAGCAAAGTTGTGTAATAATGTAGAAATTAAGAGTTACTCTTAAAATGAATTGATATCTTCGAATCCAATTTTAGGGGTGTAACTTTTATTAAAGGGATAAGTTGATGTATTTTAATTGGATGAAGGTTATATATATAAAACAGAGAAATAAATTACAAGTCTATTTCCCCTTTCTTATATTGAAGAAGAATTCCATTTTGATAAGCAAATATATAGATCATCTCAATTAAAATATAAAATTTCAGTAGATGACTCATTAATTTTGTAAATAAATAAATAAGAATGTGATGATATTTATTAATTCTTTGGTGATCTTTTCCTTTTTAAACATAAAACTTTATGCAAAATAATCCCAGGTTTAGGAGAATTAAATTCAAAAAGAATATTGGCAGCATTGGCTACATAATTTGAAAGTTTAACTTTACCACATTTGACACCTATAACAGAGTAATTATATTAATCTAAATAAATATAGAGAAAATGTAATAGGTGATTATTTGTACTTTTTAGCTTAAGGTGATATTCAAATGATAAAGAAAGAAGAATAAGTTTTTAATATTGAAGACAGTGGAATAATAGGAGATGAATTATTAATAGATCCAGATTCAGATTAGAATTAATAAATATGTTATGAATTTACAGCAAAAGTAAAATCTGCTTAAGTTTTACTTTATAGAATTAAAGTTAAAATATTTAATCGTCTTTTTCCTAACTCTATAATTCGATAAATTATATCTCTTCATAAGTGTATTAATATTTAAAAATAATTGTAGAAAAATAATTGATACGTTTGTTGATGGGAAGTAAACCATTTGATTAATAATAATTATGTATTTCTCCTAATAATTAATAAAAGAAATCATAATCCACTTTAATTCTAGCAAAAGATTCAATAAAATCATATGATAAGGTGGATATATAATTTTAGTAATATTAAGTATATATAAACATTTATTTAATTTAGGTACCAAAACATAGTAGAGTATTAAAATACAATAAGAATGTATTGGATCAATTTGGTGAAGAGGAAAAGAAATCTAAAAAGATAACTATAAATGAATTCGTTTAATTAACAAAATAAAGCAAATAACCTTAAATTAAAATTTTAGAAAAAGTTGAAAATCCATACAGCTTTGCTTCTAATGTTAATTCAGAGGGTTTTTTGAAATAATACTATTCAAACTTAATTAGAGTTGGATTGGTTAAACCTCCTCTTAGAATTGCTCCTTAAAACCATGAGGCAATTTAAAGATCTAGAGTTAATTCAGCTGTTAAATTAGTTGAGAAAACACATAAGCAATTAAAAACTCGAAGATCAACTAGTTTAATTTATGGCCAAAAAGATCCAATACTTCAGATTAATTCATTAAACTCAAATAAAGATAATAAAGGAAATTTAAATTCCTAAAAAAAATTAGATAAAACTAGAACAATAACTTCATTTTTTGCAACACCAAGAACTTCATAACAATTACATTAATTTCATAATCCTTCTTAAGGATATTTTTAATTTATTGAAACACCAAAATGTGAAACCCCTTAATCAAGATCAACAATGGCTAAATCATCTCATGTATTTAGACCTTATTCAGGATTCATGGATCATTCTTCAAGATTATCACAATAATCAGAAATGTAAAAAAGATTAAGAAAACCAAACTAACACTTTTTTTGAATAAATATGATATATTTTTAATTCAAAATCATTATTTTCAGCATACTATATTTGCTTTTGTTAAGTAATCTAAACCATATCTCATACCAAACACAACACCATAATAGATTTATGAAAAAATATTGGCTATATCTAAAGCAAAGACAATCAAGATAACTGTGTAACCAATTTTATATTTGCTTAATAGAATGTATCCAATTTTTGTAATCACAGACCCACCTATAACCTTAAATAAACAATTAAATTACTGCTAATCCTGTAAATAACAGAATCATTTACTAATCTAAATAATGATTAGTAAGTAAAGTTATTAAATTATTTAAAGATATCATGAAATATATAAATGCTGAAGTAGCTGATGCACATCTTGGAATCAAACCACTATAAAGTAAAGTTGGAACCATTACAAAACCTGCTCCCATTCCAAGAAATCCTGATACAAAACCAGCTCCAAATCCTCCTGCATATATTTTGAAAAATCGACTAATAGGAGTAAAATATCTCTCATTAGGTAAATAGTTCAATTAATCAAAATATTTCTCTTAACGAGATCCAAAATTCCAAGCTATATAATCAAATAGAACATTTGCAATAATTAAAATTAGAATCATGAAATCGTTTTCCCATGTACAATCCTGTATACCAACATAAGATGGTTTACTTGGATTTGTGGATCTCATTTATATAAATATCTAAAATTTCAACAATATTAATACTTAATTAAGTCCAAAAGAACCTAAAATAAATAGTACAGGCATGATTGGCAAAACATTCTCAGTTTCTTATTTGAATTAATAATAGAGAGTATTTGAATTTTCCTTCTTATTTTCAGCATTTATTGAAGTTAATGATACTGAATTTTATTATTCTTCTATTTTTTAAAGTTCAATCTTTTATTAAGTGTTTGATCCATCCAAATTTAGTGCCTAACTTTCATTTTTTTGTTTATCTGGAGTTTAAAGTTCTTCGCTTTTAGCTTTCTGAGCTTACGTAATTCATTCTATAAATTACCTTTTTTCCACAATATAGGGGCAACTGCAAATAAAAATAGTTCTTGTAGAATTAATGTGTATAATTAAGGTAGAAAGGAAGCCAATGATGATCCTAGATTTGTGGCAAAAGGAACTGCAAGATTAAAAATTATTGAAATTCTGTAATTAATAATGGGTCTTCTTTAATCTTCAGGATTTCTATCATTTAAATATTAGTTATTACTTTTCAAACATTAACAATATTGTATTTAATAATGTTCCTCCAAACATAAGACAATAAGCAATGTGGGTGGCTTCACTTTAAGAATAATTTAGTATCATTTCTAAAAGTGGTCCTTTTAATACTCCACCTAAAGAATTGATACATTTCTTACCTCCTAATCCTCCAAGTATTCCGATCCCAATCAAAATTGGTGTGATGATATAGGATATAATAATACCTGCTTTAGGTGTATATGGTGGATCATGAACACATGTTGTAAGCCCTTTGGTATTGAGTTAGCATTAACTAAACTACCCACATGTATGTAAAAACCCAGTTGCATTTGGATTGCAGTATTCAGTCATTTGTAAATATAATTAAGTATAAGTGCAATAGAAATGAAGATTTTCATTTGATTTTATTATAAAATTAGATTTATTTAAGATGATGCAGTATAACTCAAAAAATAAATGATTTATTCTCATTTTTATCATCATTAGTGTCCCATCTATCAAGATTCCAATAAGAAGGTTAATGATAATAATTTTAATTGTTAGACTGTAATATCAATGCTCGACAAGGAGTATTTTTTCTAAAAGTATATTATGTTTCTATATGTTTTTTGTACTTCTATGATTTTATTGGTCTTGGAGAAAAATTAATCCTTGATATAGTAGAATTTAATGAAAATGATGGCTATGTTTTAAATTTGGTAATTGAATAAGATTTGTCCTTATACTTCCTCCCAGAATTACCATATAATTTATAAGTGGATTAATTATTAACCTTGAATCCTGGTACTATATGATAAATAGTAGAAGTATCGGTAATTGTTTCTGTTTATCTTGAGACCATCATTTGAGTTACATGAATAGGACTCTATGTAATTGGTTGTTTAACATAAGTGTCTAACTTCAATCTATGTTCTTGAATGATTGGCACTTTTTGCATTAGTTTTGCTAGAATTTCTTTCTTGGATTTTGGTTTCATAATTAATAATATGTTTAAGCCAAAAATTTAGAAGGAGTAATAATAACAACCATTTTACTTAAGTTGGTTTGCTAATTAAGGGTATTTACATGAGAAGTTAATTTAGCTTAGAGAGAATCCAAAAAGAGGTGGGACAGCACCAAATCAATCTCGAAAAGATAAATTATCTCTAAAGAGTCCTTATCAGCAACCATTGATCACAGTTTCTCATTAAGCACCTAATCCATATACGAAAACAATGTGAGTAACATTCTTCTTAAAGTAGATAGCCTCCTAAAAGTTACTAAAACAACATTTAATAGATCTCAAAAATCTATGCTGGTTCATTTTAAGGTATGATGAAGAGAAGGAGTCTTGAAAAAAGGTATGATGATGTACCAAAGAGTGGAAGAACTTCATTTAAACCATCTAGAACATTTACTCAATAAAACTCCAGAGCATTTCATTCTTGTGAATAGTAGAGCAGACCATAAACATAATAATTAAATACTTTCGAACCTAAAATACAATGCGACAATATTGTTTCATATAATTATGAAGATCCATAACTTACTCCTAGAGACAATGATGATGTCGAAATCATGGAAATTGATAATGTCGATATTGATTCAAATGAATCTAATGAAGCAGACAGCGAAGAAGATCATAACTTACAATTACCAACTTAAAATTAAGAAGAGCCTCACATCTAAAAGAACAAATCATTTGTTCAAAAATAAATAGAAGAACCTATTATTAGCATGAGAAAAGCAACTGCTACTCTTAACAGACCTTAAACATCTGAAGGAGCAAGAAGAAAAAGATTTGCCAATTCAACCAATGAAGTTTAGCAAAATATAACATAAAAAAAAGATTCTGAATTTTAGATCTTTGAATGTTAAGCTAATATTATTTAAGAAGATGATTCTGAAAATAATGTAATTATTCCAACCATAACCAACACTCTTAATTCACCAAAAGTATTAATTACTTTTATCTAGGATTTACTCTCTATTCGTTCAGGATAAAGAAGAAAACCTACTGATCAGGCAATCGATAATTTACATAATAATGATCGCCCTCCTTCAAGACATAAAACACCTCCTAAGGCTACAGGGTTAGAATTACCTTTTTAGACTGTTAATTCTTTAGTTAATCATGAAATACCCATTAAAAATATGTATGCATAAATTGATGACAAAAGTAAACGAAATTCTATATATAATCTTAGTAAATAATAATTTTAATGATGATCTTGATGAATTTGATCTTGGCTTTTTTAAAATGAATAATAAAGTCAATCTGAATAAGTTTCAATCCAAAGATGGATATCATACTGATGAAGGAAGTATTTATACTATATTACTTTAGAAAAAACTAACATCAACTATAAACATCCTTAATCAGCTAATCTTAAATTTAACAACATTGGGTTCTAAAATTTATCATATTCCCCTCTAAATAATTAAATTACATCAGCTCATGGATTTAGAACCAATGAACCTTAGATAGTTATAAAATATAATAATAGCTCTTCAATTAATAAGAATTAAGCTAAGCTACCTGTAAAAGTCCCATTTCAGACATCATTAGGCTAAGATTTCTTAAGCCTATTTGCTAATGATTGTACAGACTGAAATTATTAAAATAAGTATTCATCATATTTATACTGATATTATTAAATAATAATTTTTTATAACTTAAATTATTCAAAATACAGAAATTAAATAAAGTAAAATATTTACAAAACATAAAAGATAATTATTAATTATTTTTAAAAAGGTTAATTTTGAAAATGCAATTCTTGATAAAAATAATATATTTATGTACTTTCAACAATAAAGTAGTCTAGATATTAAAAATGAATAATTATATTATAATTTAATTTAACTAAAATATCATATCAGTCTAACCCATCCAATAATAACATCATATGCACTTCCACTATAATCTTTACATTTTTCTTATGGATGTAAATTACTTATCTCTCGTTAATTAATAATGTAATAATTTCCTAAGTTATTTTTTGCAACTTTTAATTTTCTAGCATATTATTAAGAGTCCCAAATATCATCATAGTTCTATTCTCCTATAGTAACATAAGGTTCATTTTCAGATAATTAAACATCCAAAACCACTGCAACATGTCCATAAGGATAATTTGGTTGACTCTTATTCCAAATTAATAAATCTCCTGGTAAAGGTCTTTCCTATCCTCCATTTTTAAACTGAAGAATCTTTCTCTTACCTCCATTTTAATAATCAAATGCAAATTCTAGATCATAAATTTGATCAGCTGTGTCAACATCAGGAAATGCAGATCCATATTTCAAAATCCAATAATATCTTGCATAATGAACACACTGATATCTATTTATAAAATATAAATAAAGAACTTCATTCCAACATAAACTGTTTAATTTAAACCAGATTCTTATGGTTATAAATAATGTTTAAGTTCAGCTATATGCTAAGTGTCATTTTAGCAAGAATATGCAGGTATCTTATTACCATAACCAATTATAACTCCATAATCAGGTATTGATTATTCCCCTATAAGATTATTCTATTTTCTTACAATCTTTTCTGAATTAATTACATGAATAACATTCACTAAAATAGCAATAATGATCACCATCACATAGATTATCACAGTTTGGTTAAATGGCAATCACAGCTCCTATTAATATATTTCTGAATGATAATTAGATTTTACATCAATATTAAAAAATGCATTTTATATAATTATTCATTAAATCTCTAAACGAACCCAACCTAAAATGACACCTTGTGTGGTTATTTCATCATCTCTACATTTTAGATCGTCTTTATTTGGGAATGTTTATCTATTATTGGAAACAATTATTTCTTTATTTTCCCCTATTGAAAGTTTTAATGCTCTAGCAAAGTTCCTTGTATCCCATGCTTAATCGTAATTTTATTCTGCAATCAAAACATGAGGGGAAGCAGATTAAATATCAATAGATATCACAACTGCAACATGTCCATATGGAAATTCTCCATTATCTTTTTACCAAATCAATAAATCACCCTATTAAGGTGGTTCAATGCCTCCATTTTTAAATTTCTTCAATTATATATTTTGTTTTGTGTCAAAATTATATGCTTCTTAGAGATCAAATATTTACTCAGCCCTTTCAACAGATCCAAATGTTGTATTATATTAAGAGACCCAAAATCTTCTAGCATAATGAACACATTAATATCTAGAAATATCAATCTTTATACTTCTATCCAATATAGATTTCTTCTCCAAAATTAATTTGAGAATCTAATAAATATTCATTTTTATTTTTATCTTAAACATCAAGATCTCCATAATTAGAATAAGCAGGCACATTTAGAGCTTCCCCAATTTTGGTTCCCCATTAAGGTTTTCTTTTAGTCCCTTTAAATAATTGAATAAAATCAGATACATATACTTCTTGGGCCATCACAAGGAGTACAATAACCTTAAAAACAAAAGTTATCACCTTCACACTTTTTTGTTCTGCATTGAATTCTTGGTGTTACTAAAACCTAAGATAAACTTTCTGTGAAAAGCAAAAGTAAAACTAACAATATATATTTCATTTATAATAAATAAATTATCATTTTAGATAATAAACTTCAATACATAAGCATTTGAATCTATTTTAAGTTTTCTAGTCTGTAAATAATGGATTATCATAGGTGTCACTTTGATAAGTAAAACCTCTATTTAATTCTGAATCAAGTTAAAATGCAGGTCCATTCCTAAAGATATAAATAAATGATTACTTTCCACTTCCAAATGCTAAATAATCTGAAGCACACATCATAAAATCTTTATTTCCTGATGTTGGATTGTATTTTCTCTCTTCTGGTTCTAGAGTGAATAGAAATGTTTCATGTGAACCAACATACTTATTTTTAATTTCAAACATCTTATCACAAAAAGCACCAAATATCTATTAAATTAATATAAAATAAGTACAATATTTTAATTTGTTTAGATTACTAAGAGAACAGGATAATCTGTAAAATCTTAACATTTAAAATATAATTATTTTAATGAATGTCCATCAGTCTTTGATGCAAATATTAAAAATGGATCACTTAATTTATATATATTTGACATCCAATCCCATAATATTTCAAACTAGCTAAATATCATATATCTATAAATGCCTATTCATTAGTAATTAAATCTGATGCTTGAGATGGAATGGGCAAATAACATGGTTAATTTTTAGTGTATGAAACAGTTGTTCTCATAAAAGATTTGACTTGTTCACTTTCACTTAAACTTAATTTAAATGCTTGTTTAATAATATTGTTTTATTCTTCTATATTTAAATTCATTATTTTCTTTCTTAAAATTGCTTTTAAATTAGAACTTGATTTGCATGACTTTATATCATCTTAAACATATCTTAAAACAGAATAAAACACTCTAAAATATATCTTAATTCCTTCATTCAAATAAATGATGAATATTTTTAAAACAGCAGAAAATGGTAAATAAGTTAACATTAAACTAATAGACATCTCTTAAAACAATTCAAATGAATCAAATTGAATATTTTACATTTATGAATAAATATTATTAAATGTTTTACTCCTTTTACTTACAGTTTCATAAAATGTAGTAGCTGTTCTAGTTATAAATTTAATAATTACTCTTTAAAATGTTCCTCATTCATTATTAAATGCCATCGTAATTATTATTTTGTCTAATTGTCATTCAAACTTTATTATGAATCTTTTATCATAAATTACAATACACAATAAGTCTAAGCTTCACTTAAGAATATTAAAAGTAGAACTATTATGTGGAGTAACATTGGGTTGTATTCCAAAAAATGATTTAAATTGTTCACAATCCAAAGTAAACGAATTAATGCTTCCATTCCTTATTAATTTAAAATCTAAACTTTTAGAAGTAATTAGATTTTTTTCTCACTCTCATTTAAGTAATTAAATTCTTCTTCATCATCATCTTCATTATTATTACAACCAAATAGAGGAACATTCTTAAAGGTTTTAGGAATTTATTTATTTTTAAACACAACCTTTAAAGCAGATAAATATTCTGCTTCACAATCAACATAAGTTAATCTAAAAGTATCTAATATTATTTTTTTAGCTAAGGAACATGGAACACCTCTATTGATCACTCAATAAATTACTTTCTGAATAAATATTGCCATTTCTTATTTAAAACTTTTCCTTTTTATCTAACTAATTCACCATGTCTTAAATTTATTGTATCAGCCTTTTACCATACTTTTTCCATTTGTGATTAGTCTTCCTTATAACCAGGATAAATAAAGATAAATTTTTATGGTTCGAATTAAGGTTTATCAACACCAAACCAATCTTAACTAAAAAAATATTAATAGTCTTGATTTAAATTCAAAAGTTGACCTTCTTATAACAAAGATTTAGGTGGATCTACCTTTTTTTCACAACATTAAGAGCTTAATATTTATCCCATAAATATAATGATAATTATCCAAATAATAATTGTATTTTAATAAAAATATTTTTATTTATAAGAAATTTTAGCAGATAATGAAATAAATCAATTTATGCTATAAATTTATTAATAAGACTTTTATGATTAAGAAATTAATATTTATAAGGAGTACTTGATTTATAAAATTTTAGATAAAATTTTATTAATTATTTTATAATTTATAATTCCTATTCACAAGCTGAATTAGCTAATTAAATCATTTATTATTAAAGTCTAAGATCTTTTCATTTAAATTAATAAAATAAAATTTATAAATAAAAAAATTGTATAATAAAACATTCATTTGAAAAGTTTTTTTGGAAGATGATATGATTTTCCTTTGATTTATTTTAGTTTATTTTCTAATACAAAGTCCTGTTTTTTATGAGTCTCCTTTAGAAACTGTATTTCTTAAGTCAATCTCTTGATTGTCATTTCCAATTCTTATTTATCTTTTCTTTCCACTTATAGAATTTCATTTTATTAAGATATTAATTTTTCTAATTTTTCGCTTTATGCTAATAATTTTATTGTCGCTTCAATAAATTATTATTATTGCTTTTAATCATCATTTTCATATTTTTCAGTTTTTGTTCTTATTGTTGGGGAATAACATTTATAATTTTATTTGGTGTTTCTACTGCTCATGTTTATATTAATAGGCTATGTTATTAAAAAAGATTGTTAATTAGACATAAATTTTGGGCTGTTAAAAGATTAATTGAGGGATAAATTGCTTTATTAGGTTAACATATAGGAACTTTCATTTAAGAAAGATTTTTAATTTGATTATTTAGAACTAAGTCTTGCAGCTACCTAATGCAAGTTTTATATATAATTATTTTGATGTCTCATAAAAGTAAATAAATATAATTTATTTTAATAGCAACAATAAATTTAATTATCAAGCTCATAATTAAATCTTATCATTTTTTAAAATTATAGTATTTACTAATAGATAACTACACAATTTGAAAAAGTTTTTGGAATGACTTTAGAATGCTTAATTAAAAATTAATAACTTTAAGTATAAATTTGTTATAAAAGATTCACATTATCTCTATTCTAACTTATTTCTAATATAATAACACTTTTTTAATAAATATTGATATTTTCGAAACTAGACATTATTTTAGAAGCAAAATAAAAAATTATGATTAATTGATAAAACCTATTTGCTTAGGAGAATTTATTAGCGTATCTAATATTTAATTCTAATGGAATTTGGCAAAGAAATGCACATCAATTTAAAAATAAAACCTAAAATTGAGATATAATTTAGTTTTCAAAAACTATTAATAAAAGTTAAGCAAATTTCAATTTTTCGACTTTACTAGCTTTCATTTTAAGATATTTGTTACTGATCTGAAGTTAATGATATTATAATTTATGCAATAATGGTTGAGGATTTAGATATCATATCAAATTTTTAGAAAGCAAAGATTGGTTAGATACTTATAAAATTGTACTTATAAATTTTCGGCTTAATTTTCAGAAAACAAGTAAAATTTAAATTAACTATTATAATATTTCATAAACATCAAATAAATCCTTAATATAATATTAAAATATAATAAAAATTAGAACTATAGTAGAAGATGTAAAAAACTATTGTAAAATTATTATAAATCATCCATTATATTTATATTTTTGAAATTTAATTACTTTAATATGAAAGGATTGATCTAGAATTAATTAAAAAGGAAATAAAAGTAATAATTATATATTTTAATAATTTAGTTTTTAATATATTGATTTTTAAGTTTGAGTTGTTTTATCGAAATTTATGGAAAGGGAAATAAAATAAAATTAGAGAGTGAATCAATTTTTAATAATGTCATTAATCTTTTATTTCTCCATTTCTCTTCTATATATAGTTTGTATAATTGGATGCTCATTTTTATTTTTATCACTGCTTATTTATTATTGTTCATATAAACTATCATAATATTGAATTCTTACACTGAAATTACTTAGGGAGAAGGAGTTTACATAACTTTATATTCATTTTTTGGAAATAAATTTCCATCATCACATCCAATAGCAGTATATATTGGAAATAACCATAAAATTTTATTATCTCCAAATATCTAACAAAAATTTGTATATGGATCTATATCATATAGATTAAATAGTATTTAATTGTTTTTACTAATTAAATCTTCTAGTGTAGTTTGATTTTTTTATAATAAATCAAGGTGATATTTTAGAAAACCAAAAAGTAAAAATACTAATACATAATTACCAATACAAATCAAAGCATAAATCATGTTTAAAAATGAAAATGAAAATGAAAGCAAATAAGTTTTAGTTGTGCTTACAATTGTTATAAAATTAAATAACAATGCGTAAAATAAGAGCAATATGAACTATTTTCTGTTTTAATAACCAACACATGTATTTATCCATGGACAATGATGATCCATTTATAAAACACAACGATCACAAATTGAGCAATGCTGAAAATATATTTTTGAAATTGTACATGGCAACGTTCAGGTTTTGGACATTTACATTTTTGACAGAATCCTTTCTTTGAAAATGGCGATTAACTATATTCATCTGCTCTATCTTAATCTGTCAATTTACTTTTTTGGTCTTCCTGGATCAATTGTTTAAATGACTATAAAACACCAGAGAAGCATTATGAAAATCATGTTCAAAGTAATCATATGGATATACAATAGTATATTTAATTCTTCTGTTATCCATAGATTAAAATTAATCCAATAATGTAAAGAATAAACACTAGCTGCAATCACTACAACTAATTTTCTTCCAATAATTTCTAATTTCTAATTCATAATTATATTAATTTGTAATTATTCATAAATCATATATCACATATCATTTCAAAGACATCAAACATCAATTCAAATGATAAGTTAAATTTAATTCCTTTCTATAAATGAAATGGTGCACTAATAACTTATTTTTCACTTAATCGTAACCATGTTCCATTTTTACTTTCCAAATCATTTATCATTAATTTAACTGATCCAGCCTTAAAATTATAATCATAATAAATTTCCATATGTTTTGCACTCATTAATTTATTACATCTAAAATTATTTAAAATTAAAATTTACTAAGAATGCATAAAAGTAAAATTATTTTTAGATCTTTCTCTTCCTATCAAAAATTTATCTCCTCTTTTTAGTTATATTTATTTATGCTTTGCTGTCCCTTCATACTCATATCTCACTTCCAAAAATCCTGTCTCTGTGTTAATATCAATTATTTTAAATGCAAATCGATTTCCAATATAGACTGACATATCCCTTTCAATTACAAAATTATGGTTTATTTTTACAAAAGTACCCCCTTTTGATCCTACATCAACTAGGTAAAATGCTTCTGTCAACTTATTTATAAATATTACTATCTTTATAATATATTTAGCAATGTTTGCTACTAATTTTAGAATGGTCTGTAAATGCAAATGTGCAATCTTCATTTCTACCAAAACTTGCTCCTTAAATGTTAACAACTTTTAACTAATTCTTAAAAAAAATAGTTACTTTTTATTATTCATCACATTTCAATTTTAAATGAGTTTATTATTAAAGTTAAAATAAATCAAATAATGGTTGAAAAGTTAATTTTTCTATTCTTTTTAATACCTATTCTTTGATTGATCTCTAGAATTAAATCTAAAAATTATTTTATAATAAGTACTCTACTCGTTAATTATCTTATTATTCAATAATTTATTGTATTTATATTGATTTATCTAGAAGTGTAGATTATTGCATAATTGTAGATTATTACATCATTACAGATTGTTGCATAATAGTAGATTATTGCATAATGGTAGATTATTGCATACCACTAGATTAGCCTAAAATAACTGATTCACACATAACTTATTCTGATTATTATTATTATTATTATTATTATTATTATTATTATTATTATTATTATTATTATTATTATTATTATTATTATAATATTTAAGATTATTATTAAATTAATACTGATTATGCCATAAATGCCACTGATTCTTGCATTTAATCATTAATTTCTTATAATTCTTCTTCTTAATTGGATAATTATTATGATTATTCTTCTTATGATTAATTAACATTACCACCTGATAATATTTCTTCTTCAAATTACACATGGGTTTCTGTATTTTATCTATCCCTTTCTTGCTCTTATATTAAGATATCATTATCTGATCTAAAATAATTATAAAATAATACATCAAAAATGAACTACTTCTATGAATATTATCTTCTACATTAAATTAATTTACAATTTAAGTTTTAGATTTGATCCAATTTTAATCTTTTTAAATATATGGTGAAGTTGCTGCTGAATGAGTAACGTTTGGATGACTAAACTATTTTTTTATATATTCTAAACTTTGATCTGTCACCATTAACTTAAGTTCTAATTGATCTAAAGTCTCTGTTTTATTTCTGTTTTTTATTTATTGTTCTACATTGCCATATGATTTAGTTGATCTCTTAAATTATTCAGTAAGTGTTGATTTTCTATTTCCATATCCTACTTATGTATCTTTTGTAAAATAATATAAAGATATCCATCTAATTTGACTTACTTTTCTTTATCCTAAATGCTTATATTCTGTGTAAGATTCCTAATTTTTATAAGCAGCTAAGCTTAATATTTGTAATAGATAATGTAATAAATGAAGAAATTAATTTATTTAGTGATATTTGCTAGCAGTCTACATGGTATTTCTTACCATACTTTATCTATTTTGATATAATAAATTTTATGGCTTTTGTGAAAAGTTTTGTTAACTCATCAATAAACATTTTAGAAATAAATTATCACCCTTAAAAGGTGGATTGACTAATAATAGTAAAACAAATCCATCAATTTAATTTTAAAATAATAATTGATAATAATCTTGAAATTTAATTACATGTAATAGAACTTTTATATCATCCATATCCCAAAAGAGAGGTTATTAATCATATGAAGGTAAATGAGAAATAGATTTTAATAATAAATTTATAATGTCTGAACTTATATACATAGAGGTTCTTCTATTTTGACTTTGAGTACTAGGAAGTTCATAAATACTCTTAATATAGATTTCTATCTCATATAACAAATTATTTAATATTTAACATGCACAACTGATTTCAGCAGTACAACCTTTACATTTTGACTATGAAAATAATTTGGATCCATAATGTTTCTTGAATATTTCTCTATAATGTTGATATTTCAAGACAATGAGGGACCATATTTTTAATTTCTAGATTTAATAATAAAGGTTTATATCCATTGAATGACTTATCAATTTATAAATACTTTGAGCATTACACAATTCTAATATTTCTTCATACTATCTTGTACAGGCATCTAACAAAGGTATTTATAATTTATTTGTTTAGGGTTTCTCTTCTTAGTTATTATAAGACCTTTATTTTGGAGCAGTTTATATCTAAATATTGATGAAATCATTTACAGTAATAATTGATACAGCCCATTACAATCCAACTGATTCACAAAAGGAATGCACTTATTATTCATTCCATCTATAAGGGGAAGATTTAAATTTAGAAAGAAGCCATGAAATGATATTATCTAATTATCTAATATTCATAATAATAAATATAATCAATCATTCCAATTTTTGTTTTATTCTCTATATAATTTTTAAAACTATTCATTATAATATCTAATCAATTATTCTAAATATTTGTTAAGCCAATTTGCAAATATCTTAATATCAGTCGAAAAATTAGTTTCAATTATTTTAAGTAATTTTTAATTCTCTCTAATTTATTCTTTATATTATATTTTTTCTTGAATAAATAAATCATAATACCATTAAAAGATTCAATTTGATTGTGCATTTTGATTTATTATTAAATCTAATATATCAATTCAGATCTTCTTTTAATTGTTCCAATAGCTTCATCTAAATCTAGTATACAGAGCTATTTAAAAATTAAATACTAACCTCTAATTTGAAGATGACACTCAACTTAATTTCATTTAAGATGCTTTCATTAAGGTAACAACTTGCTTCAGTTTTATTAATATCCTTCTCCAATGAAGAGAGATCAAGTTCCTTTAAAGAACTTATCACTTTCTTAGTATCTTCATTTTAATCTTATTTAATATTGACAATATTTTAGTATTGTTCAAATATCCTTTTAACTTTTTATTATTCTTCAATCAATAACTAAATAGCTTACTTATATATAATATACATCTTCCCAACTTTCAAAACATTCTTTTATGTCTTATTAAATTTCTAATTCAGGATATTACAATTATTTTTGAGAATTCTATTATCCAGTGTAGATAAAACTACTTAAATAATTAAAAGATCCTTTGGCAATATCATAAGCTTTTGATCCAGCATTTGCAATAGCTGAACCTAATTAATGAGCATAAGTTTGATATTAGGATAATTCTAAGAGTTCTTATTACATAATCTAAATAATTATTAATAAATTATACTTCTGAGGATCCTGTAAGAAATATTTGAAACTTATTACTAACTTACAATTAAGGATGATCTTTTATTTTATTTAAAAATTCTTCTAATTGCTAAAATAAATTATTCATAATTATACTCTATATCGTTTCTCTCTGACTAAAGAAGTATGTTCAGTTAAATTAATTTTTGCTAAAACACTTTTTGGTGGAATAGCTGGAATAAGTAATCCTGGAAACTCTCGTTTTAATGCTCCATTAAGCCATTCAAAATGAGTGTATTTACGATTGACTGTTTAAGCTGGTTCATCATTAATTTAACTCCATAAGACATATGAAATATTTTCATAATATTATGTGTAACTTTATTAGACTTACTCAGTCAAATGAAAAGTGATTGTATGAATGCTCTACTTTTAATTGATTTCACTTTGATTTCTAGTGGGAGTTGCAGATATTATTTGAGACACTGCTTCTTATGATCCTTAATATGATTCTTATGATTCTAACTTTGGTTCATCATAATCAATTGGTATATCTATTAATTCATTGTCCATTATTATAAAATGAATTAATAAAATTCAATCCCAAAAATTGAAACAAAGCTCATTGGTGATACATTAAGGTAATACCTATTGTTATTATAGATTTCTAAAAACAACTGCCTAAAGAAACAATTACTTAAAGACTTTAGTCAAATAAAAAGAAAAGTAAAAAATAATAGATGAGAAATAATTATTTCAATAAAAATAATAAGTTCTTCAACATAGTAAGAAGAAGTTTCTTTCACTTCTTAAAAGTAGAAATACTGAACTATCATTCTTGAAATTTAGACCTATTCAAAAACCTTTAAATTTATTAAGAATGTGTGCTGAATTAAAAATCTCAGACAGAATTTCTAAATCTGTTGAAATAGATGAAGTAATTGAATCTAAACGTTCTAGTAAATCTAATAGAACAAAGCATAGTTCATCATAAATATTTGATCATTCAGTTCATGTTCAATAATTCAAAGATGAAAGCACACCTAAATAAAGAGGAACCTTATAATTCCTTTCTTCATAATAATTAATTAAAACTACTATTCCTCCTTAAATTAAAGCAGAAAAAAAATCAAATCCCTCTTCTGTTGCTTAATCACCTAGATAAAAAATTACAGTTAGAAAATTACCTTTAAATGAATTAGAGTCAAAGCTTGAACATCTAAAATCTAATTCTTAAGATCCTAATCTTTAAACTGGAATTCTTTGTAGAGTTCCAAGTCAAATGTAAACCAAATATTTGCTAATATTTTAGACTAATTCGAAATGGTATACTTTTACCAACCTAGAAACACTAAATGAAGATAGTAAAACGTAAAGAATGTTGGGAAGATGATAATTCATCATTAGCTTCTCATACAGAATTGAAATTAGATTCAATTTACAATAATTCAAAACATCTAAAACAAGATCATAAAAATTACGAACATAAAAAAGTAGAGTATTAATAAGAATCTATAAAATTATTTTACAAGAAAATTTATTGTAAAATATGATCAATTATATTTTATTAAGAAAGTCTACCTAGATTTGATTTATCTTAACTTGACATATATCTTATTCATATCTAAATTTCCTAAATTCAATTATCAAATAATTATTCTATTAAATGAATAATTAGATATTTTTTATCCATCAAATCTCCATCCAAATTATATAACACTATGTTTTATTATTTAATCTTACTATATATACTTTATGTCCGTTAAACATTTCACTTAAAGAAATCAAAATATATACTCAATTTAAAGGAAATTTAATGGATATATATTAGTTTATTTAGTTATTTTGCTAAGATTCTTAAATATATGCATTTAATTCCAAAACTAATTAAATAGTAGAAAACTTAGGAAGATATCTCTATCATACATGATTACTTAAGTCAATTACATCAATTTCAGGCTCCATATGAAATTATAAAAGATGTAATATATATCTCCTTATAATTAGATAAGTAAAAGAATTGGGTATGCATATTTTGAAAAAGGCCAAAATGTTCAAAAAAATAATAATATGGCTTACTTTGTGATTAAAGGGATTCTAAAAACATATGAAAACTTAGAAATTTAAGCAGATATGTGGTACGAAGGCGAAATTGCATTTGAAGCTTAAGTAACTCAAATACTCAAACTTAGACAGAAACCCATTGTTTCACATTACCCTTGAGTATCTATAAGAGATTAACTGCATGCCATAGTTAAATGTTTCAATTAAAATTAAAAACATTAATATCTAATTTACCCATCCTTGAAAAAGTGAACTATAGAATTCAAGATTAACTTATTAAAGGATTTCAAGAGGTTAAGTTTGTTAACAAGGATTTTGTATTAAAAATGGATGATACTGGTAGTTCTTTATTTATTCTCTAACATGGTATTTTAATTGTTAGCAAAATTTACTAAAAAACTCTTTCTTAATATGAAAAATTGATTTTACCAAAAAAGTTTTGGTTTGATGATATTATATTAGGAAAATTGATAGATTAAGGATTTATAGGTGAAGAATTTATATAATGTGATAAAGCATTATATAATGTATAAGTAGCATCAAAAACAGCAACTTTATTAATGATATCTATATAATAATTATAGTAGATTAGTCAATAAGTATATTAAACAATTTATAAAATATCAATTGAGAACTAAGCTTTAAGAGAAGAAATTTATAAAGAAAAATGTTAAGAATTGGAAAAATATTGGTAAAACACTAATAAAACTTAAATTTTAAATTAAGATATTAAGAAATCTATTTCTTTTAAAGTTATAAAAAAATAATAATCATCTTCTCAAGATTAATAATGTTAAACAATTGATGATCATATGTAATTTATTATTAGTAATTTATCTTATAAGAAAATGCCTACATTCATTTAACAATATTTCAGATAAAAAAATATCAAAATAAAAAAAAAATAAGATCCCACATAATTATAAAGAAGTTAAAATTCAATTTCATTACATAATGTAGATTCTAATATATTTGATTCATAAATTCTACTCTAAAAAGCTCAACACAAGATTTAAATATAATAAAATTAATAAAAATCTTTGTGTTTACGCAAATCACAAACTAGATAAATAAATAGAAATAACACTTCTTCTAAATCAGAACATTTAAAACCGAACACTGCTCAAATATTATTTTAATTTAATATTCCATAACAATAAGAAAATAGTAAAATATAGAATGAATAAAAAAAAGATTTAATCATGAACAAAACAGTTTTGTCTAATTTTCAAAATCTGAAACCTGATTCAAGGCAATAAATAAAAATGAAACGAAGTTCTTCTGTTATTAAATTTAATGAAAATCTATCTTAAAATACACCTGGAACCTAATCCAAAAGTAAAAGTATTTATATATATTATAGCTCCTCGAGAAAATATGTTTTACATAGGTTTTTAATAAAATTAAATTGTAAAGAAAATAAAAGTTAACTAATTATTACTCAATTAATAAATTTGAGAAATATAATTAATTTGAAAGAAATAACTTTGATATTATCTCAAATTATAACATAATTTATATATATTCTAATATTGCTGAATTAAGTATATAATATGAAATTAAAATAATACTTATAAAATTTAAGAAAATTGTATTGTATTTTTAATGATTTCGAAGTTTTAATTAAATTATTAATATTTTATTTCATTTTCAATCATCATCTGCATGGGCTACTTATTGTAAAACTCCATAAACATAGAAATATCGATTAAAGCATTAATAAAACATCTCTTTTACTTTGTTTTAATTGTTTTCTACTTTTTTCTTTTAATTAAGAATATCATTCTTCTCTTTTTAATCTTTTGCTCTATCAGCTAAACCTTGCAAATAATCAGGTTCATATAATCTATTAAAATATGCATCATCATTAATAACAGCTTTGGCACAAACTCTAAACATCTTATCTTAGAAGTATTAATTTTAAAGTTCATCTATTTCTTATTCGTTTGGCTCGTCCATAATTAATTTTATAATATTAATACATATCTATTCATTATTTATAATTTTATATAATTTTTAATGCTATTGTCAAGAATAAGAACATTCAAAAACTTAACCACAACTTTAAAGCCTTTACAAAATAATAGATACTACAAATTCTCTAATGCTGAAGCTGCTAAGAATGCAAAATTTGACAGAAATGCTCATTTTGAAGACCCTGTAAATGAATGGGTAGATCCATCAAAAAGATGGTTATTAGGTGGATGGTTACTTCTTTGTGCAGGTGGAGTTTATTTTATGGTTTTATTAGGAGGTTACACTAGACTTACTCATTCAGGTAAGTATTTATTGAAATACTATTTTAGGATTATCAATGACAAAATGGAAACCCATAGAATATACATATCCAAGAAATCAAACTGATTGGGAAAAGGAATTTGATTATTACAAACAATTTCCAGAATATTAACATACTCCTATTGATTTAGATAAATTCAAGAAAATCTTTATTGTTGAATATTTACATAGAGTCTCTGGATCAACTTTGGGAGCTATTTATGTTTTACCTTTAGCTGCATTTACAGCAATGAAATGGATTAAACCATAATATGCAAAAAGACTAGGAGCCATAGGTGGACTTGGATTATTATAAGGCTTAATTGGATGGTGGATGGTCAAATCAGGATTAGATCGTCCTAAACCTGAATATTAACAAAAACCCAGAGTTTCAACTTATAGACTTACTGTACATTTATCTATGGCTTTATCATTATATTCTCTTTTAATTTGGAATGCTGCTACTCTTTTTAGAAAACCTTAACATTTATAAATAACTCCAGAAAATTATAAAACTCATCTTAAATTTAGAGGACTTGGAATTGGTTTGATTCATTTAGTAGCTATCAATTTATTAACTGGAGCAGCTATGGCAGGTATAGATGCAGGAAAGGTTTTTAATACATGGCCTACTATGAATGGATAAATAGTTCCAGCCAATTTATTTAAAGCCTCACCATTTTATAAAAACTTTTTTGAAAATGTTGTGATGTAATAATATTAATTAATAAATAAAGGGTATAATTCAATCATAGAAATGCAGCATATTTAACTTATGCATTTGGATCTTATATTACTTATCTCGCTTATAAGAGTAATCTACCTAAATAAGCTAGATATATATGTTATGCCCTTTACGGAGTTCTTAATTATTAATTACTTACAGGAGTTGTAGCATTACTCAATTAAGTAACTATTAATTATTATACTAGGTTTAAGTACATTCTGGTAGTATCCATTAATTTAATGCTTTAAATGTATTAACAGCAAGTTTATTGCTATGTCACAATGTTAGAAGACCAAGTTTGCCTTATAGAAATTATATAAAGCAATTTGTTTGATAAAATACATACATTTTAACGCTATTATAAATAATAAAAATGCATTATATTGTATTATTCAAAATGCAATTTAATTATAATTATTACATTATCAAAATTTTTGATGTTTAAAATAATTGTTGAATTATTTGATACAGATTCAATAAAAATTTAAGAAATTGCAAAGATTTTATATATAATATTCTATAATTTATTATAAATTAATAAATATATTAGGTTGTTAAAATGGAAAAAATAGAAAGAGATTAATTTATTATATGTTAAATTTCAAATTAAATAAATTCGACATTATTAAAATAAATATGCCGCCAATACAATCTTTTATATATTTCATATTATTAATAATATTAGGAAATAAATCACTCAGTTTTTGATAAAAATAATACTAGTTACTATACTTATAAAGGAGATCATAACACAAGTTTTAAGAGAAAGTGTCTTGAACATATTTTCAAATGAATTTCCTAAAACTTATAACCAAAGTTATTATGTCCTCACTTTCATTTCAATATTTTAGTTAATACAAATTTCTAATTCTTTACATTTTTGAGCCATTGATTCTATTAAGTAATTTTCTGAACATAAATTTTGTTCATATTCAGCAGCACAATTTTTCATTTCAATTAAAATCTAAGTTTTTGAAATATCAATGTGCGCTTAAATATCTTTATATATCTCATAAACCATCAAAAGAAAGCATATTAAAAAAAAGCTTTTTAATATAGCAATTGCCCATATTCCTATATAATCTCCTGTTGTCATGGGAGTCAATTTAACTGATTTTTCTAAAGAGCCATCACTATGTTTTCTTTCAGATAATTCCATTTTCATATGATTTTTATTGATTCTTCTCATAAACTAATTCATTATTTAATCTTACCTCTTATTTTATATCCATTAAATCCTCTTATTCTTTAAATCTAGTAATTTAGTTTTGACTTGACATTTCAGTTGATCAAATTAGTTATTTATTATAATATTTATACATTATATTTTTGCACTTATAATATATATAAGCTCAAATTACTTCTTATTATTAACTTTATGACTCCTCTTTAGGTTAATTATCATCCTAATTCTAATTTTCTGGTTATTAATGTTGTTCTTCTTTTTACTCTTGATTTTAAAATTAATTTTATTCCTCCTAATGTTATTCTTATGGTGGTTAGTTAACTTCTTATACATTGTTTGTATGTTCTGAATGATTATCTGGTTATTATTCATTTTATTCTGAATGATTTTCTTTTAATGATTTCTCAGCAGATTATTATTCTTAACTCACTTAAGAAGCTTATTATTATTATTGGAATTGTTCATCAGTTTATTATTAATCTCCAGTTTGGCCTGTTGTTTATTTTGTTTTTTTTACTATTTTCTTATCCTCTTATTTTGGTTCTGCCTTTTTATCATTTTATTTTGTTTGGTTTTTTTATGATCCATTGGCTTTTTAATCTTATGGTTTATCTGCCTTTTTAGAAACTTCTTTTGGCTTATCAGTCTTCTCTGCTTGAACTGGAGGATTTTATTTAGTTTATTTTGGCTTTTCTACTTTTTTTTCATCTTTTTAAGGCTAAGCTTATTTTTAAGGTTATTCTACTAAATTATCTTTAATATTACCTTAACCTTAAGGTTTAGAATCTTTTTAATCTTTTGTATCTTTCTATTCAGGTTATTTTTAGGGTTTTGATTTAGGTTAAGGAGGTTGTTATTATTGTTATCCTTAAGGTTTTGGTTACTTTTATGTTGAATCTCTAGGGGATTTCAAAGGCACTAGATGATTTGGGAATTACAATACCTTTATCTATTTCATTTGTAGTTGTTTTATCTACGATGACACTTTAACTCAATGGCTTTTGACCAGTTTAAGGTCTAGGCTCTTTTACTTTATTTTATTCATTCTTTTAGACAACAGCAGTTGTAGGACGATCCTGTTTTTTGTTTTCTAATTAATTTGAATTTATAATAATATTGCTTACCATGATTTCCATTATTATCTTTCTTTTATTCTTGCTTTATTTGTTCTAATAAAATTTATTATCAAATGTACTTTTCTCATCCTCTTATTTTATAGGCTTTAGAGAGCTAACTAATTATTTTAACTAAGTCAATTCTTGAACTAGAGAATTGATTTAGTCTTCATTTTATTGATCTCTTATTTTTAATTCATCCACTCTTTCTAGAACAGGCTTCAATAATTCAGAAAGATATTGCTCAACCTCAGGGGAAATCTATTACATATCTAAATTTCAAAATTTATATTATTAATTTGTATATTGAAAATTATGCACCAATTTGTATGTACGTCATGATTACTAAATAATATATTAATATTAATTAAGATATATCTTATATCTACATAATTATATTTAAAATCAATAAACCAATTCTCTCAAATGAGGCATCTATTTTTATTCTATAGCAAATTTAATAAATTAATAGAATTAAATATATATTAACATCTCTTAAAGGCTAAATCTAAATATATTATACTCTATTGCTTAATTTATTTTAGTTAACCTAGATGATTTTAATTGTAATTTATTAAATCAATAATATATAGAAAAGTACTTATCTAAGAAGTCATTAAAAAATAATTCTTTTATTTCAATAAAGAACAAAGGAATGCAAACAACCTTTTATTAAATTTTAATAAAACTAATAATTGTAATTAACATTATCTTTAATAAAAATCTAGATTAATTATAAATTACTTTAAGAGATAATTTATTTATTGTAGTACTTAAGCACTTACTTTATGAAATTTATTAAGATATAGTTCTGTTTTATTCATATGATTTATTTTTATTATCTTTTACATTTTAGTTTTAATCATTATTTAAATTTTACATTATTTCTAACTCACTTAAAACACTGATTGTTATAAATTTATATAATAAAAATTGCCGTTTGAAATATATTTTCATTTTTTATCTCTAATTCATATAAAAGGGTTAGATTCAATTATGATTTATTTAATGTTTGATTTAATATATTATCAAAGGTATAAATTTAATTTGAGTTTGAATATTTACTTTGATAATAATAGTTGATTTTTTAAATCTTGCTCTAAGTAAAATTATTAATTAAGTTGATATAAATTATAATATTGTCTTAATAATTCTTGATCTTTCTTGTTATATATATGAATTTAAAATAAAAATGATAATTAAAATTTAATGTTATAAATGTAATCTTTTATACAAAAGATAAGTAATTAAATAAAATTACTCAAATGAACATTTAATAATTTAATTTTCATTTTTCCAAAGTAATTTATTAAATTAAAAGGATATTCTAATACATAAAAATCTTATTGTAATTTATTTGACTTAGATCTAAAGATTCGTTTCTAATTATTAGAGATTATTTAATATTAATATTTAAAATTTATAGATTTTTAATTATAGAAATATATACAAAATAAAAAAAAATAAAAACTAATGGAATCTTATCAATTATTTTAATCAATACTATTTTCTAAACTCATTATATACTACATGTCAACAATTCTGAGTTCTTGGGCAGCTTAAACCTATAATTAATAATATTATGAAATTACTTTCATTATTTCATCCTAAAGTCTTTTAGATAAATCTATACATTGCTTTCTAGAATTTTATAATTAAACTGATAATAATTCAGTTTTATCATTCAATGCTTATTATAATGTATTGCAATATTTTTTAATATCAATATTCTAATTCTAATTTGAACTATGAATTAATTCAAATAATTCTAAATATTTTTATTCTAAAGTTTCCTATTTCAATTCTAATATATTTATATATTCTAATTATTATTATAGTTCAATTGTAAATTATTTTTATTATTTAGTTACTTCAATAAGTTATCTAGCCTCTTAAAAATATAGTTATTTCCATCTTTAATTCTAATCATGTAATTTTTAATATAAGTCAAATGAATTTTATTAATTTTATTGTTATTATTTTGAGATTATAGATTCTTTTAATTAAATCAATTAATATTCACTTGTAACATAATCTCTTTTTAGTAATTATAATTTTGAATGAACAATAATTGCAACTTATTCAAATGTTTAATTTTATTTAATAGCTTAATCAATTTCTTATTTATGGGAATCATTATGTAATTGTACAAGTTCTGAGCATGCATCCAATAATATGCTTGCAAAATTAAAATTACAAATACAAGAATGCTTTTTCAGGATTATCTTATTTAGAGTTTGAATTTGAGTTTTCATTATTTAACTCTAAGCTAGCTAAAAATCTGCTAGTACGTTTATCACTATGACTCTTATTCTAATAACTAGTATCAAGAGTCTAGTTTTATGTTTACTTTGATTTGCTTCTTTGAGATTTAAGGGACATGATGTAGAAATTTAAAATTAATTCTAACAATAATTTATATTATTATTAAGTTTTAAATTTAATAAAACTTTGTAATACAATATTCACCATCTAATACTAACAATAAAATATTTAATCATTAATGCTATATTACTAATAATACTCTTAGCTTTGTTAACCCTCTTTTAACACCAATTTTGGATTCATATGACTGGCTACCTCATCTTTTTGCCATGTAAAATCAATAAACTTTATGTGAATCTAAAAATAATCAAATATATTACTAATATGCATTAGGTATAAAATAAGAATCTTATTAATAAATAATATAAACCATTCCAATATATAAAATTGTTATTATACAAGACTATCCTCTCTAACACTTTTATTAAATATTAGTTTTAAATACTATGCCCATAATCTATATAAAAATTAACCATTAAACCCTTAAAATTTATTATAGAAACTTTCTAGTTAAAATCTAATTAATTAAAATGAAGAACATTTTATTAATCCATACTTTTTAATTTAATATAGATCTTTAATTTTAAATTTTTGATTTGGTATGTATTATCCAATTAGAGGATCTGCTAATTAAATGATGTATAATTGATTAACTAAATTTTAAATACTAAGTTTATTATAATTAAAAATGAGTCCAAAAATGAAAATAAAAAAATCAGTAGAAATTAATTTAAACTAATCTTTAAGAATATAATTCAAATCTCTATGTAAACATCTATTTTTTTACTTTCTAATAATCTTACTAATTGTGTTTATTCAATTTATGTAAACCTACATAAACATTATGACATATCTATATAAACCTTTTTTGTAGTATCATTTAGACTTTCTAAAATATTCTTCAAATTTTCTTTGCTAAATTCGCACATTTTCAAAATCATTTTTAAAACTTTTAAATTACTAAAAAGATAGTTCTGAAAATCTAATCTAATATTTTCAAAATTAAGATCCAACATTTCCAATTCTTTACTTGCTAAATTGCTAGAAAATTAAAAACTCTGAATGTGCGCATTATTAATAATCGATGCCTTGAACTCTTTCAACTAGGTGAACTATTAAAATAGATAATGGCAATTAGTTAAAATAAGATTACCAAAAACTTCAAAATAAAATTGTTCAAAATCATACCTATCTAATTTTAAAAAATCCTCATCTAAATTCAGGTTCTCTTATTAAACTATTGTAGCCGTATTTTTTTATTATTGTATTATTTAGAAATAAGAAAATGAAAATGCTTTTAGAGTTTCCTATCTTTCAACAATAAATTCCATTTATTGTACTTTTGATGATTCTACTTAGATTTATAAAAATTGTAATTTTTTTGGACAATTTTTTATAAATCCATTAATATATGGAATTTGGGTGGGTTACACTTCATCTAAATAATAATTCAATTTTAATTAATACAAAGGACTAACTTTTAAGCATCTTATTAAATCATATAATTCAGGTCCCATAAAAAATAACCTTTATGCTTAATCAATTTCTAGAATACTTGTTATTTAAGCAAGAACATATCTAAATTAAGCTAGCATTTTTTATTTTTTTAAACCTTTATAATTAGAAAAATCAATGCTTTAAACATTAATTTTAAATACTAATTATTCTTTAAAATACTACTCTTTAACTTTGGAAAGTATTTAAAAGGATTTAGGATATTCCAATATTATTTAATTTGATATTGAGCCAAGATAAAACATAGATTAAAAGAATTAATTCACTGAAACTGTTCTTAAAAGTAAAGCTGGAATAAAATAGTCTTTAATAACATTATCTAGTATTTCTTTTATTGCAAATATACTACCTTTTAATTGTTGAAAAAAAGATAGAATCCAAATTTCAGTTAATACTTAAGATGATAATGATAAAATGTAAATAATAAACTAAGGAGTTCTATTCAAAGCTTCAAGTATATTTGTCCTCCATATCAAAACTTAAAAATTAGGCTGATCACTTAATAAATATTTTTGAGATGCTACAGTTTTATAATTAAATACGGTAGAAGCTATACCGCCTTAAAATTATAAGGCATATCTCCTAAATTTAAAGTATACTTCAAAACTAAAATCTCTTCCATTTTTTCCATATTTTTTTCTTTATTATTTTTTGAAATTTTTAGGAAGTATCTTGTAACAAAAACTTATACAAACAAGAAAGAAATCCCATAAGTAAAAAAAGTCAAATATTATTAACATTAGATAAATAAACAGATAAGTTAAAAATGAATATTAGTTAGTTGAAATAATCTCAATTACCATTTAAGATAATGTTCTTAATAATAGATTAACTACAGTTAAAACTATTAATGCTATTTAATAAATATCACTATCATTAATTAAATAGATAAGAGAAATAATTTATAGGGCAATATTTAACAATGATAAAATTAATCGATAAGCTAATTGCAACTATTTTGATATATTTATGCCTTAATAATAATCATACATTTTCATTAAAATATTACTCTTCCAATATGAATCTTCAAATAAATCTCTTTTGGTAATAGCATTAATTTGAGTTCTTGCTTCATCAATAATTTCTTAAGAAGTTTCTAGTTTTTCTTATGTGTTTTCAAGAATTTTTGTTTGTTTATAATGTTATATTATATTAATTTCTTCTATCTAATCGTTTAATGTTCCCTTTAGGTCGATTGGATTTAGCACTAAAAAATTTTCAGTGATAAATCCGGGCTCATTTTTAAGATTTTTCATCTTTTGTACTGATGAGAAACCAGCATTTATTGATGGATTTTCGATAAATTGTAGTTATCTTACTTTCTCATCTTATGAATTTGGATCAATACCAATAGAATTCCATAATTAGTCAAGATTTTCTTCTCTTTAAAGTTGTAAGGTTATATTAGGAAAATTATTAAATATATCGAACAAGTAACTGTGGTGACTTTAATCATGATATAAAAGAATTATTTCTTGCACTTTGATGAATTGAAAACAATTAGCTAAATATTACAAAGTAACTTTTTCATAACTATCGATAAAATGAAATTAAATGTTTTTAAATTTCCTTTACTTTAACAAGAAACTAATTATTTCAACCATACATTTTTACTTTTAATATCGGCTAAATGTACTTGGATTAATATGTATATAATAAGATTCAACTTATTTTAGAAATTATAAATCAGATTTTAATAATTGTTTTGTTTCTTAAAGCAATGTTAATTTTATTTTATTCAATTTAAGTTTTGCTTAACTTATCGTTTATTTTCTGAATGAAGTATTTACAATAAAATAAAATTCCAAAAAGTAATAGATAAAATTTTTTGTTACTAATATAAAACTAATCGTATTAAATTCATCCCATACCTATTTTTTTGTGTTATAAAATCCTTAAATAAAAATTTAAGGAATTGTTTAAATAGTCATTGTAATAATCATGGAAAGAAGTGCAACTCTATGAAATATTAAATCTCTAAAAATATTTACAGGTTTATTTCTTTTATTGAAAAGTCTACATGGAAAAATATCGCAATTACAATATTTATCAATTTCACTAAATGAAAATTATTTAATTGATTTATCTCTGGTGTAAAAATAAATAAAAGGAGCTATTTTTAAATAACTCAATACTCCCATAAACATATAGTAGATATAGTATGTAATTTCTACAAAAAAATTTTTTTTAGTTATTTTCCTAAATTTATAAGTGTAAATCCAGGCTCCAATATGAAATAAAACACAGAGACCTATAGATAAATAATAACAGTAGTAATAGTAACTTGAGTTAGGAGTAATTTTATTATAAAAGCCGTAACTTAAAGTAAAAAAAAGTTCTAGAATATTAAAAAAATATATAAAGACTTGAAATCCAATTTTACTATAATATTTAAATATTTTTGGGCTCCTCTTAACTTCGTTTAAGCGTTTCTATATTAAGTCTTAAAATTCACTCATAAATGAAGTGTTTTAATGAGGTTCCCAAACTAGTTAAGAGTCAGAAGAAGTTCTAAAAAACCTGAATTTTGAAGATTAAGTTTTTATTCCCTATTTTGGATGTGTTGGATCTGCTATTTAATCTTTAGAATTTAAAGTCTACTTTTTCATGAAATCATGCATTTCTTCTTGTGGTTTTTGCATTTCTTTTGGGTAATTCTAAATTAAATTATCAAAAACTTCCATCTTTATCTATTCAGGTTTCCCTTGCTCTATTAGTTGATTTTAGTTATTTGTATTTTATATCTACATTTATTGATTTTCAAAAACAAATTATAATTAATATTTAATATTTATCTTTCGACCAGATTTTATAAGGTAAAATCCTATATAATATATATACTACTATTTATTATCATCTTGTTAAATAACAAATTTATGTATTTTTTTATTTTTTATTATAAAAAATTTAATTTTAAAGTTTATAGCCTAAATAATTTTGTGTTTTAAAAAATTAATATTAGAGATTTTATTAATTAATAGGTATTCAAATTCAAATATGTCAAAAATAAATTAAAGAGCTAATAGCATTGATGAATTTCGTATGATTAATAAAAGGACTCAAAAAGAAAATCAGAACTAGAACAACAAAACTTTAGATGAGAAGTTACTATTAATTGAGAAATAATTAGCTTAAAATGAAAGTTATAATGATTAATATTTACTCACCAATTCAATTGAGGCTAATGCAGTTCCAATGAAAACTTAAAATTAAAGCATATCTTTTAATTTATAATCTATTGAAAATGATAGGTTTAATTCAAAAAAGACTAGCATCATGGATGAATGCTAAAAAAAATCATATGATTCTGTTAGAGATAATGCTTCTAAATATTAAAGTAATAATAATGATTCAGCTTTGGTTATGTTGCTTAATGAATTTGAAAGGAGATTTGAATAAATAGAAGAAAGATTATAATTAAGGTATTTATTCACTTTATTTAGTGAAAAAACAAATAGATAGTATTAATAAAATAATAAATCAAGTGCAGATTATTTTAATGGAATTTAAGAGAAACTAACTTTACTTTTGTAAAGAATAGGAAAATTTGAATTAAAATTGAAACAGTTAGATGAAGCCTTTTAATCCCATAAAAATTTAACAGATAAAAGAATTATTGAATATAATTAGCATGTATCATGAAATTGGATTATTAGGTTGATTAATCATTAAAATCCTTTTTGGATGTTTCAATTTAAATCTAAAAAAAAATTGAGCGAATAACTTCAAAAGACAATCTAACAGAAGTAGAAGTATTGAAATAAAAAACAGACAATCTTACTTATAATTTACAAAGAACTCATGAACTATTAAATTAATAAATGAGTGACTTTAGTTAATTATAATAGTCAGTGAATTAAGTATTATATATAATTAATTATTTACTTAGGTTATTCGTGAAGATTATTTTAACAATTTATTTGAAGAAATAGAGACCATAAAAGATCAATATTCATAAACAATGCAATATTTAAAAGAGTTATAGGAATTTTTAATAAAATGATTTTGAACTTTATTTCTCAAAATGTATGTAATAATATATACATATTCATAAATTTGTTTTATTGCTTTATCAATTAGAAAAACTAATTATTAGTTAGGATATATTGAGTACTATGATAAGTATAAATCAAATATAATTGAAATATTACACAATTTTGATACTGAATTAAATTCCTTCTTCATTAAGACCTTATAAATATTATTCATATATTCAGATATCTATTTGATTCAATATCACTTATACAATCTAAAAATTAAGAATATTTAAAAGAATGAATAGTAATGTAAATTCCTTTATGAACATTAGATTATTTTGATGTGAATCTTAATAGTTGTAATATATTCTCAATTTTAGTAGTTTAATCAATAAATAATTTTCTTGATGACAAAAGATAGATTATTTTCTTCATAGATTATTATTAATATAATTATTCAGATTGGTATTAATTAAATTAAATTTAAATTAAAATGATCATTGAAGAAAATGAATTCGATAAGCAAATAGAAGATCTTCTCAATAAAGAAAAGACAGCTAGATTAGCCAACAATTTAGTTGAAACATTGAAAGTTACTAAACAAATAGCAAAACTCTGTTTTGATACTAAATAATACTCAAAATTCAATGAATTAATAGTATAACTTAGTAAAAAGAGAGGATAACCAAAAAAAGCATAAATTGAACTTGTTTAAATGGCTATGGTTGAATTAAAAACTCTTCCAATAAATTAAAAATTAGAAATGATTGATGCAATTATGAAAGTGTGTGAAAAGAAGATCTACTTAGAAGTAGAATATGCTCGATGTGTGTTGATGCTTACTTAATATAAAGAAGATGATAATTAAATTGCTGATGCTGCAAAAATATTATAAGAAGTCTAGGTTGAAACCTATGGATCTATGGATAAAAGAGAAAAATTAGAATTTATACTCTATCAAATGAAAATTATGATTAAGAAATTAGATTATGTTAGATTATACATTATATCTAAAAAGATAGAACCTAAAAACATAGAAGATGATAATATTGCAGATCTTAAAATTATATATTACTCATTTTTAGTTATTTATTATAGACATGAAAATAATTACAAAGAAACTGCTCATGCTTATTCAAAAATACTTGAATCATTGCATAAAAATAAATAATTAGAAGCAACCAAAGTAGATTTCAATTTTAGAATTGATTACAATACAATTTTAGAAAATTATGCTATGTATACTATATTGAGTTAATATACTGAAGAAAAAGTATTTAGTTAAATATATTTTAGGAAAAACAATTGTAATCCATAGTTTCAACTTATAAATATGGTCTTGAAGCATTACCTAATTTGTAATAATTAATTTAAGCCTTTTTGGGAACAGAATTGATTAGTACTTCACCATAAAGTCATAACATTTAAGCTGCTGAGATATTTGATGAAAATATTGAAAATAATAAACAAAGATATGTTGGTATATAAATTAATAAATACTTATAGATTTTAGAAGATAATTGATACATCATAATTTGAGAATATTTTAAATTTATTATGATTCAGTTTATTTAAATAGAATAACAGAATTAATTGGTATTAGTACTTAAGAATTAGAAGAAGAAATATGTTTAATGATGGATTAGAAGGTATAAGAATATAATTGAAATTAGTTATTGAAATGTAAAATTGATAGAATCTTGGGTATAGTTGATTACTAGTTAAAAAAGAATGAAAATGATGTTTTATAAGAATGGGGAGATAATGTAAATAAGGTTCTTAATCTTATTGATCTTACAAGCAATTTAATAAAAAGAGAAGAAGAATTATTTTTGTGAGGAAAATTATTATATAATAATTTAAATTTAATAATGTATTCTGAAGGTAGAGAAGACTCATAATATTCTGGAAATAATATGGAACAATATGATGAAGATTAGGATTAAGGAGATGGTTAAGATGTTGATATGGAAGGATAACAATATTATGATGATGAAGAATAAGATATGTAACAGTAAGAAGAGTATTAAGAATATCAGCCAGAGGAACAATAGGATGATTAATAAAGTAATATTTTATAGTAAATAGGCTTTAAATATCAACCATTTGATTAAAGAAAATGGCAATGGGCAGAACCTTTAATAGAGGGAGTTCCACCATGTGCTAGAGGTGGTCATTCAGCAACATTGAGTGGAGCCTCTATTATATTGTTTGGAGGACATTATTATGCCAATAAAGATGAGGGATATAAATACTTAAATGATACTTATTAGATGGATGTTAATGCAAATAGATGGTTTAAAGCTAAAGTTTAAGGTACTCCACCTGCTCCCAGATATGCTCATTCTGCAGTTTTGGCAGGACAAAGAATAATTATATTTGGAGGAAAGGGAGAAAAATGTGTATTCAGAGATTTACATGCTCTTGATCCATTGACATTAACATGGTATTAGGGACCTGAAGGATCTGGATCACCAAGTGCTAGATTTGCTCATTCGGCTACTTTAGTAATTATTTTAGTATAACTAAATCATAGTATGCCTCAACAAAAATGATAATATTTGGAGGTTGGAATGGAATTGATTATTTTAATGATCTTTATGTTCTAGACTTAGAAGTAATGGCTTGGTCTTAACCACCCTGTACAGGTCCTTCTCCTACTCCTCGTTAAGGACACACAGCTATATAGGTGGGAGCCAACTTAATCATATAAGGAGGTTTCTATTATTAAGAGGATAAAACTCTAAAGACATTACATAAAACAGCAAATCCAAGACATGGATCACATTTAAGAAGCTGTTATTTAAATGATATTAGAATTCTCGATACTGAACATTTTGCATGGAGTAGATTAAGAGTAAGTGGAACTCCCCCTGCTCCACGATATGGACATTCAGCTAATGTCAGTGGAGCTGATATTGTAGTATTTGGAGGTTGGTCTTTAAATTCAGGAGCTAGAAGGTTTACAATATCTATATTATTAGTGAAAATAATTTTGCTACTCCTCCAGACATTGATTACTTGATTGTATTGAATACTGAGAAAATGTGTTGGGAAAAAGCCAAATATGAAGGAAATGCTCCTAGAAATAGATATGGTCATACAGCAACCTCAATTGGTCCACATATATTGATTTTTGGAGGTTGGGAATATAATAGAGCAACAAATCAAGTAGTTGTTCTAAGAGATCTTAATGTTGGATAATAATAGTAGGAGAAGAAAAAATGATATTAATTATAATAAAATGAGTAGTTTAGAATCATCTCCTAAAAATTCTCTTAAAATAGTTGATATTCTGGAGAAGTACAAATAGAAAAAGGCTATTATGAGTCCTCTTCCTCTTGAATAGTTTTAATAGATTGTTTAGGAAGCTGGATAAGAATTACTTTAATAACATCCTGAGTGTGAGAATACTCATTTCATTCCATTCAAACAACTCAATTAAGATGCTATAGATGAGTTATAAAGATCTCTTCATTAATCCAAGATTATGTGGAATCATTTTAGTAGAGCTTTATTTGCAGCAAGTCCTATTGAAAATAAAAATAGTTCAAAGAAAATGGAATTGTTGCATAATAGAGATGCATATTATAGGATAAAGAAATAAAATGATATACAGTTGAAGTTATAAATAGATGGAATAAATAAGGAATATCAAAAAATTCATCTTGAAACTTAGGGAGTAAAATCATATCCATCGATTTCAACAAAGGACTAATTTCGTTAATAATAGATTAAAAGATAATTATAGATGGGATGTAGTTAAGAACTGGTTCGTTAGGAAACTGAATTAATTTAATAATAAATTGAACAAACTAAATCTCGATTAATTAATGAAGTCAAGAAAATTGTCGTTTATATTTACAATAATTAAAACAACGGATGGAATCCTTCATCTAGGGAAAGTAGTGCCATGGTTAATTATAATGAGAAACTGTATCTTTTTGGTGGATCAGGAGCTGGAAATATGAGTGATCTATGTTAGGCAACTCTAGATAAATGTATAATTATATTAATATTAGAATTATATAAATGGATGACAATAAAATTAAAGTAATAAATTTAATGTAGATCTTATCATACAATCAATGTATATAAAAGTTAATTGATCATATTTGGTGGTGTTTTATTTTCACCGAAAAATGAAGATAGGATTCATTGTGAAGTTACAAATGAAGTTATTCACATTAATTTAGTAAATTATGATATGAAGATTGTACAACATGCTGGCATAGCATCTCCAAGAAAAGCACATATAGCAGAAGTTATTGGGAGATATCTTTTAGTTTAAGGAGGTATAGATTCAAAAGGTCATTATTTAAATGATTTTCTTGCTTATGATATATTAACATAGAGATGGTAAAATGTAGAAGTTAATATTCCAGTATTTTAAGATGGTATTGCATTTCATAAATCTTGTTGTGCTTTAGAACATAAAACAATTGATCTTTATAAATATGATCCTGATATTAGTTATGAGAATTAAGGCATTTATATATTTGGAGGTTTAGATTCAAATGGACATTACTTAGATAAACTAATAAAAATAGATGTTAGAAGAAGACCTATATATATTGAGGAAGTGTAACCAAAAGGTAGAGCTCCAATTAGTAGATGTTAGCATTCAATGTCATATGTAGAATTGTCATAATAAATTATAATTTATGGTGGCAAAAATGATGATATAAACACTTAAGGATTTTTGAATGATTTACATATCTTAGAGATTAGGAATTTAACATGGAGTCATTTAGATATCAGAGGACATCCTAGTTCAGGACGATGCAGCCATTCAGCTACTGTAATTGATGAAAAACTATTTATCTTTGGAGGTGTAAATTATTCAGGATTTGTAAAAAGTGATCTCTTAATTATTGAGCTTAATCAATCAAAAGCATAAGATTTAGGTTAATATGAATCATAAACAGAAAGAATATCTAAATAATAATTACAGGTATAATTTAAACCTGTTAGTCCACCTAAAAGAATTCTCAATCTCAAATAATAAATTGAATAAATAAAAAAAGATAGTGAAAAAGTTAAATTAGCTGATAAATTTAAAAGAATAAGTATGGCAAGACATAGTCGTAACTTGACAGATGTTCAAATTTATAGAACCTTTGCTACTGTTACTGATTGATTTTATCATAAAATTATATTATAATATTAATGTAATAAATTGATAACCTTGAATATGTCGATTAAGTTAATTCTTGGCTTGATTTGTCAAATTTGCTAATAAAATTAGCTCCAAATCAGTAAAAATAATTCACTAAGGAATTGAGAGACAAACTTAAAAGTGGAAGTAATTATCATCTTAAATTTCCTTCCTAGATTATTTAAAGCCTGCTCCAATTTAAAAAATGGTTTTACCCTTTCTTTTACAAGAGAAAACAGAAGAAAGATTTGTATATATCAAATCACCTACTGGAACAGGCAAAACATTAGCTTTTATATTGCCAATAATATTTTTCTTCGATTAAGATTATATTCAATAATATTACTAGGCATAATAAGATGGGCCTGTTCAATATTATCCATTTGCTATTATTTTGGTTGCTACTCATGCTCTCTTAGCTTAAATTTAAAAAGACTTTATAGGCGCTACTCCAGATATTTTATTGAAATAGGGATTTGTATTAATTCTGAATATTATAGAAAGTCCAACATTTTGATAAAGGTCAAGATGAAAGTGTTATAATGGGTCATGTAATTTGTGGAGTCCCATAAACAATTCTAAAATTAATATAAAAAAAAACAATAAATCTAAAAAATGTAAGATTTATTGTGGTTGATGAAGCAGACAATACAATATTAAATGATAAAAGTCAGAAAGTGATATAAATAATATCAAAATTTTTGGAATCTAATAATTTAAGATGGAAAATAATATCTTGTGGTGCAACAATGGAAGTGAATGAATTAAAATAATTATTCATAAAATAATTAGGAGAAAAGAAATAAGGTGATGAAGAATTTTTTAAATTTAAATATTTTGATTTTCAAATAACACTTGATAACATTTATCATTATTATGATAGTTCTGCTGATAAAGAAGAGGATATGTTAAAATAAATGGTATCAGTTATAAAGGATACTTTTAAAACATTTTCAGAAGCATAAATAATGATATTTTTTAATGCTAAATCAAAATGTCATGAAACTAAATTATTATTAATGAATGATCCTTTATTAAAATTTTTGGTTGAAGGAAATTGTTTATGTGAAATAATATAAGATAATATAATGGATTATGGTAGTGCTGAAGAAATGAGAAAAGCTTAATAAAAAATTGTTGATGATTTTAAAAATGGGTAGATAAATAAATATATATTTTTAGTGTATACAAAATAATGTTTTGTTCAGATTTAATGGGTAGAGGAATGAATTTTAGAAAAGTTAGATTGGTTATTAATTATGGAGCTCCTAGAATCAAACCTGATGGTGAATTTGATCTTAGAAGATATAATCAAAGAGTTGGAAGAACTGGAAGAATGGAAGATCTAGGTGTTGCTTTAACAATTTTGAAGTATTTATTTTAGAATTATATTATTTAGTAAATCATTAAATTCAGATATACCTGAAATAAAGTTTACTGACTTTTTATAATCAGAAATACCAGGATTAATTTTAAAGAAATATGAAACAACAGATTTTTTCAAATAATTAAAGGAAGTGTATACAAAAACATAATAAAAATAGAAATGAGATATTATTTAAAAATATAAAACAAATTCATTAAATTTAAAATGCTGAACAGCTTTTATTGGGTTCTATGGTAAGATTTTCTATTTTTATATCTATTTCTTCTTTCTTTACAGTTTCTGCCTATAATTCTTCTTCTATTTTGGTATATATCTATTTTTATTTTTTAGAGGATATCTTTGTATTTAATTTCCCAATACTTTATAATATTCTATACTTATTTAAAAATAATTACTCTTTCATCCTATGCTTTAATTAATAGGATTTCACAAATTTATCTAGAAATCCTTTGGATGCACAAAAATCATTATTTTTGAATAATTCTAATGCCTTACATCTCAATTCTTATCTTGAGATCTTTTTACCTGTTTATTGAACCTTCTCTATAACCCATTCAATCAACTACTTTTCAGCATAGGGATTAAGCTTTTTTCTACCACAGCCTTTTTTTCTTTCTGTACCACATTGTAACCATCTTTTAAGATTTTTTATAGTTGTTCCCACTGTCTAACTTACCCTTTTAAAATCATCAAACAAAGGATTTGGTCCTAGCATTTATACAGCTTGATCTTTTTCTTGTTTTGATAATACATTGTAATGCTCTCTCCTTAATTAAGTGAAATCAATAACAATTTTGCATTCTTCTTGAATTTGTATAATGATGTTGGAAGTCTCGTCTTAGAGTTACATTAATAAACTAGGTAATATTTGGAACACTCATGAAATCAATTTGGGAAAATTATTAACATGATTATAATAATATATAAAATTTTTCATGGTTTCAAAGTTCTTTATATAATTGAATCACTCTTAAATTGTATAATTAGAAACTCAGTTTATAAATAATAAATATATTTTAACTTCTCTATTTATTTATATTTCTTAAATCAATTATTATACCATTAAGGATATGAATGTAACTTATCGATTAAACATATAAATAATATTTTGATATGATTATTTCAATAGTTCTACTATTCTATCAATAATTAAGTAGACTTATATTTATGATTATTGAAATAAACATAAATTAACATAAACATTTAAAGAAATTAACAACTTATAAATGATTTGTTACATAAATAGATTCTCAATAAAAGAAGAAAAAAATTATAAGCAAGTTAAGATCATAGTAGTTTAACTAATTTTCCTTATTTCCAAATACCTCTGGTTGGATCTTGCCCTTATCCTTTAAAAAATTCACCTTATCCATGTTAAAGTCCTTATTTCCATAATCCAACATATTTACGACCATCAGCAAATTGGAATATACCAAAACCATTTTTTTAATCATTAATATATTCACCTTAATAATATCTTCCATCAGGCCATGTTAATGTACCTTTTCCATTCATTTTTCCGTCAACCCAATTTCCATCATATACTCTACCGTCTTGCCATCTCTAGATAAATCTACTGTCAAAAATACATATATTCCTTTTCCATTAAAATCATCAAATTCAAATTCTCCTTCATAGATTTCACCTGTTATAAATGTGATTTTTCCAAATCCATGTTTTTCTCCATTTAAAAAATTACCCACATAGACAGATCCATTAGAATACCATTCCATTCCTTCTCCATTAGGTAGATCTCTCTCCCAAAATCCTAAAAATCAACTATAAATTATACCTTCATATTTACATCCATTATTATATATGTAACTCCCTTAACCCTACATTCTATTATTATACCATTAACCTCTGTATATATTACCTTCTTTACTTTTAAATTCTCCTCTACCATGTAGACAACCTTTACTGAATTCACCATAATAAAAAGATTAATCAGAAAAAGTATATTTTCCTTTACCATCTGGCATTTAATCTAACCATTCTCCAATATAAATATTTCCTCCAATTAATTTGATAGCATCCAACTTTAATCTTTTATTTATTGTTTATATTTTAATCTTATCTCTAGGTTCCAATATTTCATGAGTCAACACACATTTAAATCTAAACGATTGCATTTTCTTTGATTAGTTTAATGAGGATCGTAGAGATTTAATTGGTGAAGATGTACTTTATTATAATGGTGTTTGTTCAATTTAATCAGATTGATTATCATCTAATAAATCTGATTCTTTTGGCAATAATTTTGCACTATACTCCCTTCCAAAATGCGATAGACTCTTTCTTTTGATATGGTTGTCAATCATAGGCAGTAAATTTCTAACTTCTTAAGGATCTACTCTTGGTGAATAAGAGATTGTCCGATGTTCGATTAAACAGTCATCAGTTGAATTACTTCTCTTTTAATTCATTGATCGTTTCTTAGCCAATTCTTGTCTAGTATTCAAACTTATATAATTACTTAAATCTCTATCGACAAATGTATGCACGATAAGCTGTCTAAATTTTTATCACCATTTAATGATTGTGCTGCAATAAAGTAACAATATTGTTCTATATTGTTACTTATTACAACGGTTCTTGTCTTTATACACATTAATTGCATGAACCCATATAAATATAATTTATTATAACTAATTAATTTACATCCTTAGCGTACACTTTTATCTTATTTAAATGTTATATCAATTTTCACTTTAATTTATTTAATATCTTTCATATTATAATTGTATTATTACTTAATATTAATGAAACGATCATTAAATCGTTTTAATTTAATCAAATCAATCTTTATCCCAATTAATACACAAAATAAGCTTCCAACTTTTTATTTTCAAATTACTACTCTAAATATCTTTATTTTATAATCAAACATTTTCCATTATACTTAATCTCTATAATTATCATTAATAATAAAATGATTCCATTAAATTAAACTCTAAGTTATTGTTCTTGAATATTAATAAAAAGATTAAATAGGTTGTTGCTGGAAATTATTATCAAGAGATTTAAATTAATAATAATTAAAATTAATGTAACAGGAAAGCATATATAATTTAATTCCTAAAGAGTATGTACCTCCATCCAAAGAACCAATGTATAGATCTGCATATCCAAATGGTTTAGTACCTACTGCAAGCACCTTCAATAATCATACCACAAGTCGACCTAAAGTTAATATAAATTTCTATTTAAGGTCAATAATATCAATGGTGATTTCGAATTAGTCAAAGGACCTCATACTCATAAAGGATAATCTAATTCTCTAGGAAAAATTAAGGGTAATTTAAATTTTCTATAAGGATCATACAAACCTGATGCTACATTGTTTAGAATGAAGAATACTGGTACAATGGGATCTAATTAATTACCTGAAAGTAATCCATTATATTAAAGTAGTTTAATCATTCAAATATCCATAATCATGTAGAGCGGCAGTTCCAAAAAAAGATGAAAAACCAATACATGGACTTAAATCAAATAAGAATTTTATTGTTACAAATGCAGTTGAAAATATCCTTTCGGCCCCCAAATAAGTTACAGAAGAGAAGGCCTGGACTGAAAAAAAAGATTATGGAAAAGTACCAGATTATTTAACTAAAATCTAAAGCAGTATCAATAATGAATATGAAATCATTCGAAATATGCATATGAATGAAGCAGAAGAAAGAGACAAATAAAAATATTTAATGACTCTTGAAGAAGTAGAGCGTTTAAAGTTAGGATTGAAAAAGAAATGGGAATCTGTAAACAAGGAGTATTAAACAATTACACATATAAGAATGATAGATACTGTAGGATTAAAAAGAAAGTATATATTAAATTCTATTTTATTAGAAAGGAGTAATGCGAGAAAGAATTAGCTTTGTTAGAGAAAGATATAGAAAAATTAAATAAAAACTATGTTTTCATAGACACGTAGAAATGATTATTTTTTTATATAAATACACAAATAAGTAATCTATTTCATATTTTATTAATTTATGAATTAAATATTCTAAATCAATTGTGATAACTGTCTTATGATATGTAATATTACAATATTTAAAATACTTAAACTAAAAAAGCAATAAAATTAACTAAGGAAATTATGAGAAAGAAAATGATAGGATTAATTTAGAATTTGAAAAGCCTTAAGTTAAATTTATTGAATAATTCATGATGAGAATAAATGGAGGAGATAATTTAGATGGATAAAATTTAAAAGAAAATAAGAAGAAATGATGATGATTCATTTATTGTATAATAAAGTGATTATAAGGATAATTATGATATTGAAATGTTTAAGTTGTCGATGGAAATGGAAATGATGGCAATCTTGAATTTAATTTGAATAAATTCAAGACTGATTATGTGGGATCTAAAAAATTAAAGATATATGATTAAAAAGAAAAAATATTAAATTTTTAATAGGAAAATAGAAAGAAGAAGCTGTAAAAGAGAAAAAAGAAGAAGTATAAAAAAAATAATTTGCTAAATTATCATAAGTGTAGAAACCTACTTTAGTTAAAAAATTAAAAATTAATGAAATTGTAAAGAAAATTAATAATCCAAAAATACTCTTATTTGATAAAGATAATTTTTGATTATACTTTGTCTTAAATTCATAATGAAAATAATTCATAATTGTGAATATTAAGAATTTTACTTGTTTATTTAAGATCTATAAACTTATATTATTTTTATTATTATTATTATTTAATTATTATTATCCAATATTATATTATTTAAGAAAGGATTTTTTATAAATAAAAAATAAAAACGAAACAAATATTTGGTTCTAATTTTCTTCTATATTTGTTTTTTAAAAAGCTACTTTTCAATTATAAACTATAATTACATATCTATAAATAATATTAGAAAACTGAAATATGAAAATAGAGAAATGAAGTTTTTTATTCTTATTTTTTATTAGGTATTATAAATACAATAATAATCAAAAATTTAGTATCAAAATAATTTTTATTCAGATTAAAATTGAGCATAATCGAATGATTCAAGCTAAATAAAAAATTCAAAAGAGAGTCCAAAAATATTCTTACTTCCTTAATGACATCTTAGGAGAAGGTTATTCATCATCAGTTTATAAGGGTATTAATATTTATACCAATCAAATCGTTGCTATAAAGGTTATAAATTTTTCTACCTTAACTACTCCTATTTCTCAAACCCTTTTGAAAAATGAGATCACTATTTTAAAACAATTAGATCATGAGAATTTAATGAAAGTTTACGAGATTTTTGAGACAAAAAATAACACTTACATAATATGTGAATATTGTAATGAAGGTGATCTAGCTAATATATTAGAAAAAACCAATTTTACCTAAACAGAAATTATTAATATTTTTCTTCAAGTAGCTAAAGGTGTAAAAGCTCTACATGATTAAAGTAAATCCTAATTCATTTATCATTTTTAGAAATTATCCATAGAGATATAAAACCAGCCAATATATTAATATCTAATGGAATTTACAAGCTTTCTGATTTTGGTTTTGCCATTGTTGAAAATGATTTTGAGAGTATAATAAAAAGATTTAGCGTTGGAACTCCAGTTTATATGGCACCTGAAACAGTTCAGTCAAATTCTTATTCTGAAAAATCAGATATATGGTCGTTGGGTGTAGTTCTTTACTTAATGATATACAAAGAAATTCCTTATAATCTTAAAAAGGATGGAGATCTATATGGAAAGTAATAGTAAATACATTCTAAAATTATGAATGATAAATCATTAATGAAAAAGATCTAGAATGTTCTAATAGGTATGTTAGAGTTGGATCCATAAAAAAGAATTAGTATAGATGGAATACTGTTAATTTTAAATCAACAGAAAAAATTGAAATGCCAAAATTCTCATTAGAATATACCATGTAAAGTCTTACGTAGAGTAAGTGGATATGATTAAATTTTACATGATGGTTCTGATAATGATAATAATGGAAATTCAAAAAAAATATTAAAAACATTGCCAGATGAGTTGGATAATATAGATGAGAAAACGGAACCAATATCATTTCGTAATATTCATTAATAACCTACATTTGAATTTAATAGTCTATAATAAAATCAATTGTCTAATAATGAATGTTAAGAGACTAAACTTGATTCATCACCAATATAAACTAAAGATAAATAAAAAAAGTAAATTAGAATAAATATTCCTACAATTTAGTCAACTTATATCAAAAAGTTGAATTCTAATTAAAATTAATTGCCATCTGAACATAGTGATACAAATTAACATAGTAATCCTAATAGTACTAATGATACAATCAAAAATATTCAGTTTTCAAATTGTTAATCATAAAATCAAATCAATTCTAATTCACCATTATTTGCTCCTAAAACGAATGAAACACTTACAAGTAGAGATTAAGGAATTTCTCCTATAAATATTAATTAATCACTCAGAAATTTAATTGTTTCTCCATTAAGATAAAGAAAAGGTCCTACAACTTGTTCATTATCAGATTTCAAGAATTTTTAATTAAAATCAAATTAATTATAATAAAAAAGATGTGATTTTATTAAATAAAGAGCTAAGACTGATTTATCTCTTAATAAGTTTACTGATATAGATAAGAAGAAATAAGAAAATGAAAAAGAAAAAGAAATTCCTGCCATTGAGTCATTGGCTGCTACTATTAGACCAACATATAGATTTTTAATATTTTTAAATTCAGTTTTAAAAAAGTTTGACTCAATAAATACTGAGGATAAATAGAAATGCTATTTCCTATTAAGAAAGCTATTAGCAGTAAAAGCTTGTGCAATAAAAAATTATTGTCCTCCTCAAATCTAAGAAGAATTATAACGTTGGATTGATAGCTTTGAATAATATTTTGAAAAAGTAAGACCTGTGTTTTACAATCATCATGATAGAAAGTTTAGTCAATACTTTAATAATAATTTGGATTAATTTACCAAAGGATTTTCATAATAATTATATAGTTATCTATAAATAGTAAATTAGTAGTTATTATTAAAAGATCTATTAATAATTTAAGAAGTAATCAATGAAAACCTTAAATAATTCAATGATCCTATTTTATTTGCTAGAAGATGGGAGAATGATCAATAATGAGTTTTTCTTAGTATATAGTTTTTTAATAAATTTATATAAAGTGAATATAATTCTATCAATTATGAATAAAGGAGATTTTATTTAATTTTATTCTTCATTAATTAAATTAATTAAAATTCTTTATAATATTAAATCAACTAAAATCTCTATCTGGGAAAATATGTGGTGCAATCAAAGTCCAAATATAGAGTAAAGCAGCTAACCAAGATGTGACCATTTTTACCTATATAGTATAATAATTGATTACCCAATAAGCTAATTTGTTTGGTTAATATGCTTCAAATGAATTCTCATTAAAATTTGGTTCACTCCAATTTGTTAACAATATCATCATATAAATAATAGTGATAAACATAATAAAATGAAAGATTAAATATTAATTTGTTGTGTAAGGTAGCATTTCTGCTTATTTTACTAATTCCTTGGCTTCTTCTAGTTTTTATTATTATTATTATTATTATAATAATTATTATTCTTCATCTTAATTTGCTTCTCTTTATTGATTTTCTAATTTCTCATCCTTAGATTCTAATTATACAAGATTAATTGAAGATGAATTTGATGTTCCAAAAGTTAAATAGAGGAGTGAGACAATAGTTAATAATATGCCAACAACAATTTCTATTATTCTGGTTCCTTCTGATTTAGATAATGAATTGCATTAACTTTCAGGCCATGAAGATTAAGCTTAATAAGCTTGAAATACTATATATATAGCCATGGCTCCTGATGTAAGTAAGGATCCTTATGGATTCCATCCTAATAATTAAACACCAGTAGCTCCTACAATTAAAATTATTGTAAAGATGTTCATAAATATATTTGTCCCACATCCAGAAAACCAAATAAAATTAAAAATATTTAATGTTAAGGCTCCTCCATATAAAATTGCTGTTGTGATAATTAATATATATTTCATATATTCTCCTCCATTATCATATATGCTAATCCAACTTTAACCCCATAAATAAAATACATCAATCAACATAATAATTTAAAAAATCATAAAGAGTCCACTTATAACAATTGCAAAATATACATATCCTTTGAAAAATGAATTATGAATGAATAGAGTTCCAAAAAAAAATATAGCAATGAATCTAAATTTATATTAATATAAGAAATACAAAAATTTGAGGGGCCATAAACTTTCATTTGCAATTTTGGCTATTTCTCCTCTTATCAGCATAAAGATCATTAAAAATATGTACATCCACATTAAAACAAAACAAATCCTATAAATACTTGAAACCCCTAAACATTATGAATTATCATCTGTGGGACATTAGATAAATTTTAAATAGTTATCAAACAAACCTTATAAAAAATAGCAAAATATCATGGTAACAAAGATTGTTGTGTAATTAAGAAATATATAAGCCAACTTAATCTATTCTTTAAAAGTTGAACCGCAACAACTCTTACAACAACAGCATATTGTCTTACAACAAACCATTCCTGTACAGCATAAGGCATCCATAGTAGCAGTGAGACACATTAATCTATAAAAATTATAAAATATTATATATTGTCTAAATATTCCATATTAAAGTGTATCAGAAATAGTAAAAATAGTATTTCTTAATTTTATTAACTTTGTGTTTTGAATTGTTATTATTTCTGAAAAAGTTAATAATTTTAAGAAAGATTAAAATTTAAGGTTGAAATCAATCTGATTTTGAAATTCAATTTTAATAATTCTTCATAACTTTTTTAATTCAAAACTAGTATTTATATTAATCTATTCTGTTATTGACATTTATTTTGATATATTAAATCTATATAATATATTTTCAATAACACTAATAGTAAATGGAATTAAGTAATATTATTTGTTAAATAAAATTTAGATATTAATCTTTTTATTTATTTATATATATATATAAATAATTTTATATAAATGGGGAATTGTTTAGCTAGTCGCAAGGATCCAGTACCATTAGCTTTTGATTAAGCTGAATATTAAGCACTTAATAACTAGTTCCACTATTATTGTGAATTAAGCAGCTAGTAATTTAAAAGTATATTTAAGAACACGAGATGCAAAAGGATTGAACTAAAAATCATTTGAAGATATTTTCTGTGAAAATCAATCTTTTGGAATTAAATTATTCAAATTTTTAGAAGCATATTCTGGATCTTAGGGATTGATTAAGAAAGAACCTTTGTTTGAATTTTGTAATATACTATCTAATAAAAAGTGGAATTATTGGTGAAAGATGTCCAAACTAATATACCAACATTTAAGAACCTAGAGAGATTTGAATTAATGTCATTAATTTCATTATAAGATTCTAAATTTTTAGCAACCAAAGAGGAATTAGCATAATTGCAATTGACATATTTAGACACTATTGGAGTGATTAAAGTAATGCAATCTTATAAATAAGGATTTAATTAAAATGCATTAAATAGGTAAAAAAGCAGTATCTACTAATGAGAGATATATTAAGACTTTAGTTGATATGTTATATAGTAAAAATATAAAATATTATATTAGAAAATGAAGCAGGTTCTTTATCTTGGGTTAATTTAGTAGAATTTGTTACAAAATAAATGCCAGGAACTAAAGAAACAATTAAACTCTATTTTTAGGCAAAATTTATGGGAAAATAAATTAATGTAAAAAATTATAAAATAAAAATAGAATTTTATTCCTGTTGTAAATACACCATCTTATTTCTTAACTGATGAATTATGTTTCTAATTATCACTTAGTACAAATTCAGTCTTAAAAAATTGTTCATAATTGACTTTAATTTATTCAAATATTGCTCATTAGGGTGGATTTAATTAAATGGTATAGGCTATGATAAGTATTATATAATTAAATATATTATTTAGATAGTAAATTACCTACATTATTATTGGTTTAACATGAAGAAATCTATGATTAAAAAATTAAATAATAGAATTTCGGTGCTATTACTAATTTGAGATGGTATGACACTTAATAATATTTTGGAACTAAAGATGATTGTATTTTTAGTCTCTATCCATATTATAAGATATTTAAATCAAAAAAAGGAGAATATAATTATTGTTATTTAGATTCCTAAAAAGGTTTTGGATTTGGAGGCAAGAATGCTGAAGGATTCAGAATTTGGATTGATAAAAACATTGAAAATTCATATTGTAATCAATTTGATGATACCTATGAGAATGGTCCAATCGTACTTCCTTATGTTAAAAAGCTCAAAATCAAAATTATTGAAATTTGGGCTATCTAACATCCCGCTGATGATTTAGATGATAATACAGAAGTCATAGTAGACTTAAAAGATCCTCTCCTTTAATAACCTGGTGTAGTAGAATTTCCAGATTCTAATGCAGATTATTATTGGGTTAATTAGGATTAAAAAATTGATGAAAAGAATTCAGGGTATTATTGGGAAGTTTAAGATGGGACAAAATGATTAATAATAATAATCATATTAATACATTTTGAAATATATTTAATTATAGTCTATATATTCCAAAAAGGATAATAATAGAATAAATATTAAAGATATTAAATTTATAAAATGATTACCATTTAATTTATTAAAATTTAAGTGATTAATTATTCTCATCAAAATTGTTGAATTAAATATTATTTAGAAACTAGATTCTAAAACATAATTATTATTGTATTACAAATTAACCAATCAAATTTTAAAGAATAAAATAAATCAAAATATATAAAATATGATAAAATGATTCTATTAAAGTACTTATTATAATAAAATAGCATTCAAAATTAAAAATTATCATTACAATAAGAATAAATTGCCTTTCATCTATTGCAATCGAGTAAAGAGAGTTCATAAACAATATTTTAAGTAGTTGTTTATAATGAATTTACCAATGTGCTGCTTTCATCATATAGATCCTTTTAAATTTAGTTCCAATGATCATCAGCTTAATTTAATTCTTCTAAAATATTAGCTAAGTTAGTATTTTCAGATTCAAATTATTGACACTTCTTTATAGAATTCACAAGTTTTTCTACAGGGTATGTTTTAAATTCTGCCATAGGTAATTTTAAAACTTTCTCAGCTTAGTGAAGTCGATATTTAAGATCTGATACTTCATAATGTTGCTTTTCATTAATAAGTTACTCTAGAGAATCCAATGCCACACGAGTTGGTTTATTTATTTCAATCTAATTAAGATATATGTTCTTAACTTCATTAATACATTAAATCAATTGTTTTGCTTTTGTTTATTACAGTTTTTTTTCTAAGTAATTGATTTGTTCAAGTAATGCTTTTTTTTCTTATTAATGAATTTTATCTATTTCATCTATGATTTTCATCAACTATGAGTTTGAAAAATCAACTTAAACTGATGCATCTTGTATATTTTTTGTTTAATAAGGGTTTGTTTTTGTTGAAGTTAATTCATTCTTATATTATTCAGATGAATTATGATTTATTTGATTAATCATAAATTTTATTATATTTTAGAAATGCAAATTAGAATAAAGTCAAGTACATACTTGAAATAAATTGTATATTTACATTATTACAATTGAAATACAATATTTTAAGTATTTGTTTCAATTATACAAACATATAATGATAACATATTAGTATTGCATTTGATAAAACTTTAAAGAAATTTAATAAAATTTATAGATAATAATACAAAAGGAAGGACATATAATAAAATAAATTGATTCATTATTATCTAAAAATAATTTTATTTGATTTTTCTTTAATCCTTATAAGATATAATCATTAATCATAATATTATTCAAATATTTCATCTACTTTTAAAATCACATTATCTATATAATTTATTGAAAATACTTTTAATTCTATTGTTTTCAAAATACAGATTAATAAATAATAATATATCTAAGGGTATAAAAATTGTAATCTAATGATAAAAAGGAAAGCAATAATTATTGTTTATTATTTTAGTAAAATAAAACATTTATTAAAGAAGGATGAAATCCTATTTGAAAAGGGATGTTATTAAAAGGAAAAACAATTTATTATAAATGTAAAATATATTAATTATTAGTGTAAATTTGAATATTTTAAAATATGTAAATGGAGAAATAATCTGTTTGAATTAAAGAAAGTATATAAAGTTGATAATAAAATTCTTTTGTAATTGATATTTCCTGTGAAATAAACTTATATGTTTCTTACTTTTGAAATACTTAATTTATAAGGTCGAATATGTTCAATATAAGATTAATTCATAATAATTGAAATTATAGAAATTAAAACATGGGTGCAACTTGTTGTAAATCAAATTTACAGACCTAAGATGGTAATACTTATATATATAATTTGTTATAGAACTATCTGTGCAATCAGCAGCTTTTGGTGATAATGAATAAAGTTCTTAGAAAAGAGTTGTTAAACAAACAACTGCCAATAAACGTCAAGCATATACACCAGCATAGACTTTTGGTTTAGGATTGAAATAAAACCTATCTGAAGAAGGGAAAGAAGTTTATGATGAACCAAAGAAGGTTTCTATGGTAGTGTCAAAAGAGTTAGAATAATTATTAGAGCGATAGAATTCAGATACAGATAGAAAGAAAATATTAGAATAGTAATCTGCATAAAGTATAATATATAGCGATTACATTAGAAAAAGAGCATAAATTAAATGTCAATATAGACATTTTTGTATAATTGAAAAAGGGTTAAATATCTGATCATTATATTACAGGATAAGTTCTAGGGGAAGGAGCATTTGGAAAAGTGTGGAAAGTTACACATAAAAAATCAAAATTGGATAGAGCAATGAAGCAATTAAAAAAAAGTTCAATTTTAAAAGAAGATAAAGAGAAATTGTTTTCAGAAATGAATATATTAAAGAACTTAGACCATCCAAATATTGTAAAATTGTATGAATTATTCGAAGATGATAAAAATTACTATTTGGTTACGGAGTAAGTACTAAATTGATTGAGGATAGGTATTGTTCTGGTGGAGAATTATTTGATCGTATTAAGAAAATGAACTTTTTTAGTGAAAAAAAAGCAGCAGAATTAATGAGATAAATACTAAGTGCTGTTTGGTATTGTCATAATCAAAAGATTGTACATAGAGATTTAAAACCAGAAAATTTATTATTTGTATCAGATTCACCAGATGCTGATTTAAAAGTGATAGATTTTGGAACATCTCGTAAATTTGAAACAGGAAAAAGAATGACAAAAAGATTAGGAACTCCATATTATATTGCTCCAGAAGTTTTGTTAGAAAATTATAATGAAAAATGTGATGTTTGGTCTTGTGGCATTATTCTTTATATCTTATTATGTGGTTATCCACCATTTTCAGGTAGAAGTGAATCAGATATTTTGAAAAGAGTTAAAGCAGCATAATTAAAATTTGATCCTGAAGATTGGGCTCATATTAGTGAAGATGCTTAAAATCTTATTAAGAATATGTTGAATCCTAATCCAGCCAAAAGAATAAGTTCTGAATAAGCATATAATGATAAATGGATATAAAATAATGCACCTTCAAATTAAGTCAATTAAAAAGCATTATAAAATTTATAATAGTTTCATGCAAAGAGTAAATTTAAATAGGCAGTTCTGACTTTTATGGCTACTTAAATTATAACTCAATAAGAGTAAGATGAATTAAATAAAACATTTTAAGCTATAGATAAGAATGGAGATGGGAAACTATCAAGATAAGAATTAATAGATGGTTATACTTCAGTTACTAATAATAAAGAATTAGCTATTTAATAGGTTGATAGAATAATGGAATTAGTGGATATTAATAGATCTGGAGAAGTAGATTTTACAGGTAATTATTGATTAGTATATATATTTAATAGAATTCTTAATAGCTGCAATGAATTAAGAGAAGTTTTTGTCTGTTCAAAAAATGGAATAAGCATTTAAAATAATAGATTTAGATGGAGACAATTATATATCAAAAGCAGAATTATAAAATGTTATGGGTGATGTTGATGATGAGGTATTTAGATGTAATTTAATGAGATTTGGATATAAATACTAAAGGAATGTGATAGTGATAATGATGGTAAAATATCATTGGAAGAATTTTCATCCTTATTGCAATCTAAAGTTTTATGATTTGTAGAGATTGCTTAATATTAATTTTTATTATTATATTTATTATAATGATAATGCATTTCATTTTCTTTTTCTTGGTTCAGGAACTGTCGGATTGAGATCAGCCAATTTTTATTTGATATAAATCTATCTTAATGATTCAGCATTCTCATAAGGTGATGATCTTTCAGGACATTCCAAAAAGAACCAAAGAATCTTAAATAAATTTAATTCATACATTTTCCACTTTGCATACTCTTTTTGGAAGATCATCTTTCACACTCTTTTCTTTGAGGCAAGAGACAAAGTTTTTCTCTAACCAATTGCATTCATTTCTATTGGATTAGTATATTAATATTACACATCATTAAGTGGTGGACGATATTTGACTTCCATGATATTTATATTAATATTAATTAAAGTCAATCAAATTAACATAAAAACTCTAATTCTCTATACCTTAAACTCTTTTCTATTGCTCTATTATATGCCGACTCTTCAGTTTTTAATCTATTTGACTTCAGATAACTTGTTTTTGTTTGTCTTTTCGATGGAGTAACATTTAGTAAATTATTTATTTGCTAAAGATTTGCATTTTATAATGTGAATTTTCTATAGTGTTATTATGGAACCAAAGATTGTTTGATTTATATAATCCCTATTTATTCACTTAACTCTTTTAATACTATTGAATATTTTGGAGGTGCATATTTATATTCTTCCAATTTCTATATATGACCATATAACTTCCCAAAGTTTCCTGCAAATTTGGTGTCATCTTATAATTAATTAATAGAAAGAGCCAGAGAACATCTTTTAACCAAGATTGTTATCAATTGAAGTAGACATTGATTGTATTCATTTTCAAGTGCACGAGTACTAAAACCACTATATACAGACATGTTAAATTAATTAATTAAATCACAAATTCAGGAAAGAAGCATGGATGAAGTTATTTCTGTATATTAGACTCATTCTTCTACCTGCCTCATAAGGATTCAGTGTCAATAATTACCTTATATAGGGTATCTTCAACTCAACTTAAATTATGTCTAACTTTCTAATTATTTGATTTAAGCTACTATAGATACAAATATGAAACACATCATTATTGAAATATATAGCCATAAACAACATTTTATGCTTCATAAAAGCACCCTTATAAAGTAATTGATATTTTATTAATTAACTATCATTATTTTTGTTTAATTTCATTATTTCTTAATTACTTGGCAATATTTTATATTTCAAATAATTCTCCATTATTTAATTGCATTATTTATAAATTTATACTTACTTTCCTCTTATATTTAAAGGGATATCTATAGTTTTGCAATTATCATACTCATATATTCTCAATCTTATAGGTTACCAACGAAATGATTACTAGATTTCTTGACAAGGAATATAACATAAAAAATTGCATGTTCTATCATTTTAATAAACTAATTCATTCAATGTTGTTTTGAAAGTATTTAAACATATTTAATTTTTATTGATACTCATCTATTTTAAGATCTCTAACCATATCTTTTTCTCAAATATGCTTTTCTACTTTCTTAACAATAATATATCAAATAACCAACATTCTTTATTCAGATTTTCTTCAAAAGAATTTTCTTAAACATTATTTAATTATAAAGTAGATTATCTCATTATATTATTCATACTTGAAAGACTTGATGTTGCTGATCTCTTGATACTTTTTTTTGTATCTTTTATTTATTGTATATAAATTTGAGTTCTATTTCTAAATGACTCAGGTGCTTTTATTATTAATGAATAAATCTTTGAAATTTCATTAAATTTCCAATTCCTAAAAAACTATTCCATCACTTCTTTAGGTTATTCTGGAAATATAGAATCTAAAAAATATTTATTCATTATTAAAAAATCTGATCTATGTATTGTATAATAAAATCTTCTACAATTACTCTAATTATAAAAATATACCTGAAAATAATTTTTGATTAAAGTTACTGTTATAATAAAATAATTTTTATCAATTTTCCTAATTTATTTATATATCACTCTTGAGTAAGATTTTGATCCAATTAAGATATTATTATCACAAAATTAATTTTCTAATATATATTATTTACGAATTTGATTTTGAGTTATAGGCACTAATTATAATCTTGAATATGTTAAAGTTGTTTTTAAAATGAAGTATTTACATAATTAATTCATTGTTCTAATGATATCTTCATCAAAAACTTTATAAAGAAATATATGTATTTTACTTTTATTTCCTACTGGCATGATTTTAATTAATAACATTTCTTAAAATAGTGTTCCAGTTACAAAAACATATCCTATGTCTTAAATTTTACTTTGAATAAAATACTATTTCGTGTTAACTAATTTATCTTAAATTAATAAAAATCTAAAATCTTTAGATATTGATTATCTGCTATCATTTTATAATAACTTCTAACCTGTTAGTGTTTTCTTCATCATTGTTTTATAACTAAATAGATAATCTCTCATTTTTCCATCAATCTAAGAAATATGAAACCATTTTTCAGTTTATTAAGAATTTAAACATACTATATGTTTTCTATTATTATTTCTATAGATGAATAATTAGGCTCTTGCAGAATTGTCTCTAATATTCTAATGTAATTTATTAACATCTGACTAAATTTACAATCTAACCTTTATGAATTTGTAATTATATTAGGTCTATTTAACTAAAAAAAGAGAATTAAAATGGGGAAATAATGTAATGTCCTTACCTGTAATTGTATTTTCATTTGTTCTTGCAATATGCTTGTTCATATCTTCATGAGATAAAATCAATCTAATAGGAAATTTAGGTTTTCTAAGTTGCTCAGGTTCTGCCAACATTAGTTTTCCATCTATATGTTTTAATAGTTTACAATTTCTTATATGAACATTATAGTATACATATGAATTACCATTAATTACTCCAAGTAGGAAGATAATATCTATTAATGGGTCTCTTTTATGTTCTTCTATGAGATCTAGGCTATCATCATTCTGACTTTAGCTATCTTCAGACATTTCATTTAACTCTTCTTCTATAAAATCAATTGATTCCTTAGCAAAATAAAGTTACTTATTGTATCTAAATAACTTTAAGTTTTTTTTGATGGATGAATCATCAGTTTCGTCTTTTTTTAATTAGATCTTACAATTAATAATTTATAATTTTGATTATAAAACTTCTTGTAACTTAATTATATCTATAATATATCCAGTTCTACCAACAGAATAATTTATTAAATCCTTCAATTATATATCTAATTCATCTTCCCATTTGTCTTTACAAAAAATTTATTCTAATTTTAATTTATTAGTAAGAGTTAAAAAGTAGAATTATTTTTCAATTTTGATGATTTAAGTTAAAATTAAGTAATTGTCAGAATGTATAGGTTTATATTGTAATTTATTGGATTTTTCATTAAGAAATTCTTCTTTAAAGTAATAATGAGATTCAATTAAATATTTTTATAGAATTGGGTTTGGAGTAGGAAAATAATTAATAGGAGGTACATTTAATTTGAATTCAGGAAAATATCTTGTTAGATAATCCTGAGTTTCAAGTGAAAATATTTCAGACAATTCAGCTTAAACATCATATTATTATTAATAAGAAATTCTAGGATTTGGTTTTAATGATTATTATTATCTAAATTTAGAATGAGGAGTATCATTAGAATTTTATCTAGATAGTTTTTCATTATCCTTAATTGAGTCAATTTGTTTAATACTTTTAATTGGGGATGCAGTCTTATTCTCTTCAAATTATGGTGTATTACTATCATTTATATAAGTCTATTAACTATCATCAGCTATGAAAAGATGTTTATCTTTAATTCTTTTACGATATCTTTTTGCTAATTCCCTTGATTATTTTTATTCTTTATATTATAAAGATATATCTCTATACTAAAAATATGATTTCATTCTCTAAATCTTTTATTAATATATTTAATTATTGTATTTTTAAATAGAGTCTTAAAGATCTTAAGTTTCTGATTTAAACTTAAATCCATTTATAGTTTTAACATAACTCTTTCTTCTTATAAGAAATAAGATCTTTGATAATAAATCTTAATAATAATCTATTTTTTATGTCTCATGTCCTTTAATATTTTCAGTCTAATTTTTATTTTTAGAATCTTAGTTTTCTTTATTGATTACTACATATAGAGTATATTATCGATGTTATTCTTTCCATTCATTTAATAAATTTTCTTAGATGAAGTATATATTAGTTAATTAATTGAATAATTCCAACATATCATCATAATTTGAAATTTCTTTGTAATGTTATGCTAAAGAATCAATTATAAATCTAACTTAAAATTTTCTAATGTTATTAGATAATTCTATTGATGCTATCACTTAAAGTGTTGAAGTTTTCTTTTAATTTGATAACATTGCTTAAATTAATTCAACACTTAATTGTTGATATAATTTTTTATCTTATGTTTTCTAAAATATTTATCCTCTAAATTTTGGATTCTATAATATCCATTTAGAAGTCTCATGATCAGTAAATAATTTATTATAAAAATGAATAGAATACCAATCTAATTAATTATCAGGAGTTATTAATTTATGTATAATCTTACTAGCTTCATTTTCTAATATTTTTTTTTCAACAATCTCCATGATCTCAAATCCATATGTACTTGATCTAGTCATATTTTTATTATGTGGATTTAATCTTCCTGGAGAAATGACATTTTATTTTGATTCAATTTCATTTCTCTTTTTTCTGGAATAATATACATGATGTTTCATTTTAGCTTTGATTCTATCAACAGCTTCTAATAATACTTCCATTGAATGAGTTTCTAAATATTTTGCAATAATTGGATCTGAATGTGTCATAACTTTTATAGGTTCTTCTTCAAATGAATAATTTCTATTATCTTCTTATTATTATTTAATATTTTCATCATCATTTTCACTAGTTAAATTGATACCACTACCAACTAATCTAATATTACTCAATGTAGGTTAAATTTCATTTGTTGTTATTTTCTTTTAAGAACTTCTTTCAATCTTTTAATTACTAGGATTACTAGGAAACTTTTTACTGTCTACTTTATAAGCAATATTATTTTTGGATGGTTCTCTTATTTATGGCCTTTATGAATGAGATGGAGGCATTAATTAAATTAAATAATTTGATGAGAATTATTTTGTATTTCTTTATTTTGTAGCATTGACTATTTCGTATTTCTTTACTTCTTCATAATGTGGTCTATTAATTATAAGATCATTAATTCTATCTTAGGGTTAAGCAATTTCTAATTATTTTATTAAACTTTATTCTAAAGATGGAACTCTATTTTAAATTTTACTATTATTTTTCTTAGAAACTATTGATTAACATCTAGTTGGACTTGTTATTTTTGTAGTTCCTTATGAACTCAAAGGTCTTTTCATAGTATTCTTTATGATAAATAGTTGTTAAAATTACTATTCATTAAATTTAGGTGGTGCTCTCTAACTAATAATAGGTTTCTCAATTTTAGTCTTATCAATTTTTTTTGCTAATTTTGGTGCTCTAGCAGAATCTACATTTATTATATAATTATTAATGTAAGTATTTTTTGATCGAAAAGATAATATTTTCTTTTCTTCTCTCTAAGTTACTTAAATTGGTTGTATATTATCATCCTCCTCTTCATCTTGACTTTAAATCTCTAAATTGACTGAAATTTTATCACTTAATTATTCATACTATTTTTTATATTCTTATGTTCTCTTATCATGAAATCCAAGGAGTTCTTCACATAGGTGATAAGATTAAAAGAAAAGTTATGTTGCTTCTCTATCCTTATTTGATCTCAAATATATCTTTGCTTAAAATGATAAGGCTTATAATAAAATTTGTTGAAACTTATTAGGGAATTCTTTATATAAATAAAAACTAAGTCCTATCTCCTCCATCAAATTTAACAATTATTCATTCAATGGAATAACATTATTTCTCTTACATAATCTACCATTTTCAATTACATGATTAAGAATTTGAATTTAGATCATTATTATATTCCTTTGATTCACCTTTGTTAACGGAATTAATTTCATCAACAAATTGTATGCCTAATTATAATTCTTTGTGAATTCAAAGTACTCTGCATATAACATAAATGTCTAATATTTTATAATTAAGTATTCTTCCATATTTAACAAATTTGCTAATTCAACAGCTCTTTAGAGATACTTTTCTCCAGGAAGCTTTTAAGATATCAAGTATTTGCCTGTTTGGTTAAGAATTTCAATAAGCTTTACACGTGTTTCTTAAGTCTTAGAAGAATGCTCTCCAAATTCTGAAAGGGCTTCTAAATAAGATCTCTCGAGTTGAAGAAGTGAGACTTTCATGTAAATTAATTTATTTATATTATAAAAATCAACGCTATATTCTATAAACTATTCATTTTTTTTTAATTTTAATATATCAACAATAATAACATATAAAACTTAGAGAAATAACTTAATCTCAAGAAAGCGATATAAAATATTTCACTTATTAAATAATCAAAAAACTCTTACAATTTCTGATATCAATATCAAATAACTTTATTTTTAGCTCCACTTTTTATAATCATATATTTATCTTATGTATCAAAATAAATTGAATTTAATACTTAATTATATAATCATTTTTTCATTTTTGAATTATAAATATGATAAAAAATTGTTGTTTGATTTTTCTAGTGATTTTATTATTAATTAATTCAAAATGCTCTAATTATTTTTATATTATTTCATTAATTAATAAGTAAATTAAATAATTAATTAAAAATAAAATAGAATAATACACAATCTTAGATTTATTAACTATGAATTTTTTCAAATCCTTTTATCTCTTCTTATATTAATTATAGATCATATAACAAATATTTAAAATATAGAGTTACTTATATATTATTTTTAATAATCAATTTACTTTCTTTTTAATTTCAAGAATTGTTTCATATTCTTCTTATGAGACAATTTTAGCATTTTTTGGAAAGTAAAATAATTATGATTCTTGTTCTATTAATCGTTCTGCTTCTAATTTTATTCTCTTCATTTTATCACTAAATAACTTTTCAATTCATACCCATAAAACATATCATATTAATATGCACAAACAAATCCTAAGGGAACTAAGACTACTATAGGTAAAGGATTCTTAATCAATTAAAAAGTATACTTTCTTTTTTATTGCTCCTATAATACAAAATGGAAAGATCAAAGAATAAAATGAGGCATACCAATGAAAAAATTCTTTACCTGAGGCAAATTAAATAGCTAATTATGTTTATCTTTGTTTAAGCATAAATTCTAATTGTTTTTTTTGCATTTCTTTTTACATTTCTTTTTAGTTTTCTTTCATACTATTTGATATATTTTATCCCATTATTAATATAAAAATTGATAAAATTAATAATAGAATTGTAATTATATAATAGTAAGTGAGATTTCTTGAATTCTTATTTATATAAAATTCAGAAATATAAAATTTTAGAATTCAAAACACTATTCCACGAGTAAGATTAACAATAATACAACTTATATTATCTGATTATCTTCTATAAGTGACATTATATTAATATGCTCTTAATACAACTTATTATGCAGCATCTTAAGGATCTTAAAATCCAATCTATTATTCTTTATACATATTTCTAACAAATTCAATTACTCTTTGACTAGGTGATATTTATTAAAAATTCTATTCAGGTTACTCAGCATTTCCAAATCCATCTATAATACCATCACTACATAATAATATAAATTCATCTGTTCTATAATCAATTTTAGTAACTCTAACATCTGGTTTTGGTGTAATAACATTTTTTTTAAATTTCTTTTTTTCACTAAAATCACCAAATGCTCTAGAAACAGCAAGATTTCCAAGTCTACCTCCAATTATTTCACCACCACCTTTTCTTTTTATTCTTGCTTATTCAGCAGGAATATTAGGTTTATGATCTTCTGTTAAATTAATAGCTTCACCTTATCTTGATAATATTGCTCTAGAATCACCACAATTAATACTAACAATATAATCACCTATAATCATTACTACAACAGCTACACATCCTGAATCATTTGCAGCATTTGCTTAAACAACATCAGTTAAAAAATCACTATCAGTTTCTTTAAATGCTGCTCTAATATTTTCAAATAGAAAAGCTAAAAATTTATTTTGATGATCAAATTCTTTTTATTCTTAATTAAAATATTCTCTTATATTATCCATAAGATTTTATGACATATAATTAACACAAGAATTTCCATTATGACCATCGAATATAGCATAACATGATACTGGAACTCTACTACTTACTTATAAATCTTATATAATTGTATAATTATCTTCTTATGTTCTTTTAGTTCCAAGATCTTAGAAATAACCATAATTAAATCTTTATACTAATAATTCTATCTTATTCAATTTTATAACATCATCAGGTTAAATCAATCTAGTTTCTTCTTTATTTTATTTATAAAATGTATTATAAGTATCAGTTTTTGAACCCCAAATCCAATATTTTCCTTAAATGAATTTAATTAATAATTCAAAATCAGGATTTTCTTCTAAATCATCTATTTCTTATTTCTTAAGTAAAATATCAGGTGGTTTTTAATATCTTTGTGTTTTTGAACTAATCTTAGCACCTGTCCAACCAAATTACAAAACTATAGTATTTTTTTATTTGTCTAATAAATTAATTTTGAATGCATCATAATTTTAGAGTATTATATCATCTATTTGATTATAAGCTTCTCTTAATTTTATCAATTAATCTTAAGTAGCACTATAAGATTACACTGAACTTATTAATTGATCTATCTTATTTTATTTTAGTTATTTTAAGTTATTAATATTATTTCCAAAGAAAAAGTGCTTTAATCCTTAAAGATCATACATAGAAAGCCATTCTAGGATTTCATTAAATCCTTCTTAAACAGTTTAAATGATATATATTTATTTTCCAATAGTTATTTCCATATTATTTTTAATGAGTGCTGGACAATCATAACGAATTTTTATTAAAGTTGGACCAAAACAAGTAAGATGATATCCATTTTTCTTTTATTCTTCATTATACTTATATTTAATTTTCACATGAGTTCTCTCTAATCCACAATCTTCCATTTGAAGTGTACAACTATCATCACTACCAATAGTTTCACCACTTTCAACTAAATTAAGATATATGAACATTCCTCTATACATTCCCTTAATACATCTTAATACATAATCAGTTCCATTATCTTCAATTTGAGATACACTTAAATCTGATTCCATATTTTTGGTTAAAAGTTAAGCTTTTAATTCTAATTTGTTCTTACTAACTTATTCCATTTTTTAATCTATCTCTGATTCTAATATTTGAGCCATATAAAGATAAATAATATTATTTTTATTAAATTATATATATATAATATAACTTAGATTATCCATCATATGGTTTAAGGATAAAAAAATATATTTATAATATTTTCAATCCCATTGGAGAAATTCTTCATCTTTATTTTCCAAAGTCTTAGGAGCAATTTATTAAAGTTTCGTCTTATGAGAGTCCTCAATCGAAGTATTTACTCGTTTATTATTATGATGATTATTTTCTGGAAATTCTACATCCATTTAAACATCATTTATTTGAATTGCATTATCAAAATTGTCATTGTTATCAGAATTCATAGCTTTAGCCATATTTTAAATTTCATAATACTTTTAGAAGATCATTTCAATTGTAGGACCTAGAAGCTATATTATTCTTTAGTTTTTTTTATTATTATGTTATTATTTCAATCTACTATAAGCATCATAAATTTTAATTAATCTTTTAGGTTTATGAGATGAATTTTTCATTCTTCTTATTCGGTGTTTTTATCTCCATGAATTAAGTTATTAAAATAATTCAATTCCATCTGCTTCTTCTGTTGGTTAATGTTAATAAGATGGATTTATATTAATAATAGGTTTTGGTGTATAATTGAAAACCCTAATCTAATCTTTTTCCAAAATTATAGATTTCAATTTATCTATTTCTTGAATCTTTTACAAAAGATGAACAATATCAAGATCCTTATCTATTACAGTTTTACATTAATGGATCATCTTTCTAGTGACTTCAATTTATTCACAACAGGTACAACACAAAAATTCATAAAATAAGAAATTGATTCCTAATCTTAGATCATGTCTTGTTGTATTAAAAATTGTTATTAATCTTTGTAAGAAATTTCCCTTATAGTCTTATAATTGTTCCACATACTTTTAATAAATTAAATTATCAATTTAAGGAGCTTCTGTTTATTCTCGTTGTTATGTTTATTAATTTGAAATAGAAGCATTTGAAAACTTTTAACTATTCCAAGCTCTCATCACCATACTTGTTTTTATTATAGATTTAGTATGATGTTTTAATTTCTTTTATAATTCAGACACTCTATTTATGGATGCTTAAATATAACTTAAAAGTTTATCATAAGAGAACTCAAATTTTCCATTTTTTTTCTTTGGAATATTAAATTAATATAAATGATTTGCTAATGATATTTTTAATCCCATCTCATTATATTATAGAGCAACCAATCCAAAAATAGTAGATATAATTTTTAACATCCCTCCAAAATATGATAAAAATGAATCGAGTGTGTCTGCCGTTTTCTTGGTTTATTCAAAATCTTAACTTATTCTAAAGTTCAAAGAAAAAATTGTACTTGGTTAATCATGATATCCCTAAATTAGAAATACTTAATACTCTAAATTCTCTATAATTATATAAAGAAAATGACCAAAAATCTTTTTTCTCTTCTTCTTTATATAAACTCAAAATACTATTGTCAGCTATAATTTTATTTTTTTAAAAAAATATATCTGCTTTACTTTCTTCCTTAAGTGTTGTCTATAAGTAAAAATCAGAATTTAAATAGCGTAGAAGATAGTTGTCTGCACTATCTCTCATATAAATAGAAGATTGAATTAAAGTTGATAATGATAACAAAATAGATTTATTTTAAGCAAGATAATCTATCTATTCCTTAGTGTAGCATTCTTCCCTATAGCAGATTGAGATCTTTAAAGAGGGATACTAAAAGAATTCAGAATTATATGTGCCTTGTAATTTTAAACTGAAATTTTTAGGAAGACATAAATAGGCATCTAAATCAGCATATATATCCTGAAAGCCTTCATAGTTAACATATTTAAAATGTTCAGCTTGACACTATTCCAAAGATATTTTATTCAACACAGTTTTGATGCGAGTTCCATTTGCTAATTTAGTGATTTATGTTTAAAACATAGCAATATCATAAGCTGTTTTTATATCATTTGGATAATAAATAGAGAATGGATTATCCAACTTTATGGCAAACATAAAATTAGTTATATTCATTTCTTAATAATCAGGGTTCATATTCTGAAGTTATTGTACATCAATCTATATATAAAATTTCAAATACATAGAATTTATCTCTTACTAATAGCCTGATTAATCCTGTTATAAAAATATATATGAGCACTATTGTCATAACAAGAGACATTAATCCTCCACAAACACTCTAGTATTGTTTTCTATTTCCAATATTGAAGTTTAAGGAGACTCCAAAGTTATCATAAGATCGTATCATTCTTTTTATATTTTTGATCAATGTGAACATAAATTTATTTTTATCAAATAATTATTGGCTCAACCTTATTTATGAAAAATCTTTATAAACCCATTTTTAAATAATAATTAGAAAATGTCATTATTAATAATCAATCAGATAAAATAGCTACTTAACCTATCAGAATTTGGTTTGTATTTTTATATTTAAAAATCATATATTATCAAAATGAAATATCAATCAATGTTTTTTTTCTATTTAAATTTAAACTTTTTGGTTGATATATATTTGTTAAAAGGAAAATTGGCACAAAATTCGCCAATGGTATATAAATTATTATGTAAATAGTCCAATTAAAAGGGCGTTCTTCTAAAGTACCATCTGGATTTTGTTGATATTTGAAGTCCTTTAAAACATCTTAGAAATTTGGTAATATATTTAGAAAATTCCAAATCAGTCTGAACATAATGACAATAATTAAGATCAGAATATATATTTATACCTAATACTGTAATAATTTTATACTCTTAGTCTAGAATCTTTTGGTATATCTTTTTGAGTTAATACATAAATTCTGAACAAAATTCCAACAATTATAAAAATGAATAATATGAAGCATGTTATGAAAAAGAAGAGTAAGCCAGCTAATCTATATAGATTTTATGAATAATATATACGTTGATTTTTTAAGTAAATAGAACACAAACATCAATATTGCCAAAATAATTATAAGTATTTCTATAATAGGAAATCTTTTTAAGCAAATGTAAATGTTTTTTAGAACTGTATCATCTGTTTGTTTCATGCTTAAAAGTTAAATCCTTAAGTTCAAATTATATAAATACCAGATCAGTGATGATCGCCAGTAAGCAATATATAGTACTACGATATGAGAATATGAGAAAAAGTAGTATGAAATTGGAAATACATCTGATTCAGAATCTAGAAAAGGATATCCCACAATTTCTATCGAATATGAGATAAATTCAAAAGTTAAATTAATAAGTAATAATTTCTATATTAAGAGCATGTCTTTTTGTTCTTCTGCCCTACTCAGTTGCAAGTTTTTGATATTTACTAAATTTTTATAAACTTTTATCATTAGTAATAAAGAAATAACTAAAAAACATATATAAGCTACAAGTTCAGGAATATTGTTAACATCCATCAATAAAGGTAATTTATATGTATCGGATGATTTCTTTGACATTTTTATATATTTATTAATTTTAATTATGTTTAGCAAATATTTATATAAATATCAAACCATATACATTTAAGTTGAAATCATGAACATTTGATCTGTTATAGAAGTGGAATCTATAATACTAGGTAATATTATTAATTATTTTATAATTAGAGATTTATATTTATATAATATAAGATAAGGAGTAACATAAATATTTATTTGAATGCTTCCCATATACATCATTTAAAAAGATGTTAGATAAAATAATCAAGGCGTGATTATTATAAAGGAAAATTAAAATATAAAGGGATTAAATAAATGAATAGGGATTTGTGAAACATAGTGATAGTATTTTGATAAGAAATGAAAAATTATTTATTAATAATTATAATTATTGGGAAGGATTCTAATATATGTAAGTGATTAATCAACAACTTGAAAAAAATAATGTCATTAATTTTCAAGATAAATTAAGTTTTATAATAATTTTTGTTATATAATTCTTTATTTTTTTATTTTAGAAAGTATGGTATCATAAGTGGAATAAGATATTGAAGATTTAAATTTGGTAAATAAAGATAATTAGGTTTGATTGATTGATAGTATATTAAATATATAGAAATTATTGTATTTTATATAATCATGCATATCAAATCATGTCTACATCCTCATTAAGGTTATTTTGTTGTTTTATCAATTTTTAATTCTGATAGCTTAGATTTAGATTATTAAATTAATCAATTAATTAATTATCCATTTATTTTTATGTTTAAATTTAATTTTCTTCATTTATCTTGGAAATAGATTTTTCGAATTAAATATCAGTATTTGATGAATTCACTTGTGTTATTAGATTGTTATTTATTTCTAATTCTTCTTTGTTTAATTGAAAAGATAACTAAATAAATAAAAATAGAATACTTGACCTCTAAAAATTTTAAGGAAATCTTATTAAATGTTATTCTATTCATTTTTATATGTTATACTATCCTTACATTCATTGGAGAGATGGAAAATCAATCTATCTGGTAGTATAATATGTTAAGGATTATAAGGACAAGAAATATGTAAGTATTATTGCATGTAGCAGATGAGAATCTATTCACCAACTTTATAAAGAAATAATTAATGTGCTTTTTATAATTATTTATTATTTTTTTTTCAAAACGGATATAATGAGAACGAAACATCTAGTATTGTTAGGTGTTATTCTAATGCAAAGTAGCATTTCTTTAAAAACTATTTAGTTTGCTTTGTGTAGGCATTGCATTATGACTTGACTACACTTCTGGATTAGTAAAATGAATTAGATTGCGAAAATACAGATTTTGTGTAAATGTTATAAGATTTTGAATCATGGGGAGAGATTATTGAATTATTATAAGATGGATAATTAGATTCAGAAATGAAACAACTCCAAGAACTTTCAGAATTTACAAATGAAATGATCTCAGGTAATTATAAGAAATATCTTAATAGCCAATCCAAATGATTTGATGGAAGATCCCTCTTATGATGAATAATTGGAGACTATGGATGAATAATTATAAACAATCTAGAACCAATATAATGGACCATAAAGAAAATTTTTATTTGAGTAAAGCAGATAAATCTCTGATCAAATCAGAAGAGTGATTGAATCAAGTATGGTTATAATTTAATATCAATATAGGATCATTTGAGTAAAAGAGATCTCAATTGGCAATGTTATATGGATTAATTGAATACTTACTTAAACAAATTTCTAGAGTCTAAAATCAATATTAATAAACAACATAACCACAACAAAGATAATAATAACCTTAACCATAACCATAATAAAGAATTAAGGAATAGAGAGAAAGAGTTATTGCTATAAAAGATAAATGTGGTGATAGATATCAATAAAGGAAAGTGTCAAAGTAAAGAGTAGTCCCTGGAAATTACAGATAAAATGATCATCCAGTACCTGAAGAAGTCGGTTGTGATATTCCATTCCCATAATAAAGATAACCTAAATGCGTTGTTGGATCAGATATAATCTTAACAAGTTCAATCTCTGCTGATCAACCTACTGTTGAAACAGAAGTTAAGAAATTAAAGGATGTTAATGAATATGGTTTTGGTTTTTGGATGAGATTTTTAACATTGTATCCAGAATAATTGTAAAGTGGTTTAACTGACTAATCTTACTTTGTTGCTAAATTAACAAAGAATTAATAAGATGGTGATGATTAAATTGGTGATAGATTGTTAACTATATTCTAAACTTAAGAATAATATATTTTTAGTGCTTAACATGATAAACCTGAAAGAAAAGAAGCTACAGCTGCTATTGTTTTTGGAGATATTGAAGCTGTTTGGACATATGTTTATTACAGTTATTCAGCCTATCAATAATAAGCTATTGGTTTCTATAAACAATCAAACAGTCAATTAGTTAAATAAGTTACATTACCAGCATCTTAAGGAACTCCTTAATATTTGAGATTTGTTTTGGGAGGTCAATATTTTGATTTCCCAGGTTTCAATGGATAAATCAGCAGACCAGTTTTAGCTATTGGTTTGGGAACCTACTTAATAAATGAATAAGAATTCTTGCAATTCGCTATTTCATGCAATCCTTAACCATATGTTGCACCATAAAAATTAGTTCCATATTAATTTGCTAGAGAATCCACATATGTAGATATTGAAGATAACAATGCACCACCTACATAAGAATTTATTGACTTATTATTACCTGATGAATATGCAGTATAAGGTTGGTTCAAATGGGAAGAAACAGATTTGTAAGAGAATTGGCATACCATGTTCAGATTATCCAATACACCATTAAGAAAATAATAAATTTTATTAGGTGAAAGAGTATTGGCTGCTTGGTTAGGTAAACCAAAAGGAGGATAAATCCACTTCTCTACATATTCTTATGCAAATATGAAAGGATCTGGTAATCCTAATGCACATCAATATGTCCAACATTAAGATTAACATTTACATTGGCATTTTGTATATTTTGGTTACAGCAGAGATTAAAGAAAGGCATATGCTTAAGTCTTATTCAAACATGTTCATGCTAAATCTTTAAGTTTCGTTAATGTCAATCACTTTGTATCACCAAAGCATTATTTCTATTTTGGAAGAGAAAGACAATTCCCAGTTTACAGTGGATTTATGGCCTATCTTGAAGTATTCTTCTGTAAAGGATCTTATTTAACAAATGTTAAACCAGCTTTAAGACCAGTACCAACACCACCACCCCCTAAAAAGAGATGTGTTGAAGGACCAAATAGAATTATTAATGCAAAATATGATAAAGGTCCAGTTGTTCATGTTGAATTACATAAAGATGATTTGAAAGACACTACTTAATATGGTTATGGATTCTGGTTCAGATATACTGGTTTGGCAGGTGGATAATATGAAAATGGAAGACCAGATTGGTCATTAATTGCCCGTCTTACAAATAAGAAGGAAACACCAAAAGATATTAGAGATGGTTTATTAACTATTTTCTAAGGAAAAGTTGGTTTCTTTTATATCACTGCTAATAATAAAGCTAAAAAATTAGTAGAATTAGCTTAACCATTTGGAGATATTGAAGGAGTTTGGATTTACACTTATTTCAGTTATACTAGATATAAGGCTATTGCATTTTATTAGATTGAGAATTAAGCTCCAATTACCTTAGAAGCCAAAGTCACACATCCAAGAATGGAATAATTATTATTCTAAGTTGGTGGAAAGGATCCATAAAATAGATATTATTCATTTAATGGTTAATTCCATAGACCAGTTTTAAGATTAGGATCAGGATCATTCTTTGATACATTAGAAGAATATAATCCATTCTGTTTAAGTTGCAATCCTCAACCATAAAAGGATTGTTCAAGTAAAGGTTTGATTAGAGCAGTTTCAGCCAAGGCTTCATAATTCAATGGAAATCCAGTTAATTCTGGTGATAGATTTGGAACAACTGAATAATATTCTGTTTAAGGATGGTTCAAATGGAATGGTAAGACATCTGAAAAAGATTAATTATTATTCAGATTAACATCTACTCTTGCTGGTGAAGATGCACTTAATTTTGATACACTTAGTTGTTACTTTGATACTAGAGATTAAACACTTAATTTCTATACTTATACATATACTGATTAATTAGGGTAATTTTATATAATTATATTATTAGATCTGGAAATCCTGAAGTTAGATAGATTGTTGAAGGTAAGACATTTGTCAAAGATTGGTTCCATATTTACTTTGCTTATTCAAGAAAGAGTAGATAAGCTGATGTTATTGTTGAACATTCATAAGGAAAGGGAGCTTTATCATTCAAGAATGTTAATCATTATGTTGCTCCATCACTTATTCTTTACTATGGAAAAGATTAATTGACAGATGCTTTCTAAGGATTTATTCAAGGATTGAATTTATTCGCTTGTGACATTACTTATTAACCAACTCCAAAACCAGTTGAAGATTGCACACCTATGAAAGAGTATTAAAATCTATTTATTTAATTAGTCCAATTTGTTTAGCTGGTGATTAATATGAAAATGTTTCATTAACTAATATTGATAATGTTGTTTAAGAATTAGAAAAAAGAAAGTAATTAATGTAAGACAAATAATTTGTTTTGCCAACAACTTAATGTTTCTGTTTCCCATAATAAGGAAAGAAAGTTATTCCTTAGAGATAAGAAGGTTTCCTTGAAATTTATGATGATGATGAAGAACCATAACAATAAGATGCTGTTGAAATATGAGTTTTTCATTAAAATCATAAAATTATCATTATCAATCAAAAGCTATCAATGAAACTTAATCACTCTTGAATTCCTTTGAATGAGATGGATCTTTCTTTTCTTCTTCTTGATCTTGCAAATCTATTAGTGATGCTGATTTCTTAATATCCTATTCTTATTCAAGTCTTTGAGTAAAATATTATGCATTTTAATTTCCAAATATTTAATCCTCATTTTGCAAATCACTTGCTTATCTAGCTGATTTATAATAATTTATATCTTATATTTCTTGAGATCGATTAGATATTTGAGATTAATTTGTTTTAAATGAAAAATCATTTTATTTAGGAAAATTTCGAGTTTACTATTGGAATTAATTAAAATCATCTTATAAATCTTGTTCTACGAAGTCATAGCTATATTAGTAAGATTATTTATAGTTTTTTGACCATTATTATTATTGTTTTGGTTGAAATTATTGAGGTTATTATTACAATACTTATTAAGAATGGAATTTTCTATTGTTTTCTTGTTTAAATTCTTCATTCATTTCTGAACTTTCATCTAAAAAATTAATTAATTAAGTATTTGAACTTTATTGATTTTAATTTGGTTAAATTTAATTCTATTAAAATTCTATTATGATCTCTAAACTCTCTTTTCTTTAATCCTAATTTACTTATAATTAAATCTCATCTTATTTAAAATCTTAAATAAGTAATTAATTAGAAGATTAATCTTAATTTTCAGAATTTTATTAAGAATTTAGATTATATTAATCAACTTTATTTAATAATTATGATGATATCTATTATTATTATTATTATTACTACTAAAGATGTGTTTAATTTTAACATATTTCATCTTCAATTGTAATGTTTTATTAATTATGATTCTAATTGGAATCTTTCATTTCCTATTATTATTAAAAGCTACTTAAGAATCCTATATCATATGGACTTCTTTAATGAGCAGTACTTTTTTGTCTATCCTCATCATAATTATTAGAAAATTTAAAATTATTTTCATCATCAAATTATTACTATATTTTACCTTTAACAGAATTATTAAACTAATTGTATTCAGGATCACTTTAATTTTCATCATATGAACAAAAACTTTTATTACCAAATATGTCTTGATTTGATTGATTATCTTTATTGAAATCATCGACATCATTGAAATATTTCATATTCTTAATCTTTTATTATTGTTATTTCAACTATTCTTCTTGAACTTTAGATTTTAATTATTCCATAATTGAACTTTGTTTAATCGCTTATTATTCTTTTTTTTCTTTAATAGAATCTAAATATTTTTACTATTCTTCTTAAAATTTACGTAATTACATATCCTATTTCTATTTATCCTTAATTTCTAAAGTTAAATAATTATCAATTTCAATTCTACATAGAGGACATTATTTAACTTTTTAACTCATTAAAATATGATCAGCACAAGTAGAACATGTACACATATGTTTACAAGGCAAGAGTACAGTATTAATCATATTACAAAAACAAATTACACATTCTTTATCCTCTATTGTATTTGGATTCCATTCAGGATTAAATGGAGTATTTTGAACACCATATAGTTCATGTATTTCAAAAAATCGATTCTTGTATATGATAATTTATTTGGTATTTATCAATTCACATTGATATGATTATTCGTTACAATCAATTCTATAAAAGTAAATTATCTGGAAACCTTTTGAATTGAGGCCTTTCTTTATATTCATAAATATAAACTTACCATTTCTATTATTAAAGTGTGATACTATGCATCTGGATTAACTCTCATTTTTTTAAATCTTAGAAGGTCAATAATCATGAACTCTATGTATTTTGAGGGGAACTAGTAGTTCAATCCTGATGGACATTTAAATGATTGAGTAGTACTCTCTGGCATGCTTTTTTCATATCTAAAAACTCATAATTTAAAAGTATGAACCTTTGTTGTTTAGCTCCTTTGGTTTCAGTAACAAATGTATATACTAAAATTTAGAAATTCACATGGCTACTGAATGTTAAATCCAATTGAATTTTATCAACAGAATCATATACAATTTCTGCATTAATTATTTGCAAATTTAGCTTAATGATATCAACATTCCCTGATTTAGATTGCTTAATCAAAATATTAGGAGTGTCCATCACTTAACTTTAAATAACTTAAATTCATAATAATAATTGAATTACTTTAATCCAAATTCTTTGATATTTCTTTTTAATTTTTTAGAATATTTCCCATATTAATTTTTATGCAATAACAAAATTTTACATTACTTGATTTAGTATTCCAAGAACAATAAATTCAGAATTAGATTTCTAATAAGTGCAGCATCAAAGAAACAGCCAAATTTATTCCATACAATCCACTTGGTCTTAGTCTTTATCTTGAAGCTAATTGTAATACAGAAACTATTAGTAAATTAATATTCAGTCAAATATTGAAAATGATTGAAGATAAACTATTAGAATTAGAGGAACGTTTAGACAATAGAGATTAAATCAAAAATATAAATCAACAAATAAATTCACTTAAACCTCCTGACCCTTATTTTAAGTCTAAACCTATTGACGATACATTATCAGAATATGTCAAATAAAGTAAATAAAATTTATTTTCAAAGGAAAATACAGTTAATAATCTGATATGGAAATAACATCACCATAAGCTAATTAACCATAAGATTAAAAGTCTATTAAATCATAAAAATCTTAGAGATCTCGTTCTTAATTAGGAAGAGCACATACTGAAATAACATAATTAGATCCAAAACTTAAATCTAATGAGGAAGGACTCATTTCAAAAATAGAATTATTTGATAAAAAACTAAAATAAGTAGTAGAATAAGTTAATAAACTATCATAAAAAGATGATTAATTTTAGAGAAGAATTGAATAACAAGTTTAATCTTAATTGAAGGATAGTTAAGATAGATTGATACAAAATGATAAATTTTTTAAATAAGTATAATAAACCAATTAAGAAATAACAGAAAATTAAAGAGGATTTCTAAGTCGATCTGCATAATTAAGATAAGAAATGGAGTAAATATATTTTATTAAAATTATTAGTTATTTATCATAAGAACTAAATAAAATCTAGGAAGAAAATAAGCTTCCTTTATTATAACTCCAAGAAAGCGTTTAAGAATTGTAAAAATAAGTAGGTCTTCATTAAAATGAGCTAATTGTATTTAAAACAATTCTAGAATCAATAGATAATGATTTTTTGATATTGCTTAAAAAATTTAAGGACATATAGAATGATTTAGCTAAAAAAAAATTAAACTCTAGTATGAGTAGTCATCATCAATATCTAAAATGAAGACAGAAATTAAATTTGAAGTATATTATTATAATCAAAATTTAATATTCTTTCTTGTTCAATTATTACTTCTCTAGAAGATGAACTTTCACTTTTAAGTATAAAACTTAGTATTATGGCTATCAAAATAATCTTCTAAGTCTTGTAAATTTGTATATTTATATCAATTATATAATTTTAACAAGATATTTTAAGATATAAATATTGATATTAATTATAATTATGCATAAAGATCAAAATTTATTAAAATTGATGTTATCAATTTTGAATTTGACTATGCAATCTAAGATGTGTAGGATAAGAACAAGTTATTTTACAATCAAGATCATAATATTATGTGTCTTTCCAGAAGCAAGGTTTGATTAAAATAACAGATAAATTTAATACAAAATCTACTATGACTCTCCTTAATTAAGTTTACTTGAACTTCTTGAAAATCTAATATATTATTTTATTTTATAAGTCTTATTATATTTGTTAATTTTAACTTAATCTATTCATTCATTATGAGATCTTTTATATTAAATTAGACCAATTAAAATAATTCAAATAGATTATTTAAATCTGTTTTATAATTATAACTTCTATTTGTTGTTCAAGAATTAAGGAAATAATACAGAATCAATTAATTAAGCTAAATTTATTATTTTATAGGCCTCTCTATTTGAAAATTCTAATTTATAATATTACAGATATACTCTAAATTTATTTGTTATTTTTAATTTTCCATTTAGTAAATGATATTAAAAAGTTTGATTTGCCATTAAGTATTTTACAATTATAATCTAATTCTATTTCAGTATTTTTGATTTTAGTAATAGATTATTGAAAACTTATTATTATTAGTAATGAGTTTAAATAAAGAGAATATTGAAAAATATTAAACAATAAAAAATCATCCTGCTTTTGAAAAATTAAATTACGAAATAGTTAAAAGCATATCTGAATAACTCTTTGTAATAGATTACAGAAAATATGGAATTGTCTTAAGAGAAAATATAGATAAATAATCATTCATGTACCTTGTAAGAAATGGAGAATTCAAAGTAAGTTATTATTTAATATAAGATGACAAAAAAGAAGTCATATGTATAAAAATAATTAAGAAAATAAACAATTGAAATTTGCATACTCATTAAAGGAGATTCATTTGGAATTGAACATTTTAAGGATGACATTTAATAAATTTACAGCTATACAGTACTAATAATTTTATTTATGAAGAGGTTTCATGTTGCTCTATTCAAGGTTCTTTATATGTTTTAGATCTTAGTTAATTAAGATATATACTCTTCCATCATAATTATTTTTGTTCCTTAAGTTAACTATTTAAATATCCAATCTAAATTATGAAAAATTAAATCTATCTCTTAAGAGAACAGCAAATTTTATAATAAGAAAAAAAAGAAATTATAAGAGAAGAATCTTAATTCTTACCAAGAAAAAATTCAACTAGATTGAGATCTAATAGTTCATAATTTACATATACAGATAAAGTTGGTTTCATTATATAAGGTTAAAGTTAATATTTAAATAATAAATTTCTTACTAACCAAACTATAGATGAAGATAAATACATGCATGAATCAATTATGTAGAATATACGAGCAATGAAATCTAATCTTTAGGAATCAAACAAAATTATAAGTAAAAGTATCAATGCTGTTAATACACCTGAAGAAAGACTATAATTTATTAAGCATGACGATTATAGATCCAAAATGAAAATTATGAATTTATTAGGTTATAAATCAAAGTAGAAGAGATAAACTAATTATACTAGATTTTGGAACTTTAAATCTTTACCTTCTAATGGATGATAAATATATATTAAATATTTTACATACATATATTAAATCACCATTTTTCTATTTTAGTTTCTTAATCTAAATTAATATTCTTTATTCTTTATTTTTATTTCTTATCAATTTATTTGTTCTTTTCTACTTTTACTATCTAACTTCTTTTTGGTTTCTTAATTATTACAGCTTCTTATTCTTATTCTAAATCATACGATACCATAGGTTAAGAAATCTTTTTTTATACTTTTTCTGTTTTCTCTCTTATTTTCTAAGGTACTTTAGATAAATGTTATTCCAAGACTTTCTCAGCAGCTAAATTATTAATAAATCTAATTCTTGGAAATTTTATTGCAATTTAAATAGCCTTATCTGAACAAGGATTACCTGCTATATTTAAATGAATTAATTTTAAATCTCTTAAAACAATCATTTATTATGGGTCTTTGATATCATTTTTCCCTATATCAAGTCTCTTTAATTTTGTCATTTGTGAAAAAAACTTTGGTATTTCTTGTATTTTATTATTATTAACATTCAATTATTCTAAATTCATACATATGCAATTTTCTAGGTCCTATAATATTTATATCTACATTTACTTCTATTTAATTATGAGATAGTTATAATTTTTCTAATTTATTTAAATGTGATATCCCTTATACATTTATTATTTAATTATTTGATAAGACTAAAGTATTCAATTCTAAGCATTTTTCTAATCCTTATATTAATTTAATTTAATTGTTGTTTAAAATCAAAGCACATAATTATTTTAAATTAGTTAAACCTTCAATCTTTTGAATTTGATTATGAGACAAATTTAATACTCTTAAATTATGAAAAATAGAAATTCCAATCATTTATTTAATTGAATTTTTTGATGCATTAAAATTAGTAATTTATAATGATCGATTACATGATTGTTTATTAATCGTAATCTAAGTCAAATTCTAATTTAATAATGATAATGTCTTGTCATTTTCTTTTATGTCAATATCTCCCATAATTAAATATATATATATAAATATTATTTTATTTTACTTTTACTTTTTATAATATATTTTTCCTGATTATAATGATAATTTTTACTTATAATATAAAGAAGTCAACCTTTTAATAGTAAATGAATTTTATAATCTTCATTATTTTTAAATATTATACATAACATAATTAATTTATATAACATTTTTCTATTCTAATACCTTATAGAATAATCAAAAGTGTTTAAATTGAACATAAATCAACTTAAATTTATTTTTAATATTCAGAAGGGCTTCGATTGTTTTTTTTGTTGAATTAAAAAATAATAATACTCCCCAATAATTTTAATATTTTTTTTTTCTTTTTCAATTAGTATTTTTTTTATTAGATTAATTAATGAAAATGAATTCATACAAAGTTATCAACTTAGATTTCACAAGAAAGGATGGATTAGTAACAGTTAAGATACGCCCTAAAGTAGATAGCTCTCAAGAGAAAGATGATGCTATGTTTAAAAAATATAAGGTTACAGATCCAATTTTAATCTCAAAAAATTAGTCTAAATAACAACAGAATTAAAATCTAATAAGGAGTAAATATAGATGCAGTAAATCTGATATTGCATCTCTAAAACGACTTTTAAAAAGATCATATAATATAAAAGAATTTAAAGAATTTTACAAAATATATGGTCCTAAGTTAATAGAAATTGATTTTGGAAATATAGAATTATTTAATGTGAAAGTAAACAAGTATTTTAGCAATAATAGGGATAAAATTAGTATTCTATTAAAGAATTATAATAATTTACTACAGAATAACATTTTTTAAGATGGGGAAAGTTATTCTCAATAAATTAACTTTCGAAATACAATGATAATTCATTAATTCAAAATTAAATTGCAGCATTATAGTATGTATTTTAATAAAATTAGATTTTATAATATGTTAATCAGAGAAAGAATATTCACTTTAAGAACATTAAGATATTATAAAAATGATAAGAAAAGGAAAGAATTTCCCTATTAATATTTATATATTTATGATTTAGAAGATTGTCTATAATTTAATTTATAATCCTTTTAAGATTAAGCATCTGGATAAATTAAAATATAGAATCATGGATTACCTTAATTGAAATACAATTTTTTTTAAAAATAGTATGATAATTTTTAATTTGAGAACATAATAGTCCCTTTTTTTTAGGTAAAATTTGACGAACATAAGTATATTTAATTATTTTTTGTCCATTTCAGCAAAAGTGGTTATAAATAAAAGGAATCAAGAATTGCTGCAGATGGATAAGATAAAGATGAAAAAGATAAACTATATCAATGTTATATATTTGTTAATTTTGATACTACATATTATTCCCAGTAGTAGTTAATGAATGGGGTTTAAGAATTTGCCCATTTTCATAATTTTGAATTAACACCCCAAGAAATTTAATTTGTTAATATTAAAAGGTAATCAAAAGATTTATTAATTAGTTAAGGAAAAAGCTTCACTGAAGATTATGCTGAATATATTGAAACTGAATTTTTCTAATAAGAGAAAGGTTCAATTAATGATTAGATGAATTACATTTTTAACTAGTTACCTAAAGAAATCGCTCAGAAACATTTAAATGATATTTTGAATGATAAATTTATAATTCCTAAAAATATTGAGAGTATAATGGAATAGTTCTTTGGAAAATGATATTGAAAAATTATAAATAGTAGTATTATAAAAATATATAATTATGAATTTTGATTATTAATAACCCAAAATCATTAAAGTAATGAAATAAAATAATATATTGTTAAATATAAATTGATCATTAAAGTGATTCTCAAAGATATATCTATATTTCAATATAATAAAAATATCATACATGTAAGAATGATATATCATAATTAACACTTTATAGTAATAGCCCAATTTATTCATAAGAAAACATGTGATGGATATTAATGTATAAAGTTTATAAAAATAAAGAAAAATTATAAGCTTGGAGAGAGATAATAATTTTAGAGCAACTTAAATTTCAAAATAAATAGTAATTTACAATACAAATTAAATTAATATTTTATCAAAATTTTACAAATTCATTTTTTTATCCTCTCTAAAACATTATAACGATAAAGTAGAGAGGGTTCATAGTATTAGTCAACATCAACTCTTGAGTTTCTTTGAGATTTTGAATACAAATATAAATCATTTAGATTTTATCTTTTTCGAGTATTTATTTTTTTTTAATTATAATTATTTGAGAAAGTAGATTTGTTCATTTAAATCTGTGTTTAAAATTTTTAAAATTCATTATCTATGATATGAGGAGGTTAGATATCGCAATCTTAAACTTTTGATTAAAATTATCTTGAAGCTGATAGACTTATACTTTATGATCTATTTGAAGATTAATTATTGAAAGTATTTTTTTAGTTAATTTTTCTTTAAATTTTAACTAATTAATCATATTGATTTAAATTTATTTCTTCAATTATATCAACTTAAGTTGCTTATTACTTTAAAATAATACTCTTTTATTTACATTCAAATAAAATTTCTTTTTCCCTTTTTTAAGTATTAAATTAATTTATTTATTATTCTAGATTGTTAATTCTGATATTTAAAGTTTAAATGAGCAATTATTATTAAAGAATCTATTTATTTTTTGAAATTAGTTCGTTATTTTTTTCATCTAATTCTAATTATAAATCATTCAACATTTTTTAGTAATGAAGAATCAGATTTTAGTTATTTTAGTCTTAATTTCTTAACTATAATTCTATTCTTAATTAAATATTATCATTATTTAATTCTGATATTATTAATTATTATTCATGTATTTTTTTTTTTAAGTATTCCATTAATGATATCTACTCCAAATTTTTCATCAATATTTATGATTATAATTTAGCAGTTTCATTCTAAACCAAATTTAGAAATGTTTAAATAGTAGTATTGAATATTTATTTATACCTAGATAAGTTATCTTAAATTTTGTACTTTGTTTTAATGTTTGATATTTCAATTTAATTTGATTTTCTTAAGGTTTCGACTAGTTTGTTATCGTAATTAATGTTTGAATAATTCTCAAAATCATTTATTTATCCATCCAATGTTTTGGTAATTTGTTGCATTATTTGATTTTCATCCATACTATTATTATAAAATAATTATGTAGATTTAATGCAGTTGAGATTATTAATACGAAAATTAATATAAAATAATGGAAAAAAAGGTTGATTCCTAATTCACTTCTACTTTTTGGAGATAGATCCATTAGGAATATTTTATGATAGAAACACCTGTCTCATTAAATAATATGATAAAATAATATCAAAAAAGTAATAGTTTATGAAGAATTTTAGTAGAGAATAATTTCAACAAGAAAGGCAATGAATTGATTTATTAAGTGTTAAAATTATAAAAGAAGAACAAAAGTAAGATGGAAAAATTAAATGACTCCAATCTAATACGTCGTTTAAATTTGATTTTAATGCAAAGATTAAAATCATCCGAGCCAATCTAATAATTGATTAAAGGTATGATAAATAGGGTTTATGAAGATAAACTTATTGATGAACTAGAAAGTTGCTCAACATTAATTAGGAATATTCATTTACTGCCATAAGAAAAATAAATTGACATTTATTATGAAGAAGAATAATAATTAAAAAGTATGCATTCTTAGATAAATTAACCTGGTTAAATAAGTTAAGTAATTATGGAACTTGAAAATGATTTAATGTAGGTAAAATAAAAAAATACATTAAGTATTTAAAAGTATTGAACTTTTTATTATTGTAGTCTGTAAACACACCTTTAAGAAATTAATAATTCATTGAAGTTTCAATACAGTATTCAGTAAATAGGAGAGTTTAAATTGAAAATTTCCAGAAACAATGTTTAACATCATCAAGAAGAGTTGGCCAATCTTTATAATTTGATTAATATGTATGAAGACTATTAAGTTGCTGAAAGTATTGGAAGAGTTATTTATAATTAAAATGGTATTTAATAATTAATTATGAATAGATAAGAATATTACTGTTATTTTAGATAAATTTTTAAGTATTAATCCTGTAGAATTAAGTTTATAATAATTTGAATCTCTTTAAAAATTAAGAGATATACGTATTAATTTATAAGAATAGGATTAAGAACAATATTAAAAATAGTCAAATTAAGATTTTTAGATGTGTCATTATTGTAGATAAATGATAGAATAAAGTAAATAAAAGTAATGCACATATAATCATGTCAATATGAATTTACATTAATACAATGATGAATTACTGACCTAATAAAGATATTGTATATCTAATAAAAATATGGAAAAATTTTATTAAGACTTATATTCTGCAAATTATATTATTGAAGGTATTTAATTTAGAAAAATAGTAGATGACTTAATTTAATGTTAAAAGTATTTTTGTTTTAAATGCTTAAGAAATGAATTTGATGATTATGATATTTCAGAAAGTGATTGGATCTGTCCAATGTGTAAAGTATATATAAAATCTAAATTAGGGTTTATGTCTATGCATTAGATGTTAACGTAATGAAGTTATTTATAAATTGAAAAGAAATTTATTAGAAATTAATGGGAATTTAGATTTATTATATGATTAATCTCTTTTTGAGAATTTAGTTAGCAATAAAAGGAAATTAATTTAAAATATTCCTTTAGATTTTATAAATAACTTAAAAGTAAATTCAGAAACTGAAGAAATATTTTCATAAAAAAATAATAAAAAATAAAAAATAAATATTACTAAATCAATTAAAAAAAAGAAGAACTCTGATACTATTTTAGTTTTGCCAAATTATATCAATAATGTTGACAGTTCATCATAATCAACAAAGATTAAAAAATAAAATAAATTCAGAAGACTAATTCCTAATGATAGAATAACTGAAGATATTATATGAAGTTAAATCTTGAGTGTTCCTGAATTGATTTTAATATTAATTTTTTAAATAACAGAATTTCAGACAGATTTTAATTAGCAATTCTAAATGTTAGTAAATATTTTAATGATTGAAAAGAGTTTGTCCATTTACAAATGGAAAACTTAAGCAAATCAATGATATAAGATTATTCAAATAAAATTTAGTTATTACTTTAATTGTATAATGATTATACTTAATTTTTATATGTTAGTAAAACAAATTTCTCAAATTCTTGTAGATAGATGATGATCATATTAGTTCAATGAATTCTATCCAACTTATTGAAAACTTGATCTATAAGATTGAGAATTTCTTAAATTATCATCTGAAAACACTTAAGAAGGATTAGTGGCTTATAAGTATAGTGGTACTTAATTTAGAGTTTAAGGAGTTAGGATTTAATATTATTATTAATATTATGGAACATAATTTTGATAGCTTCTGTAATTACCATAAATAATAGGATCTATATAATCTAAAATATCTTTCTTTAAGCTTGCCATCATTAATTCTTATTGTTTTGCCAAATTTTCTTAGACTTTCTAAATTTCATATTTTCTTTCTAGCTCTTTCACTCTCCTTTTCTCCTCTTTTTCCTTTTTTTAGGATTTATTATCGATTTAATACTAAAAATAAGGTGTATATGCATTTTTATTTTGAGAATATTCGTACAAGAGTTAGGGAGAGTAATATATTGGTTTTGGATAATATTGATTGTTTAAATACTGAGGTTCACTTACTGGCAACACTTGAGGTACTTATTCTTAAGGAGCCCTATAATTTAAACTCAAAATTTTATCTTATAAGTCTTTCAATCGACGATCAAATTAATATCGCTCGAAATCAATTCCTAAAGACATTTAATAAATTTTTTATATTAATATATTTTGAATTACTTCAGTTCATTAAATTTTAAGGACCTTTACCATATTTTAATTGTCCAAGATGTAAAAATTAACAGAATTTTGATTTCTCTCATGATTATTTCAGTAATTTTTATGATATTAATTGTCATGACCTTGGGCATAAATTAAATTTAATTATGTTTATTTTTAAGATTCAGTCCTTAGTAATTGTAAATTAAAGAATGGATTAGATCTCTTTACATTCATTTCAAACATTTTAATAAATATTTGTATAAAAATAGAATTTAATAAATTTACTAGAATAGTTTTTATTACTTTTCCTTTGAGGATTTAATATTATTTATTACAATAAAAATATATTTTTAATTTATGTATTGTTTAGTTTATAAAAATTTAACAAGTCAATATTTTAAATTTCTAATTTCTTTAGCATTTTAAAGTATGATTTAATTTAAATTTAGTAATTTAGCAGTTAATAATTCTTTGAAAAGAACTTATATAAGACTTAGAATAAATATTATTATTAATCACTACCCACAAATTCTCAGAATTCATCACTCAATTTATTTGTGTCACTACATATATTTGTTATAGGAAACATGCTTCATTCCAACCTAGCCCAGAGTACATATATGGAGATATATATTGAATCAACTGAGAGGGAAAATAAAAAATTCAGTATTATGAAATATGGGTTTCAATTTCTTGCACTTCAGACTGTTTTTTTTCACCTTTATTCTAAGTTGATATCCTTAATCGCATTAGAACTTGATGCACTCTAGATCGAATCACTGCTTTTTGAGAAGCAATCACCATCCTCAAACACAAAAAGATAAAATAAATAATTAGTTTAAATATAAAATTTAAACAAAAAAATAATTATTTTTTTTTGAAATCTGTGCAGAATATAACTGAAGAATGAGAATTAAATTAATTTATGCTAAAGATTTTATATAGATAAAAATTAATATTCTAAATGTTAAAATGTACAATACTATGATAGAAAAATTTTTCTTTAAGTAACAACAATCGCTATTTTGTAATTTAAGACAATTAATTTATTACAAAAGTAATATCCTTAATATAAATTATTCAAAGTACAAATAAAATCATGCCTGAAATATTTCTTGACAAAAAAAAATAAAACAATATAAAGCAAATTAAATAAAGAATTGATAAAAACAAAAGATATAAAATAAACTTCATTAATGAAATACCTAAATTTTTGAATATCCCAAAATACCATTTAATTTTTAATTAAAATAATTAAAAGCAATAAAAATTTGTTTAATTATAAGGTTTGAATAAATTTTGCTAGAAATAGCATAATTAAGGTTTATTTCATTTATTGCACATTCTTGTTGTTATAACTTCGAATAAAGGATTAATAAAATTCTGTATACTTTTTCATTAATGGAAAATAAGAATTAAATGAATAAAAAGTAATAGAAATCAAGCTCTTCTATAAGGTTTCTTTTAACTTTCTGTAAATGATAATTTCATTTTACTCAATTTCTCTTTTTGTTATTATATTTCTTATCTCAAATCTTCAATAGTTTTATCTGCATTATCTATTTATGATATTTTCTTATTTGGAGTCTTAACTGCAGTACTAATTATTGGACTACTATCATTCAATTGTTTATTTGCTATATGATATATTGATAATACCTGTTTAGTTAGATTATTTTTGAAATGGAGATTTTTAATTTATTCTAAAAGGTGAGATTTATTTTGATGGCAATTAAATTATATTCTCCAATTTATTAATTTGAAGTTAATAATCTGATTAAACTTATTCCATTTTTTTATCCTATCTTTATTTAAGATCCTAATATCTTTATTCAAAATATTATCTTTCTCTGTTCATTGTGTATTCTGAAAACTATTATTAAGAAATTCTAAATTGAATATAAATATTTACAATTCCTCTTATTATTCTTTTATTAGTTTATTAAGATTTAATAGTTCTAATTCATAATTTTATTTTTGTTCAATTTTTAATTATTCTTATATTAATAATTAATTCTATAGTTCTTCATTTTCCCTTTGTTATTAATGAATTTAATTTTATAATTCAATATCATTAGTCTTTTATATAATGAGTTGTTCAATTTATTATTACTTTTATTTTAATTTAAATTAACCTTCCTCTTAAATTAATAATTCAGATTATTTAAATTATTATTTCATATTTTCTATTTTTTATTCAATTTCATAATTCATTTATTAAATTTCATATTATTTTTCAGCTTCAATCATTTAAATTTTATTTTCTGTTTTAATTAATTGTTATTTATATAAGTTTTGTAATATTATTTTGCATTCACTTTCTA